AGCGTCGCGAACATATATGAAGCCTCGTGTATGAGGCATCGCAAAATGGCGAATGTTTAGAGAGGATCTTTAAGGCAAAGGGGTAGAAACAGATTTGAAAATTACAACGAAATCTAGAGATAGTGGGAGTCTACACGCTAGCGGTGATAGATGGTTATTGGTGATTGTGTGGGAACCTTTAGATAAAGAATATATGAGTAAATGTCCATATGCTTCATTAGATGAAGTCATCAGATACCATTAGACAGTTGCAAATTGCCCAATTTATATTCTAGTTGTGGACTTCATTCAATGCAGCATGGATAAAATATATCAACTAATGACGCATATAAAAGTTACTGAAACCCTATCCAATGTGCTGCAAAATTTGAGAATGATATTTGTGTATATACATTTAAAAAGCGAACACAAGGTACTTGAAAAAGAAGTGGTTATTTAAGTAGTTAACTTAATGTGTGGTATTTGCTTCAACCTGGTAAAATAACAATAACAAACGTCATTCCAATATTAAAGGGACCTGCGTATTACATAAGCAAGGACATAGAGCATTCAATTACCCTTTGCATTCGTTCGACTTCACTTCTCAAACATAAACAGGCGCAGAGTTATAAACTACCCGAAGACGAAGCCCTCACTTAAGAAGTGAAGGGTAGCATTCAATATAAAAGGGACTAGAATATACTATATTAGCCATAACATAGCATCCAATAGCAACCTCTACTTTGAAAATAACATATGTCATTCAATATTAAAGGGACTTGTTTACTATATTAGCAATACCATATCAGAGTTACACTGGCAATAACATGATATTCAATATCAAAAGGACTTGCGTATTACATCAACAATAACAAATTGCATTCAATATTAAAGGACTCAAAAAATGTACCCAAAAGTATATAGAGAGCACAGATAAACCAATCAATATTTTCAGACATTTTTTGCATGGTCATGTAGCCAAAACATGAAAGTTTTCTCCCCAATACACCATTTTTATTTCAGTCATGTCTTTTTGATGCTTTAACCCTTTATCTTATACACCACATAATCAATGTAACCTCATATTTCGAGGACAGCCTGTATCCTTACTGCTACATTGTTCATCACATTTGATAATAATTCTGGTGGAATGTTTTTGATTTCTCTTTGGATGTTGCCCTTAAGTTGTTCTAGGTCTTTTTGCTTGGAATGAGCATTAAAATACTCCTTCAAATAGCCAAACAGAAAGATGTTTGAGGATGATGATTGCAGACACAGATAATCAGGTCAATTCTCGGCAAATGATTCAGGAGTTACCTTCCAGAGTTAGGCAGGCTAGCATGTAGACCAAATCATATCCAAATGAAAACATAGTGGTCTCAAATTGATACACAAACAAAATCTACACTAGAATCCTAAACAATGCAGTTTCTTGAACCTCTGACCTCTCTGTGTAAGGGGGCTATCAGACATTGTGAGGGCCTTCCTATTCACCATATTTGACGGCCCATACTTTTTTCACTGAGGCTATTTGAAGGACCATTTTTATGCTAAACCCAAGCTAAGAGACCTAGAACAACTTAAGACCAGCATCCGAACAGAAATCAAAACATTCCACCAGATATATCAAATGTTATGAACAATGTAGTAGTAAGGATGCAGACTGTCATCGAAAAATTAGGTAACATTGAATATGTGGTGTGAAAGGTAACGGGTTAAAGTATCAACAAGACACACAGTGATAAATATCGCACTTTGAAGAGCAAACTGGCCACCATGCAATTTACCCAGCATGGCCAAAACCTAATCAGACCGTGGCACTAGTCTGCTCTTCCATCTGTAAACATTTCAAGTTGACAAGGTTAGCGGTTTTCCTGCAATTTTGATGACAAGAATTTATTTGTAGTCTTGAACTTTGGGAAAATTTAGATAACATTGTTTGTGACCTAATTTGATGACCTTCTACCTTGAAAATTTCACTTTTTCAGACCTCAGTAGGTCTTTTGTAATTAGCTGACCTAAATTTAAATCCAAAATATCAATTTAGAAAATCAAATTTTTTACCTTTTCAAGGCCACTGAAGGTCAACGAAAGGTCAAATGTGAAATCTAAGGTCAGATTTGAACTTCTGAGAACTTGTAGATGTTTTTAAAAAAAAATTTGGTCAATTTGGAGCAAGTTGAAAAATTCAAAATGGCCACCAAATTGAAAAATTCAAAATGGCCACCATGTAATTCAGCCAGCATACCCAAAACCTAATCAGATCTTGGCAATAGTCTGTTCTTGCATCTGTAAAAATTTCAAGTTGAACGGATAAGTGGTTTTCCTGGAATTTTGATGACAAGATTTGTTGAAAAATTCAAAATGGCCACCACGTAGTTTACCCAGCATGCCCTTAACCTAATCAGATCTTGGCACTAGTCTGCTATTGCATGTGTAAAAATTTCAAGTTGAACAGGTTAGTGGTTTTCTTGGAATTTTGATGACAAGAATTGATTTGTAGTCTCAAACTTTGAGAAACTTGGATAACATCATTTGTGACCTAGTTTAATGACCTTGACTTTCGACCTTTAAAATTTCACTTTTTCAGACCTCAGTAGGTGTTTTGTAATTAAGCTGACCTAAATTTAAATCCAAAATATCAATTCAGAAAATCAACTTTTTTGACCTTTTCAAGGTCACTGAAGGTGAATGAAAGGTCAACGAAAGGTCAAATGTGAAATCTAAGGTCAGATTTGAACTTCTGAGAACTTGTAGATGTTTTTTAAAAAAAAATTTGGTCAATTTGGAGCAAGTTGAAAAATTCAAAATGGCCGCCAAATTAAAAAATTCAAAATGGCCACCATGTAATTCAGCCAGCATACCCAAAACCTAATCAGATCTTGGCAATTGTCTGCTCTTGCATCTGTAAAAATTTCAAGTTGAACAGGTAAGCAGTTATCCTGGAAATTTGATGACAAGATTTAGTTTATGTCCCGCCCACCCGCACGCCCGCACGCCCAAACGCCCGCCCAACAGCACAAGACGACGACAATATAGCACTTTTTCAAAGTGCGATAAAAAGGCAAAACTGAATAAAAAACTGTGGTATAGGGTAAAAAAATTTCATCTTTTATCTACAAGACCATGCCAAAAATGTCTGAAAATATTGATTGGTTTGTCTATGGCGTTGATATACTTTTGGGTACATTTTTTTGAGACACCCTATATATGTATATGCTCTACACTGGGTTATGTTACATTTTGCCGGTAACAGGGACTTTCACTTAGAAAATGAGGATTAAAGCAAGGATGTATTGACTTAACATGGGGATATGCACTATTGACTTAGCATGGGTATGTCATCATATTTCTAAGTCATCATAGATATCTATTTGGCTGATATTTTTGTCACCCTGTGCCTTTTATACATGTCCCATTACCTTTTTAAAGCATTAGACAGTGTTTTTCAAAATGTTTTAGACACCAAAACATCTGAACATTGCCCCATGCAGATATTTTACTATTGCAAATGTTTGCATCCTTTTGGAAACATCTTTTTGACATTTCACAAATTCTATATGATCTAATTAATCAAAACTACTATTTTTTTTTATCAAAATCAATATGATATCATACTTAAAATGCAGTTATGTGGTTAAAATCTTTTTAATTTTTTTACAAAAAGTTGTTTTTAGAAGGTAACCTTGTGTGACCCCATTTTAGAGGCAAAAGCCCCTGTTACAATTAAAACGAAATATATTTTCTTAATAAGGAAAGTCAGAACTTTGAAACGATATGTTCATTTTTGTGGCGGATTACCAGACAACATTTCAATTTTTTGGAGCAGGTTAGGCACTATTACATTGGCAATAGCATATAGGATGTTTAGCTTTATATGGGGCCTTTAAAGGAAGAATCAGAGATACACACACTTCAATTTAGAAAATATGACTAGAAATGGCAAGACCCAAAAATATTCTAAAAGCAGAGGTAGCCTAGTTCACAAAATATATGTCATGGAAAATTCACAATGGGCTTTTAAATGGGTACATACAAAATCCACGAAGTGACTCATTGTAATTTGTGTTATGAATTTTTCAACCTAGTAAATTCTAAGATGCCACATTCAGATACAACTATTTAGGCTACATGACACTAAAAGGCCACTTAAGGGACATGTACATGCGCAACTGCATTTAAGTCCATGCTAAAAATATATTTTATTTACATAATTTACAAGACAGGTGTACTACTATTTACATGCCAGATGAAGGGACATGTGGATTATATTGTTTATAAACAAATCTGTGAACCACGTAAAAACCTAATGAAGTGTTTGTTTTTACATAGCATGTGGCATGTTAAAGGGACATGTGTAGTGTATTTGCACTGTTATTACAAAGGGTCTTGAATTGTTCCATACCCATAGACAGTGTTAAAGGAATCTACATACATGTATTTCATTATAGGTCCCACAGACTGTGTTAAAGGAATCTACATACATGTATTTCATTATAGGTCCCAAAGACAGTGTTAAAGGAATCTACATACATGTATTTCATTATAGGTCCCACAGACAGTGTTAAAGGAATCTACATACATGTATTTCATTATAGGTCCCAAAGACAGTGTTAAAGGAATCTACATACATGTATTTCATTAATAGGTCCCAAAGACAGTGTTAAAGGAATCTACATACATGTATTTCATTATAGGTCCTACAGACAGTGTTAAAGGAATCTACATACATGTATTTCATTATAGGTCCCAAAGACAGTGTTAAAGGAATCTACATACATGTATTTCATTAATAGGTCCCACAGACAGTGTTAAAGGAATCTACATACATGTATTTCATTATAGGTCCCAAAGACAGTGTTAAAGGAATCTACATACATGTATTTCATTAATAGGTCCCACAGACAGTGTTAAAGGAATCTATATACATGTATTTCATTAACAGGTCATCTTAAAGGGACTTGTGTTTTGCATAAACATAAACATGCCAGTTTAAAGGAATTTGTGTGTTATTCTTGCAGGTGTATCATTGCTGTGCTACGAGTGTGTGAGCACTAAAAATCCATCATGTGGCAGGTACTTTGATTCCACATCGCACACACCAGTGAATTGTGAAGAGCAGGAAGGGAGTAACAAGACATACACATGTGCTGCACAGAGACAAACAGGTTCAAAACTAAATATAAGCCGGAATCATTTAGAGGCATTTTGGTCTCAAATTTATATAAAAGATTAATATATATCAGATTAAAACCAATGATTATCTCAATTTTTTTTATCTAAATAGAACATATGATATTTAAACGATATGTGCCTAAAAGATTATTAAGTCGAGACATTTTTTAAAGTTGCTTTAGCCACTGGAATGTATATCTGCTTCTCCCTCAGGCAAAATGTTTTGAAATCATGGTTATCTCACACACAAAAACACTCATAGTAAACTCAATATGGCCATCGACTATGTGATTTAGTATAAATGTATTTTTAAATTTCCAAAAATGCAATTTTGTTTGTTTTTTGTCTTTTCATCGACCTTAAATCATATTTTCAGAACACCAGTTTTCCATCCTACGAGGCTGCTACCCCCTGAACCTAATACCAGGTCTTAATGACTCAAATGGCTGCCGAATGTTCATGAACCCTAGCAACAACTACTCCGCACTTTACTGCTTCTGTAACACCGACAACTGTAATGATTCATGGTCCATACATAAGGGGGTCTCGGGGGTCTACTCTTTACATGGTCCATTACTTCATTTAGCCCTATGTGCTACTTTTCTATTTATATACAACAGATTGATAGTCAGAGAGAGTTGATTCTCGTTTCCAGTGTGGTGTAAATATAATGTACAAATTGTAATATACAAAAATAGAGGAACAGATTGTTTAAGATTACACCGGAAATCTCCATCTCAAATGGTACATTTTGGTACAATTTTTCATGTACTTTGCACCATTAGCAGTACAGTTTGTGATATGGTACTGTTTAGTAATTGTACTCAGTACTGTTGCAGAGTGGCAGGGTAGTGCATGTAGGATCAGTAGGAAAGATGTACCATAGCCTTCCTACAGACCCTATAAATGAACATGTACTCAATAAAAAAAGTATCAAAGACAAAATGTAATTGTGCCAATTATGTTTTTATCAAGATCATGAAAATTATGTAGTAAATTGTAATTGTGCATGTGAATGTGATGATTGTGTTGTTTTCATGATGAATATGTTGTAATCATGACAATTATGTTGTAATCGTGACAATTATGTTGTAATAATCATGATGATGATTGTGTTGCAATTGTGAAGATTTTTATTTGAAATGCAAGAGTGAACTTGGTCAGGAATTTTATGATCGGCATGAAGGCACTGCGTCATGGAGAAAGACATTTTGAGATATTGTCTATGAAGAATATTATATCAATATTCTGCAATAAATTGCAGGAAACATCCCACTTCAAAAAAGTATTGACGGAGATCTGATGATCGAAAAGAACATTATTATTTATCATAATGGCATGTGCATGCAGATCGAAAAATGCTTACTCTGTATCCATTAGTATACTATTCATTTGACTTTCCATCTTAAAAGAGGGCTTCATCTGCACTCTTTAAGATGTCAATAAAAATTTGACCAATAAAAACTAATAACAAGTTATGTTTGTTTCAAACTAAGCTCTGCACTCAGGGTTAACATATTCATTCTGTACATAATGTAACCACAGACTCATTGGCTCGTTACATTTTGCGTCAAATATCACATTTCTCGAGTTCGGTGGCATTTAAAGTTCAATGGGTACAGGCCAAATGTGACAGAATTGATCATATATACTAATGCTGATCACAATTGTAAATTTTATTATCACAGATGTATTTATTTTCAGGGAATTTTGTTTCAGATAGCTGACAATATTTGATAAGGTTCAATTATAGATTATAGGGAGTTTAAGCTTGCATATAATACGGAAACGCCAACGTATGACCAATCCTGCATACAAATGCATCGCTTAAATATTTTTCATTCAAATTTAGGCTGTGAAAAACATCGCAAGCTGAAACTCCCAATTGTAAACAATGTGTACCCTAAACAGAAATTTAATACATCCCTCTTTTCAAATACATGTGAGGGCACTGTCCAGGCCATGACAGGATTTCAAGTTAAGCTAAGCCAATCAAACCAAATTAATGCCAAAAACATTAATCAAATGACCAATATCTGTAATTCTTGTCATATCCCAAAAAACTTATGAAAACATTTTGAATTTATAATATGTGACTTACACAATATTTTTGGCTTATCTATGTATTGTATTGTATTGTATCCTTTATTATGATGAGAATTACGGCCAATAAAATAATGTCTGATATATCTGTATTTGTATGTAATGAAGATTATCATAATATATACACAATATACCTAATAATTAACTAAAAATGTGTTTTTGCCTTCTGTATCATGTGTGTTAGTATATATTGGGTTGATTTGGTGCTTTTTAAGTTATGATTTGACCACTTTCTGGATATTGACCACTTAATTTGACAGACTTGCAAAAATTACTTAAAATACTCTACGATATAGTATGTAATATTATAATTGTTATTGTGAAAGATTAAAGGAAGTTGACTCTGTTTTCCTGTTTTTTCCTCACTTTTTCGTATCACTTTCTAAAAATGTGACAGTTCTGAATTTCAGAATAACTCTTTGATTTTTAGGTTTTCTGGCAAAAGGCACATTTCTGCCCTTTTAATCTTCAATCTGAACAGATATCTCAATCTATTTTCAAAAAGTAAAAATGGGATTTTTTGGAAAACATTGGCATTATCTTTAAAGGAGAACTCTATCCTTTCTAACTCATTTAAGACCTTGTATATAATTGGGTGCCAAATTACCCTGATTTACAATAACGAGTATGTATTTAGCGTCAAAAACCTGAAAAGTATAACCTTCTGACCTTATGTTGTATTTTTGAATGTACTAGCCATGGAGTTTAATCATTTTTTCTTATTTGATGTAAACATCTATTATTTGTAAGTAGTTGAAAAATAAACTTCATCTTAAATTATTCACAAAATAAAAGAAGTTGTGAGTTAACCCAATCTATTTGTTTGAAAGGTAAAACAAATAACTTATAAGTTTTAAGATAAAACAAATAACTAATAAATTAATTGTAGTTTTCTGATTTTCTCCGGACTGTCTTATGTACTGGCAACAAAAATCCATAATTTCAAGTGATTGAAAAATAAATTTCATTTTCTTATTTCAATGATGTATTTATTTGATTTTCATTTCTGATGATTCACCAATAATACCATGATTTATAATACAACTGTGAAGGTTAAAATCTTTTGTCACAAATATTAACCAAATTATACTCAAAATTCCTGGAATCTTTCGGTTCAGTCTATGGCAAATAGTAGAGAATGTTGATAGTTGTTTAACGAACCGCTCTAAAGTACTGTTCCTCATTTAAGCATTTTGTAATTTGATTTGGAAAATATCATTGAGGTTCGTCTAATTTTGCACCCGCCACTTCTTCTCCAAGAGATTGTAAAAGTTCATTCCTATAATCGTCAAAGCCGCCATCTATTTCATTGATGGTCTGCTCTTCCACGACCCACAGCTGGCAGTTGGTTTCACGGATCAAACGCTCGTCATGAGAAACTATTATTACACCTGCAAAGAATATAAGAATATAAATTCCATATTAATCTAATCTGAAAAGATTTGACAAATCCTATGGCTAAAGGGTCACAACGTGGTTGTTCGATCTTGGTGTCTACAGATTACAGATAAGATGTAAATATTGCTTTAATAAAGCTACAAAAATCCTGTTTATAAATAGTGTTGTTGAACGAAGGAAGGTTCAATATTGATTTGAAAATAGAACACTTCATTTGAAAGTCAAACACCACATTAGAAAACAGAACAATTTATTTGAAAATTAAACAGTTCAATAAGTTAACAACAAGTTAGAACACTGCACTATCATTGATTAAAGACAACCTCAGATGGCACACATTACCATATTTTTAAGTTGTCTTTAAATCAAATCATCAGTATAAATCTTGTACTAGAAAAGTTATCAGATCAATATGACATTGGCAATATGATTAAATCATGAAAAATTACTTAATAATGAATAAATCAGTAAATGTAATAAATGGACTAGACCGGAGAAATGAGACTCCAACCAAACCAATACTTTATGATCTTTTTCACCACATATGTTTTTCATTTGCGGCCTATATAATGTAGATTTTCTTATCTAGGATATTCAAATCTCCAAGGATGTGTTCGTCATAAAAAAGTAAATCACTATTCCGGAATAATAAAAATGCCTTTTAGGAAACTTAGTGCAACAGTGACATCATGAAAGATAAGGGGACAAGCAGTGGGGGGGGGGAGCGGGCTCATCAGCAATCAGGACTCGGAATCCTCAATATTCATTAGAAATATTCTGTAGGGTTATGTCTCTGTCTCACAAAAGATAATAACCATTAGGGTTTGAATGGATACTAAATGATTTTGCAAAGGAAGTCTCATTATTATTAGCACAAGACACTACTCTACATGCAAATAACAAAATAATAAGATTAAACCAAGGCTGTTAAATGCCAAAACTGTCACCATTAAATCTTGCAATTTAAGTTACCATATAGTTAATGCTAATCCAGTTAACCATCATTGCAATACACAAAGCGTAACAACATCTGAATCATTAGTAAATTGAAGAATCTTTTCTTAAAATTTAAAGACCTGAAGAAATTATCATTTCAAATAAAAAAAATCTCCAGATTTGTCTTAAACGTTTTTATGTTGAAGATACAGACAAAAACAGAAGCGATTCACTCTCATGGGGAGATGACATTCTTTTCCACTGATTAATAAGCATTATGAAAAATAGCCAATAAGTTTGCCAGACATGAGCATGTTAACAACATTAGGGCCACGTTGGTATGATAAGAGCCATGTACAAAGCGAAGGCAGTTATTGCTGTCTATTGCTCTTGAACAGTTTGAATTCTAAGCTATCGTAATATTATTTTAAGTCTGTTTTCCATACTTTATAAGAATGATCAGCAAACAACATCCCAAAAGCAACTTTAATGGCAAATGATTCCAGCTTTTTAAGTTGGTCAGAGATGGTGACAGTGGCATCTTGGGAAATCTCCTCTCTTGGACAAAAATGATTTACGGACTCTTGAGGATACTTAATAAATATATCATATCACAAACGGATAGTAGTCTGTGTATGTGTCTGATAATGTTGATTATACATGTATTGTATATAAAAAGTGCATAATATTGTGGACATGTAGAAGATGTATTTATTACATAAAATATTGAGTGAAGAGATATTGTAAATGTACTGCGTGCATATAACACACATACTAGTCAATGTATCGTGACTGACCATTAAATTGACGATGTGTAAAATTTTCAGAATTTTTTAATGCCTGATTTAAGAAAAATGTGTGTTCAAAAAGTTCACCACATTGATACCAATCCTTTCTAAATCTGTATAATATATAATGTATCTCATAATTTGATTGGTTTAAGAAAAATGTGTGTTCAAAAAGTTCACCATGTCGATATCAATCCTTTCTAAATCTGTATAATATATAATGTATCTCATAATATGAGAACATTACATCCATCAATTTGTTTTAAGAATGCTTGAGGTGGTGCATTTTGGGTACTTACCTCCTTCATAGTCATTGATAGCATCAGCTAGTGCATCAATTGATTCAATGTCCAAGTTGTTGGTAGGTTCATCCTTAAGAAAATAATGTAAAATAAATATAAACTAGATTACCAAGGTGTAGCATATTCCATCTAACATCTTATAATATAAGAGTCAGACAAGACTGCTTGAAATCATTTCTCAACAACAACAAGCTTTTAAGGACTAAATATAAATCATAAATCATTTTTACGCATTAAAATATATAAGTAATATTAAAATCTTATAAGTTGTAATCATAAAATATTATTTTTGACCATGAAAATATTTTTGGCTAATTTACTAGACATTCCCGATTCTCATAACTAAAGATGCTGCCAAATAACAATTAATAATAAATTAATTGGTTTTATGTGTTTTTTATGGGAGTTAGTCAATTATAACATCTCAATTCTGAAGCTTGCATGTAAACAAAACTGGTTGCCAGGAAACACAGTTCAATGTAGGTCAGCGCACATGCGCAGAAAATCATCAATTTCCTTCCATTTTTTATTGAGGCTGGAGGTAGCTCTTGATATCTGAGCGAATCTTGTAAGTATTTACCCGCCAACCCTCCCCCAAAAAGACCACCCATGAATTATCCCCCAACTAAGGTGAGATCAAGAAAATGGTAAAGGAGATATGGTTAGTAATAAATGAAGGTAAGCAACTAAAGTAATCACTATTATATTGCTCAAATCTATATCTTTAATGACTACTCCCTAAAAAAACCCCACATAGACCAAAAATACAAATAAAATGAGTAAATCATGTGTAATCCCTTCTTACTTCTAGATCAATATGTAAATAAGATGAGAATACTTTATACACTGACCAGTATAAGGACATCTGGGGCCCTGCATGAGAGATCTGCAAATGACACACGTGACTTCTGACCTCCAGAGAGATCTCGTATTTTTATAGTATGAGCGTGGCTTGTTAATCCAAACCTGCCTAGAGTCTTCCTAGCTAGCTGGTAATCCAGGTTGTATAACCGCTGAAATATAGTCATGGCATCTATATTTATACTTCGGTCTCACATTTAAATTTTTTTCCAATAAGTAATTTTAACTATATGATAGTGCTTAGCAGCAAGTTTGCTAGTGGTAGAGCACTTGACATGTAATTGAGAGGTTGTGGGTTCGATTCCCACAAAGGTGGAGTGACTTTTAAACATCAATCTTCAGCATAGGATTTGATATTGTGTTTCAAATTAACCATAATAACCTAATTTATTCATACTATACTTGAAGATACTAAATGAATAACTATAGAATAATCTATGTAATAAAACAACAGTTTATATTAAATATTCAAAATGAATGTTTTTAGTAAGTTGTAATATTCAACGCACCTTTGCATTGCAGAGCATGCCACTGTTTCAAAAGTGTAGATCGAAATAAATAAATAATACCTGAAGATATTCTACTGCGCTCTCATCATAATTGAGCTGCTCAGCAGCCTGCTGATTATACTGGCCTATTCTCTAAAATAATGAACACAAACATTATGAGTATAATATTGCATACAGAGTAAACCGAGCATAGTCTAAAGAGTGGTGTAAACATAAGAAATTTAATAACACAAATACCTATATCTAACAAAAACCAGATGAAATCAATATTAAGATTTAAAACTCATTAAATATGTGTATATAATCATTATGTATTTGCAAATTACACTGTCCTTTGTTTTGTATGTGTTTATATACTTACTAAGCGATGGTTTTTCCTGACCTCCCCTTGGGTCTGAAGAGTAAAAAATAAATAAAACATTAGGATAACATAAGTGTAATTTGTGTGATATTAGATCTATGCTGTTTTAAAGCATAAGCACAACATTAAATAGTTCCTCTGTTGAGTTGTTTTAATTATTTTTCTTGGGGTCAGTTATCTAAGCTTGTATTCGCGAATGCAAATAATGGCTACCAGCTATCGGGTTGATTGCAGTTTGAGGCCAAACTCATTTAAATATGAATAGTACCTGCCGTGCTTCCTGTTAGCGACCTGTTATCGATCCTTTCATTGGCATAAAAAGTCCTGTGATCACTGCTAACTGTTTGACGACTGATGGGATGTTCGTAATTACAACTTCAAAATGACGAGTTAATTCATGAAAATTAATAGGTTAATCTGGTAGCCGCTATTTGCATTCGCGAATACAAGCTAAGTAAATCTTATTTTTCACTACTCACTGGGGTGAGTTCTCCTAAGAGAAGTTTCAGGAATGTTGTCTTTCCGACACCATTAGGTCCTACTATAGCAACTGAAAGCAAAGATTATATAAATATGGATAAAAATAAATATTACCAACTAAGGCCATATGATTACATGGAATATATGTCAATGTATCTGAGTTAGCTTAAACTGACTGAATACTAAATAGTCCATCATCATCAGCAATATCCTATTGAAATTCAAAGATATAAAATTTTTAGAAAATATAAGACAAATGGTGCTGACAATTGAAAGTGATTGGGGACATGAAAGTCAGATGACGATATCATTACCACATTTTTCGCGATCTTGTGACTACTCTTCTTTAGACTCTGGAAAAGCTATAAGACTCTGGAGCACGAGGGTCTAAAGACATTAGACTCTATAAAGCCTAGAGTCTAAAAACCTAGTGAGAACCCTGATAACTGAACAGTCACAGAAGCAGCAATGTTTATTTATTATTAAAAAGGAAAAGAATAGTGTACTTACTTCTAGACTCCATGTCAATACCAAAGTCTAGGTTCAAGAACAGAGGCTTATGACCAGAGTAGGCAAAGTCAACACCTAAAATACATACAATTACATGTTAACACACATTTTAGAGGTCAGTCAAAATGTGAACGTTTTGTGAAGGTAATCAAGGAGCATAAGATCCATTCACTATTTTTCTGAAGACAAAAAACATATTTCATATATACACATAAAACATATAAACATATATATTAATTTCCATGTTTCTTACTTTTTGTGAAGGTGAGGAAGGTCACCTGATTACCAAAATGACTTAGTGAAAACATTTATCATTTTCGACCATGCCCCTTGGAGATAGTTACCTATTCAAAGTAATGGGTAGAGATGTCACACCAACCCGAAGTTGACCCGAATCTCGGATCAACCTGCTATGAAAACCATTGACCCTATTCATAATATTCAAATCAGACTATTCAAAAGTGTTTTTTCAAACAATATGCTCCTAAGTTGAAAACATCTTACTATGTGCTCCCAAGATGGGTGGATTCAGAGGCGGAGGATTCTCAAAAGTAAACTTGACAACATATTCTTTAGGTTTCTCAAGAAGCTCAGTTGGTCCAATGTCTTCTTCAGCCTCCTTTTGTTTCGTCTTGTTCTTCATCTGTTTCCTCGTCAGGAGCTCTTTGGTTACCTTTTCCTAATGAATCACAAAAATTTAAGTAATACAAAATAGATTGTAGATACGTATTAACAAACAAAACAGATCCCTAGAATCGTTCCAAATCGCAGAAGAGATATCTTTACAAATAGCGCAATCCAAACAACCTGATAAAAACATTATCAGGTTTATTCTCTACATTATTCTGCAGATAACTCACTAAATATTCTTCTATTTAAGGTATAACTTACAGCTGCTTTCTTTGACTTTCCATGAGATTTGAGCTCCCTGATTTTCTTTTCTTGTTTTTCATAGTCTTTCTGCTGTTCTTTACGCTTCTGCTTAAACATCTTCTTAAATTGGGCTGGAATATATTAAACAGAAACATGGGAACTTGGCTTATATGGAGATCGTGTTGGCACTTGGATTATATAGATATTATATTGGTACTTAGCTTATGTGAAGATAATGTTGGTCATTGGCTTATATGTGGATTGTGTTGTGTAGTGTTACACCTTGTAATGTTAAAGCTTAAATAAGCTGTTTTGGTCAATATATCATACATTCTGCAGTTCATCCGTGTGACAGGATGCAAGCAGGTTTCAAAAGGGTGACATGTACTTTTTGGAGTTTCAATAGGATACAGTACTCAGTTTCTGTAATGCCGAGGAGAAAAGTATACAATAACATACCATAGTTGCCTCTATAGTATTGCAGCTTCTTCATGTCAAGATGGATAATGTCTGTACACACATTGTCTAAGAAACTCTGGTCATGGGACACTACCAGCAATGTCTTCTTCCACAGAGATAGGTAGCTAAAAACAGCACATTGCAATAAGCATTAGCTTTTTTAGTTTAGGAAACAAATATTTTCAAATGTGGGAAAAGCCCATATAGCGCTAAAATTCATGGTTAATACTTTATGCCTTTTTGTCCATCTACTTAATATTTCAATGCATCTGAAAATGAGGCCATGATGTGGTAATGCAACTTTTTTTTAATTCTTAAACATGTTCTTCAATTTGGTTATTAAATCACAAAAACAGTTTTCGTCTAAACACAACCAGAACATTTCGAATCCCATCTGGATCTGGATATCAACTGTAATAAAACCAAACTGAAGCGCTAGCAAATTACTATATTTTTGGTCACACTTCAGTTCAGTTTAATTAAAGTTGATAAAGGATCCAGATGGGTATGGCATTATTTTTGCTTCTTTATTCATTAAATTCAAATATATTTGATATATGAAACATTTATATTCGCTAAATCATTTTTCCATTCGGTAAAAACGTTTATATGTTTGTAACAGCAAATTAGGTTTTCAAAGTAGCCAATCACTTAATACTATGTGCATTACATTACATATTTCATTCTTTAAATTATATTTTTGCGTAAATTGTTATGGTATTCCTTAAAGATCTTATAGCAAAGGTTTTGCAAAAATAAATCAATGTAGTATAAAACAAATGTATGTATAATGAAGAAATAAATATATAATGAAAAAAATAGATATCTGTTTGTAATATTGGTATAAACTTAAGATTAAAAAGTGTCACTATCTCTTTCACTTTTCAACAAATATAGGCTCACGTGACATGTGACGCGGGGCAGGCAATTTTGATCTATCGTAGACCATATCAGTATCAAATTGCTGATATTTCAACCTCGTCTTGCGAGGCCATTTTGATTTGAAACATCTTGAATTTGGTGTCAAAATGAAGCTGGTCACGCCCACTTTCAGAGTTATCAATGAATCATTTACTACGACTACTATATTCATTTAGGACGCGTGTAAAGTTAACCAATCAGAAAGACAATTGTTCCATATATGGCAGTTCATTAACATATTCAGTGTTTACTACTGCTTTTCGCGTCATGACAACACGAGTAGTAACCAATCAAGATGCCGTATTTTATCACGTGAGTTCAGAGTGAGTTCAGAGTGACACGCACGCGACATGTTGTCTGAGGTGATCGCGATGTTGAACAATTTCTTCTCGGAATTTGTCCAGAGAAATCAGCGATTCTAAATTAAGGTAGGATCTGCCATTTTTTCCTGTACAAGTTATAACTTATCTCTATCGAATCCTAAAGTTTTGGAAGAAGATATGAAGCGTAGGTTTAAAAACGAAGCGATTAATTTGACGATCTGATTTTGCAATTTGCAATGGCCAATTTACTGCAAGTCCAGTGCATGTATTTGACAAGAGATAGCGCCAAGTCTTGTATCTAAATGGTTGTTAAGCCACTCAAAAACAAGATCCATATTTTCTAAATTTGATAACTTTGCAGAAAACCTGTTTTCATAATCTGTTTTCCGCATCTAGATTCAAACTGAGTATGATAATAGGATCGCTGGAATCTTCAGTCAATGGCAACGGGTCTTCATTCCAGAACTCACATTTTTAGTTGATTCTCCGTCATAGTTCTTGTCTAAAGTCCCCATATCTGCTCTCTTACTGCCATACTTGCACACATTTCCCCTCCTTAAATTGGCTTCATTCAAATTACACCCTCTCGCCGATTTATATAGCCATTTCCCAGAACCCGGGAATCAGAATCGCTGATGTTTGCCATATTGAACATATTATATGTACTGTAATATCTGTACATTGCCTGCTACGCGTAATGGTCACGTGACTAGCGCGATACAGGAAAAATGGGGAATTTCGAAACAACAATTTTTGGGCACTCTTATTGCAAATTTCAGGTATTTATAAAGTGTTTGTGGTATAAAATATAATCCACAGACATAAATGAACATCCAAACTACATATTTCATTAAGTTTTGGAGCCTTTTTTGCTCTTAAATTAACATCTTTAAGAGTAACACATTATATGCACAATATTGAATTTCTATTTGAACCCTACCGAAATAAGTTTGCCTATATTTACCAAATGGTTTATTTTTCTATGACATAGTTAATGCATTTTACCGAAAGCTAATTTGCTATTTACCGAATGCAATAAAGTAATATTAGATAACTTGCGTTGTTGTTCGATATTTTGTCACGTGACTTCGAGATTTGCAAAATGGCCGCGCAGCTATTTTACATCGTACAAATATATCACGTGACTGAAAGTCTCGTAAATTATCGAAAAATAACGAAATTTATCGAATGTGGCATTCGGTATTTACCGAATATAAATAATTTAATAAATACCGAATGTACAAATAATTAATTGAATTATACGTGCGTTAAGGAAAACAAATTGATTCGCTGCATCACACAAATACATGTATAAATATCAAATGTGAATGTCAATACAAAGAACAAGTGAAACTATTTAGCGAATATAAATTGTATTACATTTGATAAAATAAAAAAACATTCGATAGATTGGGTAAAGGTTTGGTAAATTGTTTGTTTTATTTGGTATTTATGGAATATTAATGTACCGAATAAAGAAGCAGTTTAAACACCATAGATGGGATCTGAAACATTCTGGGATTTCAAATAATAAAGGTTTTGTAAAGAAGAAAACTATTTTTGTAGTAATGTAACTGTTTGATAAAAACGACATCCTAAGACTATCTCTTGATATGGGTTTGTCTGATACTAGATGTAGTAGCTCAGTTGTAATACAAGCAAATGATGGAATGTCACCACTTGGTTGTAGTTACTTAAGAGTAACCATTTATTACAGATGCTGATTTAGAATACCAGTCACAAAAATAACGAATGTACTAATATGCCTTGGTGGTAACGCAATAAATAAACCATAATTAAACCATATTCATCAAAAATTACAATGTTCAAATAAATCATGCAAAACTGTGTCTTACTTGTCCAGCCAGATTACTGCATTTAGATCAAGATGATTGGTCGGTTCATCTAACAATAGAAGAGTCGGTTCCATAAACAGTGCTCTGAAAGATAAAACAAAGAAGATCTTTAAATAAATCTCAGAAATTAACACATGCTTGGTAGTACTGAGAAATACAGCAGCTGAGTTACTTTAGAGGGAAAGGTATCGTGAAATTGTTGGTTATTTTACCAAATGATAAAGGTATCAGAATTCTTTTGAAATTTTTTTCTTCAGTGCAGCATCAGTTAGTTACTTTGAAATGGGTGACTTCAATGTTTAATAAAAAGTTATCTTAAACATGTCTGACCTTGATATAACAAATTCCATAATATCAAGTCATCTGATTTTCTTCAAATTCATTTTTATGTACTACTATTGTATTTTAATTACAATGCTGTGGCATGGTACTGATTATCATGCATAAACAACTCTTGAAGAAAAGTGAATAATGAATACAAAACCACAAGAATGAAATGCTATCAAGTGACATCAAAACAGGGAGTGCTTACCTTGCCAGAGACACTCTCATTCTCCAACCTCCAGAAAAGTGTTTGGTAGGTCTCTCCTGCATCTCTCTTGTAAAGCCGAGTCCAGCCAAAATACGTCTTGCCCTGGACTCAGCAGCATCAGCCTTCATTGCGTTCAACTCATCGTAAACCTATAATTAACATGTTGACATTTGTAATATCAATCAAGTGTTAAATACATGTGTTCTCCATTCCTAGCAGATGATACCCTTTTCAGTTTTTCCTTGCACATCAAAATAGAAATATTTGGGAAATATTTTGTGCAAAACTCTAGCACTTCAGATTTTGAAATTTTGTTGCAATTGATTTTTAGATTCATGTGGCTACTAATTTTGGGTAATGCTTATTGGATGGTTTAGCCAGGCTCCCAATGGACTTATTCTGACATGGAACAAAATGCTGTCAAAGTAAATAAAAACAATTAAGTCTTGGAATATCAGAAAATGTTGTCACTTATATACTTTGCAAATTAATATTGAAAATTATAGTGTATACGTATTGAGCAAATTTTTAAAACTTGTGAAAAACATGAACCTTAGAGCATCCAAAAATGACCAAGAGTAGATATCTTAGATTTAGAGATCAAGTCCCAAAGAACATCTTACCTCCTTGAGCCTATCAAGGTCACTCTTCCCATCTTCTTTCTTCTCCCCCTGATGATCAGACTCTTCAAGTTTCTTGGCCTCTGCCAGCAGAGCTTCTCTCTTCTTGTCTGCGCGGAGAACTGCTTGCACTGCAGGGGTCTCATCTGCCACCACCTCTGTAGCAACAACATATGGGTTACCATAGCAATGTGCACAATACCTTTAGTTTGTTTTCGTTTTATTGAGGCAATGTAGTTGGCACATTACAATGACAAAATCCAACAATGTCATGTTTACATGACAGATATAGGATGTGGCATCAACCACATTGCTAGTTTCACATAAACATCATTACATTAAACAAGATATTTCTTTCATCAATCTGGCACTCTTTTTCTCTTAGTTCTATACACAATCCATTTCATTTACTGCTAAATCACCCACCCTTGTTAGCTTTTGGAAGGTCAAATTTTTGGGGACAAAAGTATGCTAAAAAAGATTTCCAAACATTTTGGATATAACTATGCTATGAATTACCCACTCATTAATTAAGAGAGTAAATAAGACATATAGAAGCCTACCTTGTTCACAGATGAGTACATCAATGTTAGGAGGGATATTCAGTGCCTTACTGGCTATATGTCTCAGTAATGTTGTCTTCCCATGTCTGCAAAATAATTAAGAGGTTTATTTCCTGGAATATTCTTCTGAAAAAAGGCTCAAAACAAGGGGGAAATTCAAGTTATAACAATACAATAACAAAATGCAATGGAAAATGCCACCACCTATCATTTGTTACAGATACCAAATGCTGACTGCCAAATACCAACTGCTAAACTCCAAGCACCTCTTGTGGTGACATAATAAACTCAACAATTATATAAAATATAACAATACAATAACATAGCACCATTTGGTGGGCACACATGTTGATTCTTTAATACTCAATTTCAAAAAACAAATCAAGTTACAAAATGAGGTCAAATTGCCAGAGTTGATCAAATTATGAGTATCACTGCAAAATTTGGGCTAAAAAAAAACATAAACTTGAAACTAAACTTGGTTTGAATAAATATTTTCCAAAATTAGGTCATTAGAAATCAAAATACTAAAATGTGTGATTGCATTCTATGAGGGAACTTAAGACAGAAAAACTATCTATAAACTTGGAATATGAAATGTTACTCACCCATTTGGTCCTACTAGACCATATCTTCGTCCAGCTGTTATATATAATGACGCATTCACAAATAGTTCTTTCCCTCTTGCTGATATAGAAAAATTTTCAATCTGGAAAAATATATAAGCAGCAAATATGGTAAAAATTATATTGTAAAATTTCAAGCTAAGTTGAGGTACATCTGCATTAAATGTCCTGAGATTATAAGAATGAAGGTATATATAATATATTACACACCGATGTTGTGCAAAGTTGTTGTTATGGTAGTAACATTAATTCAATGTTGTGAAGAGCACAATAATAAATTCAATCATTGTATGATGATGAGATGATTGTTAATATAAGAATACTGAATTTAGTGTTGAAAATAATTCCCACATACACAATGGGCGCATGCTATTAAATAACTCACCTTAATATCAAGAGCATTTTCCTCAGCAGCCGTACTCTTGGTCTTGGACTGTTCAGCTTGCGTCAGAGCAAACTGACCCATTTCTTCCCCCAAACTTTCTAGCTCTGCCTGGTATTGGGCCTAACAAAAAAAGCAATTTTTTATTTCTAACTAGAAAACTTCCACAAAATGAAAATAATCTGTCCACTGGTGTTTGAATTATGCTCCGGAGAGATGGTAGGACTGACAGATGGAGGGCTTCGCTACATCCCTTCTGAACTTATTCCGTTAATATAATTAATATTAATAAGTAATATCTGATGAACAACCTGGTATAAAATCATTTTGATATGGCATTTTATCATTATCAGTTCAAAACACTTTATATATTATCATACTAAATGTATTTATTTATTTCACTTATAATAGAGAATTAATACTGTGAATGACACAAATGGATAAGGGTATTTTTATCTGATCTGCTTATTTCTAGTTTGAAACTTACATAAAAATATACATTTTAAAACTGATTCTGTTGAAAGGATTATTTTTGGGTTATTATGTTACTATCTGGTTACCTGTTTCTTCATCTTTTTCAATTCCTTTTTACTCAGCTTTTTATCAGCCATCATAACTATAATGAGATACAATATCATCAATAAATGTTTATGATATGATTTTTCCATGGAGATGGGGGAACAAGAAAATCTGAAATAAATGTGTGACATATACGCAATTTGTGTGAAAATTCTGAACAAAATGTATTAGTTTTTCTGCAGTTAGTTAGTTAGTTTTTTTGATGGTCTTCTGAAATATTTTTGCTTCAAATAATCAGAAAAATGTGTATTGGCGTAACTTTTTTGTCACACAAAAAAATGGGTGTGACTTCAATTTCTTCAGCGAATGCGTGAAAATTACGCAAATTGAGAGACATTTGGACGGCCTGCACACATTACAGATGAACCTATCTTCTTATAAACATGTAAGGCTTCATCTGATCTTTACATAGCTATATAGAATTTCTCTCTCAATTATGAGTTTTTTTCTCTTTTCTCTTTTTTGCACAATCAAATATTAAATGGGCGATAATAGAGATGACACATGTATTATTATTGATCATTTGTGATTGATATGGACATCTATGTTGATGATTTACCTGGTTCTATCTCTGAATTTTTGAGTTTTGGAAGTTTAATTTCCTCCTCTTCATAATCATCATCGTCCATATCGTCGGGATAATCGTCTTCAATCCCCCGATTTTCAGGAGATTCTTTTCCTTTTTTCCCCACGTCGTCTTTTTCATTTTTTGTCCCCTTTCCTTTTTGTTTCTTCGGCATCTTGGTGTCCAATCGGAACCTTTGAATTTAGCTCGAAATACCACTTGAAATTAATATGATATGAACAGCAAAGTAGAAGTTATATTGAAATAAATTACAGAAAATGAAAAAATATTGCAGACTTTTTAACTTCCGGTAATTTGAAGCATGCGCATTGTACTGAAAATAGCGAAACCAAAGTTTGTTTACATCCGGTCGGTGCTCCAGCTTTTTCTAGAAAATCGAGAAGCATCTACGTTTTTGTAGATGCAATGAGATAAGTCCAGAGGGTCATCTGTGAGTATATAAGCAGAGACTGTCGCCGAATACTCAGATCAACTTTCAAAGCTAACTGAACGGTATAGCAAGCGACAGGATAAGGCATTGGACTAGCATAGACTACAAAGTGACTTATTGTGATTATTACAGGAACACATCAGCACTCTACATAAGACATGGCATTTTCATTTGGCTACACACCGTCATACAGACGAAGACACAGGTAAATAACAATAATATTTCTATCGAGACATGGGCACTCATTTCACTCAAGACTAAACACATCATACCATTACAGAGATTCTCTCCAGATATGCTAATATTAGGATGTGATTTTATTTGAACTTGTAATATGTGAACTGCAATAATGTAGATTTTCATAGCAGATTTCACAGTATTTGTGTAGATATATGTACAAGAGCTCACTCAAGTTTGTCATTACATGTAAATTCTGCACATGCAAATTGCATTGAAATCCATCTGAGACTAACATAAATTTTATGTTAGTCTCAGAATCCATCAATCTACAATAGTGGGCATATCTAGTCTAATATCATTTTCTTATTTCTGAATTGTTTCATTTTTAAGCACTTAACAATTTGTTGTTTTTTAAATGAAATACCTAGTAGATAATGTACAATATTGTGCAGTATTTACATGTATAGAGAGAAACATGAGGTTTCTAATTTGGAATTTGATAAACTTGTTATAAGATTTCATTTACAGGTACCCTTATGCTCTATAAAATTTTATTTACAGGTACCCTTATGCTCTATTTGACACTTCTCCGCTGGACAACATTATCGCGCCTCCCACATCCAGGTGGTTCTGGGATTCCGATGAAGAGGAGCAGGCTTATCCTTACAACCAGCTCTGCCAATTGATGCACCTTGTTGATGGGAATGACCCTACATGTAAACCACAGGTGCGTAAGAATCCTGAGTGGCATCAGGTAGTCGATACACACCAATATGATGAAGAGGATGTCAAAGTGTCTGTCGATGGGCACTCTGTCATTGTTACTGCCAAACATGAGACGACAAATGGAGAGGACTTTGACATGATTCAAATGAATCGCTGTTTCAAGGTCGGCCAAGATGTGGATCTTTCAAAATTGAAGACAAAATTCTGGAAAGGTCACCTTGTGATGAAAGCCCCAAAGAAAGATACTAAGGAGGAGCGTGAACTTGCAGTGGAGTGTACAGATGACGCCAAATCTAAAGCTGCAGTTGAAAAATCAAACCAAGAAAAATCACTCTCTTGCGTTGACCCTAAGGACTTCAAACTAAGTCTGAATCTGAGTGCGTTCAGCCCTGAAGATATCAAAATTAAAACAAGTGGAAACACAGTTACAGTAAAAGCCCAAAAGGAAAACACGTCTGATGACCATTATTCCAAGATGTCTTTCTACAGAAGCTTCGTTCTCCCAGATAATGTTGATGCCCACAGCCTGAAGTCAAAGTTTGATGCCGATGGTCAGCTTTGCATAACAATGAGTGATCAAGAGGAAGCCAAGAAAGAAAATGATGCTTCAAACAAAGTTGGTGCTGAGAAATAACTTGCTGTATGTTAATGATAATATACAGTACAGTGATGTACAATAACAAACAGTGAGGAAATATCACGAGATGAAAATGAACAATAACAGGCCAACACCAACATATCATCAAAAGTGATGAACAGTTACAGACAATGATGAACATTAAACCACAATGATGAACTACTGTATAACAGATAATGTTAAATAATTTTCTTTGTTTTTGCTTATAAATGTTCTCAGTGTTGTTTCTGAAAATGTACATAATCCTAAAGTTGCCAAGAGAGCAAATACTGTAATTATTAGTTAGGCATTCTTTGCACAAATAGTTGTTAAACATTTTTTTGTTCAAGAATACAATTATTTGCTTATAAATATTTTATAGTTGTAAGTTTAGAGCGGTGAGTTCATAGTTGCCCAGCCAGGAAATGCTGTAATTACATGTCGTTTTTGCAGACAATATTTCTTTGTTTTTGTTGAAGAATACAATTATGCGCTTATAAATGTTTTCAGTATTGTGCTTGATAATGCACATAATCCTAAAGTTGCCAAGAGTTCATTTTATGTGAATAATATCTTTGTAATAAATTCTATAAAACTAGACTCCATGTCTGCATGTTGTTCTCCTTAATGTCAGTGAATTAAGATTGTGCTACAGGGTGACCCAAAAAATAGAACCCTCTAAAAGTGTAATCATTTCTTACATACCTATCCTATCAACCCCAATTTTTATGTGCATAAACTAGAATCTGGATGATAAAATGATATTAAATTCAATACACAAAATTAACTATTTGTGATATCGTGGATGTTCTTAGAATGTGTCCAATTTTCGGGAAATCAATATTGAGACAAGATCATATCTAGATTCTAAAAGGAATTTTGAAGGAAATTTTGAAGGAGACATGGAATCAAAGTCTCAATTAATGTTTTAATTGATAAATGAAGAATAGTCAATTCTAAAACATCTAGAAACAAGTGAGTGATTGCAAAAGCTCAACATGTGAGCTAAAAAATCAGATGACTGAAATTCCTGGCTTCTAAACAAGAACACCTCAAATGCTGTATAAAATTCCACTGGATGAATTCTCAAGAAGATTAAGACAACAGAATGATCAGCCAAGAGCACTGTGTTATCAAAGTCAAATATTTACCCTAATAGCTTACAGGCCTGCCAACTTGGGAACACCTAACATGAGTGACTTACAAATGTTGAACACCTTTCCTCACATTTTGGACACTTTGGCCCAACATTTTGAGCACCTTGGTTCAAATTTTATTGCATATAACCAACTTTTGGACACCTCAAAATCTTTCCGGAGAGTCCAATATAGCATTTGAAAGGTGAGATTGTCAGCTTTAAGGATCTGACCTCAGTCTGGAAAATTGTGAGAAAACATTTACATGAGAACTAATCTGTCACAAAATGCAGCATTCTGAACTTTAAGGTCAAGGTCATTGTAAACATGAGTTTTGGATATAAATATTAAATATACATGGAGTTGTACTTTCTTGTTCTTCAAGTTATATTTTGTCTTGTAGATAGTGACTGGAATTAATTTTATTTTACTCAAAAATGACCCCTTGGAAATGAAAGGGTTAATTTTTCAATTTTGCGACAAGCAAACCTCTGAATGGAGGTTAGATCCTTAAGGCATACATTCCACCTTTCCAATGGTGTATTTGAACCTGAGGACTAAAAGGGTCATTCTTTTGACCCAAGATTGCTCTATAATGATGAGTAGTCACATTTTGCATCACTACAGACATTTCAATATCATTTATAAACATCTGAATTCAGCATTGCTTAGACCAGCAATGTTAGTACTAAGTATAAACACCGTGTTGACATTGTACAATACTTTATTTCATATCATACTGATGTTACATAAGATATACTATAAATATAAGAATTCGCATATAAATACTTGGAATTATGAACTAACATCTCATCGGAAGATGGCGTTTAAACCTTCCACGCAACATAGTACACATATTACACAAAAACTAAAATACCCTCAGGCCAGTGTTGTGCTTTGTAAGTGTAGATTCAATAGACCTATCAGAGTCATTTGATTATTTCTGATTGACCAATTCAAAGCCATACCACATGAAACCGAACTACCCATTCCCTATGTGACCATAGTGTAAATTTTCGAAACATCCTCATATTTTATAATTATGACAATGGTCAACATAAATAATTTAATGAATTACATATTTTCCAATTTTTTCAAAATCTGGCCTCTTAATTAGAACATTATGTATGGTAAAGTATTGACTTAGTAGTTTATCACTGGGTTTTACCTCATAGTAGTTCTGAATGTCCAGAAATCTGTAACAAATGTGTGCATGCTACAGTTGCAAATGCATTTTCCATTTTGAGGGATCTTTGTCCAACTCTACATTACATGACATGTTAATAGTACAAAATACTACACTCTTTCTGATGTTCTTTCACTAACAGTATCAGTACATATACTAGCATTCTGACTTTGTTGGCTGTCTCGATTAATATTTGAACCATCTTGGTTTCCTTGGCGACCATCTTGGTTGGCTTGACGACCATCTTGACTTCCTTGTCGGCTCTCCTGGTTGCCCTGGATTGGTGACTTTTTCTGCTTTAATGGGAGTAGGGGCCCACCCCCATAGATTCCAAACAGGAAGTCCCACATTTCCCGAGATAACTGGCCATAGTCTGAGCCTTGTCGAATAGTTGGAACACCCGATTTCATCACTTGTATTCTTGTGTTGTCTATTGGGCCAGGAGCATCTAAAACAAAAGTGAAAGTGCAGGAATACTCCAATCATAGAAGCACTCGTCAGATATAAAATGGGAATTATAAATACAGTAAAACCTTTCTAAAAAAAGTGTTCACAATACAAAATGTCACCACCTGGTGACAATTGATTGCCAATGTCACATTCTAAGTAACATAAACAAATGTCATGGAAACAAATATTGTGTATTGCAGTCTCTAGTTTTTGTGTTACATGTATGACTTTCGCAAAATCTGAAAATTACTGCTGCAGTTATCACTTTATTAGAAAATTATGAATCTGATCATTACATCTCAAGTTATTTCTCAAATAGAAAAATATCCGGAACAATAAACATGAAAACAGGACACCAAAACGTGTAGTTTATTGAGTCTAGTAGCAACTTACCATCATGCTTGCCTCTGACAAAGTTCTCCCACTCTCTGAACCAAACCATACTGATGACATATATAGCATCATTATCATCTTCTTCCTGGAACTCTTTGTTTAACTGAAACAAAAATGGGTTAAAATGATAAAATGTTCAATTTGTTAAAGAGAGACATTAGGTATAAATAGTGAGGCAGACTAATGGAACAGCCAAAACAAAAGACTTTGGGTATTTTTAACAAGGCTGGTCTCAGATTTCATAAATTGATTGAGCAAATGTTTTGCTTCCAATTTTGTTATGTGTATCCTTCAATGTTTTGATGTTCACATTCTACAATTTGATTTTAAGTTTATTCATTGTTTGGGATGTCGTAGAACACTTAAAATCATTATAATATAGGCCTATTTCAAATTTAAAAGCTTACTAGCTTAGTCAATCAAAATTGAGTATTCAACAATGCTGTTAATCAAACTTACGAATCCTGTCTTTCTTTACCATGTCAAAGTATGGATGTAACTGATATTTCAATGAGAGTTGCTAGCAAGTTTGAAATCCCCCTTAAAGAGACCCTATCAAATTATTAATATTTGTTTGGTTTAGCACAGCTATCTGCCAAAAGACCTACTCCCTTCCTTGAACACAATTTCGCAAAAATAAACCGTGTATTAGTGGATAGAATGAATGCTTTAGAGATTGAAGAAAGCCAAATATAAATGTTCTGTTTTGTGTTCTCTCTGATAGCATCTCATTCAGGTGATTACATTTCAGGATTTAAACCTTGGACTCAGTGCATTGCTAAATCAATCCATTAAAGGTGTTGTTTCCAAATCATTGCATGACCACGCAGCGGGAATGCAAAGTTTAGGGAACAATGCCTGAGTGGAATGAATAAGCCACCATGCATTGAGTCTTGGGCTTAAATTCTTGCAAAATATTAACTACAAAATCACTACAAGAGAACATATTTTCAATGAAACATTTTGCAAGGGTGAAGTTGGCAAAGCATCAATTTCAATCTCCTCACCTTGACAACCATACAACAAATGCGTTATTGGTTATATAACAGAATGCAGTGAGATTATGTTTGACTCAAAACCATTAAATGCTACAATAAAGTAGTAAATATAGTTATTACCTTTACAAAAGTTTCCATTTCATGTTTCTGTCTATTCTCCAGTTTTTCTTTGATGTCAAGGCATGTTGTACATTGGAATACACGGTTCACAGATGGGCCCCCACCAAACCTAGGAAAGAATAGCATATATACCCTCAAGATAATGACTTGATAATTACATTTTGCTAATAAGTAACTGTAATAATATCTGATTCGAGTCATGAATTAAAATTGTAATAAGGATCAAATACTTTTTATCAGAATGACCAAAATATATGAAGATAAATCACCAGAGTTAATAAATGATAACCTTGGAAATAATATATCTGATTTTTTGAATCACTTACCTTTCATGTAAAAACTCCCAAACCTCTTGAGAGACTTTAATAGTGAGGCCCTCCACATTATCCATGCGTATATGTGGAGGGATGCCCCCATGCTGGCACAAGAAGTCTGAGTTTGATATAGGGCCTGGCTCAGCAAACATCTTAAATCTGTTCATCCATTGCTTGGAGATGTAAAACTGCATGAGACTTGTCTACAAAACAATCAATATTTCCATGAAAACATCAATACTTTTTAAAAATGACGGAGTATGAATATTAGCATTGTTTTATCCAATTCATTTTATTTGAGTCAATTTTAAGGCTAAAGTTATGCAAATAAGTTTTCAAGTAGTTGCAAATGTCAAGTGGGTACAGTGCAGTGTTCTCTTGCTTCAATACCAATGAAATCACTGGTAAGATTCCTACCTCTTGTGAGGCAACCATCTCTTCCACTTTGTTTCGTAGTGACATCATCTCAACATTAGTCTTCCTGGAAAAGTATATAAGGCCAACATCAAATATTGCACTCTTCAGTTATCTTGTATAAAAGGCTAAAATCATAATATGTCAATTGTCAAGTATGATCTGACAAATACTCTGACAAAACGGAAAAGAGGTGTCGTATTTTTACTACATGTACAGCTATCAAATTAATTTTGTACTTTAAAATTACGATGTAACATTAAATGATTATAATGACACAAAGTAATAGTTAATTTACCTGTAGAATAATACGTAAGCCTCACATGTCTCCACGGTGTGAGCATCCACCTCAGTCACATACTGGTCATCAAACTCGTACCATTGTCCATTGATAGAGTTTAGAGCGTACGCCGTATAGTGACCACCCCCTGCCGTACCATGGTGCACTATCACACCAACAAGGTCATACTTCTGAACCTCAGATGTACAATCTGGAATGATTGTAAGTACACATATGTACACCTCCATCCTCTTTCTTATGACACATTCACAAACCATGTACAAAGCCCATTTGGAATTACAGGGCAGTGAAAATAGATGCGACAGGTCTGACAAAATCCAATGTTTTTTTAAATATCGTCATGAGTATGTCATTGCATATATTAACATAAGAAGTGGGTTGGGTGTAGGCCTGTTAGGAGCATCTGACACATATAAAAATGAGGTTACCAACTCTAACTCTAGGGCAATACTATTGCTTACCCACTCAATCCACCTCTCGATCAGGAAAAGACTATTGCTTAGCCGGCCAACTGACCTCTAGGTCAGGACAAGACAATTACTTACCTCTATGCAGATATGGTCCCATATCCAGGCCTTCCAGTGGGAATGAAACATAACTGTTTATTTTGGAGGAATACATGAATTCGTGTCTAAATCTCTTCATGTGGATGCATAGGATCTGAAATAAACAACTCAATATTTAATTTAGAATTTTTCTTTCCCATCTAAACTTTCATTTCATTTGATCATGTATAAAATGAACGCAGCTATTAATGGATGTAAACGTTCATATTGAGGAGTGTTCACATTGAGAGGTGTTCATATGTTAAGTGGTGTTCACATTGAGAGGTGTTCATATGTTAAGTGGTGTTCCTATTGAGAGGTGTTCACATTGAGAGGTGTTCATATGTTAAGTGGTGTTCCTATTGAGAGGTGTTCACATTGAGAGGTGTTCATATGTTAAGTGGTGTTCACATTGAGAGGTGTTCATATGTTAAGTGGTGTTCCTATTGAGAGGTGTTCACATTGAGAGGTGTTCATATGTTAAGTGGTGTTCCTATTGAGAGGTGTTCACATTGAGAGGTGTTCATATGTTAAGTGGTGTTCACATTGAGAGGTGTTCATATTGAGAGGTGTTCACATTGAGATGTCTTCATATGCTAAGTGGTGTTCACATTGAGAGGTGTTCACATTGAGAGGTATTAAGTACATTTTCTAGTATAGTTTGGTTCCTTATTTCTATAAATTGACATACCTCTGGTAACTCTAGCACTTTGGAATACTTCATCCCATTACGCAGTCTGAAAATGAAATGTTTTGAAATTGTTTTTCAAATTTTTCTTGGTTCGGTGACCAATACAAGACAAATATTCCACAAATATTTTTTACTTTTACACTTCTGCATCGATTGCTTTGAAAATTTAGAGATATCAATTGAAAATTTAGAAATGAATCAATATTAAAGTAGGACAAAGGCATTTATTTTAACAATTCATAAGTCACTGTACAAACAGAAAACTTTTTCGGAATAATAAACTTACTTTTTACATTTCTCGCAGCTGTACATGTTATCTCCCTTCAGTTCATCAGCAGAAAAGAAAGCTGCAAGACAGTCCTGAAGGGTAATAGTAGGACCCATGAACCAACTGAAACATACATATGTCATGTTAAGTAACTCTTACAAGTCTGGAGGGTAATTGTAGGACCCATGAACCAACTGAAACATAAATGAGTCATGTTAAGTAACTCTTACAAGTCTGGAGGGTAATTGTAGGACCCATGAACCAACTGAAACATAAATGTGTCATGCTAATTAACTCTTACAATGTGTCATGCTAATTAACTCTTACAATGTGTCATGCTAATTAACTCTTACAATGTGTCATGCTAATTAACTCTTACAAGTCTGGACAGTTTTAATGGATATTCAAATAAGTAGTTTGTGTCATGCTAATATTAACTCTTACAAGTCTGGACAGTTTTCAATGGATATTCAAATGAGTCCATGTACAAACATTCTCCTCTTTCCCTATTCACACTAAGAATTTTTTTATATCTTGAGGAAGAGGAGGCGACATTGTTATAGTATCATTTTGTGTCTGCATTTGGCATCTGTAACAATATGTTAATGACTTGCCTATGCTTTCAAACTCTCAAGTTTGAATCCAGCAATACAAACTTTGAATGCAGTAATGGGAATTTGAATCATTAGTAATTCCTCATACTGGAAGACAGTGATAAAATAAAACATGTTCTAAATTACTTAACCAACACAAGCTGTGTTGTGAAACATGCATCCACTCACCTTGACAACCAGCCAAACATCCAAGACATCCAGCCCTGATTTAAATTCACTTCCCCACATGAGCCTACTTTGGGCATAGAACCATGAGTTGCAGCTTGTGTGTAGATCATATGCAGTTGATCCTTACTGGGAATGGGTAGTGACAAGTCTTGAAATGTCTCCTTTGTACTGGATACCTAGAATAAAACATATGATAATGTCAAAAAGTCTAAAATTTTGTTTGCATCTTCAACATCCATGTTTTAGCTTGATGTCCATCATTTCTACTTTAAAATCCCACATTTCACAAGCACGAAACTTATTTCATGTCAAATATCTACATAATAATTAATCTTTCACTAGTCGTCTCACATTTCACCTTGAAAGGCCACATTTTATTCACATATGATATTAACTCTGAAATTAACCAGTATGTAACACTGTAACCTACCCTCTCACATGTAAGACACTGAACAGAGCTCAAGATCTTGCCATCAAATATGTCCGATATAATACTTCGATATTGCACGGGTGCCCTCTTTTTGGGACCTGAAATATTACAAACAGAATATTCAGTAACATCAAAGTACAATGTACAATTCAATGATCTCTATAACATAAATATCATCTATTATAATTATATTGCTTTGCTTGGATTGGCTTGATGAAATAGTGTGATCACACAATGACAGTTTGCCAGTCCATTTATGTTATGTGTCATATAAGTTTTTAACATTCTATTTAATGTGGAGAAACTATTCAGAAAATATAGCAAGGGTTTCATTAGCAGCAGGCAATTTTCATTGTTTGTTTTCACAAAACCGCCTGTTGTTTATAGGGACTTTTCAACTTTCCCATGTTAAACTTATGATTTCGATTGATTTTGCCTGTTGTTTTCATTTATTAAGTAGCCTGTTGTGAGAAATTCTAGTGAAACCACTGATATAGTCTGATTAATCCAGAGCTCATTCAACCATTGACAGCCTGAATTTGAGTACAATGGCAAAATTGATTCCTGGCATCTGCTGTCTAATACACTTGTCCATAACACATGTTGTTAGTTGAAAAATGGCAGACCACAGGTGGTAAACCAGTGAGATGGTTCAGACTGGAAAGAATGAAAGATTTAGTGATATGAGGTAACTTCAATCATACCTGATAATGTTACAGGAGAGGGATGTGGAATAGGTTGAGGTCGTTCATTTTCTGATGATCGGCGTGACCTTGACCTTGTTGGGACATTCACCCGGTGACTAGGTGATTCAAGATTAGCTGCTGTGTCCGAGAAATCACCAGAATCATTTATACTATGACCAATCAGAGGTCTTTTTGTTTCATTTATATCTCCAATTGCTAAATTTTTAGCATTTCTGTTTTTTCGATCTTTATAATCTTTTGGTGTATGTATATAAATGTCTGACTGGGAATGAGCGTCTATGGGACCTAGGCTGTCGCCGGAGGTTAATGAACTGCTGCTAGCACCGATAGGAACTTTCCTTTTGGCAGTGTTAAAATAGTTATCATTGTTCAATTGCTCAGTCATTTCTGTCCCATCATCACTAGACATGCTCTGTTCCATTGTGGAACTTCTCTCACTACTCAAACCAGAGTCACATGTTTCATACTCTGTATCTGATTGGCCACTCAGTGTTGAATCTATAGATGGCTGACGATCAGGTTGGTTCTTATGGATCATGTTGTCATGACAACTGGCCTCTGATTGGTCAGTTTCTACCTCTTCTTCCTCCCTGATTGGCTGTTTTAGTTCTTCATGAATTTGGTCCATAAAGCATCTAAGGAATTCCTGTGTGTCCTGGAAATAATAATTTCAACACTTGTTAATTATACTGTATTATAAATTACAAACAAGAATACAAAGATCTCAGGGCTGTGGTTAGGATTTTCATTTAACCAACAAAGACAGGAGGTATATATGTTTGTAATTTTATCTATGACCATCTCTGCGCCAAGTAAGGACATTTTTGAAGGGGCAGTTATATTGGTTGTACCATATTATGTGCCCTTGGAATATGTGCGTCATACAGGATGAAGCAAGATAAAAAATACAACTGGGGAAACTTCCAAATTGGTAATAGCAGGGGGAGAAGGGGGTATGGATTCTGGACACATGCTTAGGAGGATGTGTTTTCTTGGACATTGGACTTTTCAATATGCAATCTTAAATACCTGTTGAGAATAGCCTCTGAACATGGGATGTACCATCTTTATTCCAGAGCTTACGGTGGATGGGGTGATGTAACTGGGTCGTCGCTTATGCCACATATCCATCATTAACTTCATATAGCTACGGGATAACATTGGTTTCTTGTCTGTATGTATGCATTCACTACATTCCATAAAGTAGCCTCTCAATGGTGGGCTACAACAAAACAAATAGTTCTGAGAAATGAATTGCTTACATGTTATCAAGAAATTAAATCATCCGATGACAAACCAAGCATTTACGAAGTCTTGGATTTAATAAGCTATTCATTTTTCGGTCACAAGCTTTCAACAATCAACATAAAGTTTACACGAATGAAGAATTCATCAGTATAAATACATTGATCTTAGTTGTTTTACTTACCAGTTTGAGAGAGCTTGTAGGGCTGCATTCATGTAACATGTGTTCCCGATATTCTGGAGTCCCGTCAGCCCACGTGGCTTTTCTTCATCCTCATCTGATGATTCTGTGTCTTCTATCTGATCCTTGATCCTGCAATGATAATCATGTTGAATGATCAATCCCAAGGATCTGATCCTTGATCCTATAAAATTCATAAACCAACAAATGACTGAAGGCAAATTACAAGGCAAGTGTGTTGTAAGGCAAATTACTCACTCAAAGTCCATTGTAGGCAAACTACTCACTCAATGTGCATTGTAGGCAAACTACTCACTCAATGTGCGTTTTAGGCAAATTACTCACTCAGTGTGTTGTAAAATATTCACCCAAAGTGTGGTGTAAGGCAAACTGCTCACACGAAGTGAGGTATTTTGCAATACTACTCACTTAACTTGAAGTGTATTATTTTTGAAAAGTACTCACTCAAAGTGTAGTGTAAGGTAATTGGGTGTATTGGTAAACTAAGCACTTTAAGTGTGGTGTATTTGCACACTGCCACTGCACACTCAAAGTGTGCTGTAATGTTAGCTACTCACTCAGAATGTAAGTCAAACTTCTCACTCAAAGTGTGATATTTTGGAAAACTACTCATTGAAAGTGTGGTGTATTGTCAAACTACTCACTCAAAGTGTGGTGTAACTCAAACTTCTCACTCAAAGTGTGATATTTTGGAAAACTACTCATTTAAAGTGTGGTGTATTGGCAAACTACTCACTCAAAGTGTGGTGTAAGGCAAACTACTCACTCAAAGTGAGATGTATTGGCAAACTGCATACTCAAAGGGTGGTGTAAGGCAAACTGCTCACTCAAAGTGTGGTGTAAGGCAAACTACTAGACTCATTCAAAGTGTGGTGTATTTGCAAACTACTCACTCAAAGTGTGGTGTATTGGCATTGGCATGAACCTCAGACTCACACACATAGCACCAGATTCTCAATGTTGTCAGGTTGATAGTCAGGCGGTGTCTCTTGCCCTGCAAACATCAACAACATTTGACATCTCTAAAATAAGGGAACTCATAATAAGGTTTTGTTGTAATGTTTGGCAATATGAATGAAGACAATGGGCAATATTGTTAAAAATTATGATTCGAACATGAAGCAAACAGGTGATTTATGTTAAAACAAGAGAAATTCACCATTTTCCTGCTGCTAATGAAACCTGATACACTCCTCACTAAGGTTTTTAATAATAGACATATATCTGAGATTGAAATTCAAATTCTATTCAACCTGTATGTATGTAATGTCAAATGTAGTACTGCATTTGAGTTTTCAAAGATTAAGTATTTTTGCAAAAAAATCTTTTCTTTAGCAAAGTCCATTTGTCCCTAGGTATCAGCACATAAAAGTTGAACCAAATCCATTAACTGGTATTTGAGTTTAATATCAAAGATTATGTTTTCACAAAAAGTGGTGGCCATTTTGAATTGAGTGGCCATATTGAAAATTTCTTTTTGAGCAGAGGTCCTACACCCATAAGGCTAAATTTGAATCAAATCTGTCAACAAGTATTTGAGTTATCCCCCGGACACACTAACTAGATGAACGGATGGACGAATGGATAGTTTCTCTATATCCCCCTCGAACTTTGTTTTGTAGGATAATAGTTTATATTAAGGACTGCATATAGAGCCATAACTATCCAGACATGAATTTGGGCCATAACTTGTAGTAACCCTTCCTCTCCCTACTACATACCTGAGAATGTTTGGAGCTGTGATCCTGGGCGGATTCTCCACATCCCACATACATACACTGACCCTCTAGACATAGCCACAAGTTGGGGCCTTTAGCAACACACGTGTCACATGTCAATTGCTACAACAATAACAATATGCAAAAGATATCATTACTGTTACTTTACAGTATATTAAAAATTCATATTATACAAGTGTGTACAATAATTTATAAAATTGCAGTTTTGATTGAAACATTTTGACTGTATTTTAATTAAAAAAAACACTGAAGTTTTACATAAATTTTTGTAAATATATTTAGAATCAGTAAATACACTTTCTTATTCATTTTCATTGACCTGATAATCTACCAATCAGAACAAAGAAGATGATATCGCATTAGGACAAATATGAAAAAAGTTTTGATTACTTAATTACATGCACGTTGTGTATAAACATATAACATACATGTTCACTAATTAAGAAACATGTAACAGTAAAAAATCATGTATTAAAATTATAAATTGGTTGTGATGTAATCAAATTTCAATAACAATATACAAATGAGTAGATATGTTAAATGTTGTATATAACTATTAAAGTGATTTTCACTCCTTTTTACAGCCTTGATACAGCATGTTACTATATAATGTTGGTTTTTATTTACGCATTTGAAGTGGATACTCATCTTCGTTCGATATAAAGAAAACAGAAATTGATATATTGATGGAGTGAGGGCTGTTACAATGACCCCTACTTTTAGCAATTTTCAGATCATTTCGTCCAGTGTATTTAATGAGGAGCCTACCTGAATTCAATAACAATAACATCGCCGTTTTTGGGCTTATTTCTTGAAAGCATTATATCACGCTATTATCATCATATATTTGTATTGATATGAAAAATAGATTGCAATAAATGCTTATTTTACCCAAGTTAGAGTTAATTTTGTAAATGTAAAATAATTTGGGGAATCTATTAACAGTTTGGGGGTTTCTCCAAAGCTATCATTGTAGGGACATCATATTTCATTGGATTTTCCGACCAGGCTATGAGTATTACGTCATCAATATGCGCTGGATGGTAGGGATATTCATTGTGACATTTGTTTTGGGGAATTCCTAATAACGGCCAAATACTTTCACATATTTGTTGCATTTAATTGATGAAAATGAATCTAATTGATGATATTCTTAAAAAACTCATTTTTACTGTTTTCTAAGCCCTTGTTAGTTATACACATCCTTTAACATACAGGTACAATATCATTTATGGAATTTAAAGTGATAAATAAAAGACAGATTCAATATTATTCATCATGAATATTTCAATTGGATATATTTTGACTTGATACATAAACAGGTATAAGACAACCTTTTTGATCAAATCAGCAACTTTAGGGATTTCCACCTCTAAAGCATCACTGTATGAACCATTCAGCTTAAAAATATCAACTTGCTCTAATTTATGAATCCAAAATCAGTCTTTAATAAGTTTGATTACCAGTTTTTTCGTATGTATGTCTCTCCAAGAGATTCCTTGTACAACAGTGACATGTTGACAAGTGCTCTTCTTGACAGCTCCAGGCATGGTCACAGCTTTAGCTCTGACATCTAATTACTACAAATATACAGTACAAAATAATTTACAGTACTCCTCCTCACTTACAAGTTACTACCAATTTATTTTTCCCTTCTCTTCATGTGCTGAATTCCTAAAATGTCTCCTCACCCCAGCGTCTTTTTCAATAGCCGTATTAATGGGGAATTTTTGTATTTTGATCCAGGCCTAACCCAAATTACTGAACACCCATTTTAATTCAAACATGTACAGTATATGCACAATTTATCATTTCGATGTCACCATCTTTTTCCATTAACTACTTTAACCCTGAAAAATAAGCAAATTGTATGATATCGCATATCAGTGACTTCACGTGATTTTTTCACAAGTGGGTGCAAAATTCTTATTTTCACAATTCAGACCAAAATTTGGTCAAAATATGCATATTTTTCAGTATTTTTTTCATTTTTAAGTGAGTGCAAATGGATTTTCAGGTGGGTGCAAGCCTATTTTCAAAATTTTCAAAAGGTAGGTGCTGCAGCTGCGCCCACTTGATTTAATGCTGGGGAGATCACTGAGTATGTTTGATGTCCTGTTTGGCTGATGTTCACAATGTAACACAGTAACCCATGGCACCAAGAGGACAACTGTATCACATACTGGCAAGTAGGTACATTGTTTGTGGTAACTATCTGTGATCAGTGATCTCCCCAGCATTAAAGCAAGTGGGCGCAGCATCCATCTGAGATTTTTAAAATAGGCATGCACCAACCTGAAAATTCATTAATAGTACCTACTTGGAAATGAGAAAAAATCATGAAAAATTGGTCGCTGAAGTTAACTTTTTTTGAAAATATATCACGTAATCTTTCTATTCAACTGCCAATTCCTCGTCGGCTGCAAGCAATAATTTTAATGAGGGTAGATATATCATTTTTTATCCATTCTTATAACATTTCATATGGTTTTGATCGCCTGTAGAATCAAAAACATACGTGTAATACATAGAAAATTATATATTTCTAAATAGACAATTCAAAAACCTGTAATTTAAGAAAAATTATAGCTTTTAGCTGTCTCATTTTGATAGCAGACGACATTTTGTAGATTCACGTGGTGGTGGGCCTGTCAACTGTCCCGCAATTTGCGTATTTGTCACGCATTTGCTGAAGAATTTGAAGTCACGCCAGTTATTTTTGCGTGACAGAAAATGTCACGCAAATACGCATTTTACCTGGTAATTGTCAAGCAAATATATTTTTGTAAAAAATTTCTAAAAAAGATCGTCTATACAGCAAAAATACGAACGCCTGAAAAAAAATGTACGCATTTCGTTCGGACATTTCACGCGAATTACGTATATGTCACGCTTTCCGTTTGGCATATTTTGACCAATTTCGGTCTTAATTGTGAAGATTTTGCACCCATCAGAGAAAAAATTATTTGGAGATCACTGGCTATATAAGATCATATTGGGACAAACATATTGCACATAATGACTGGAGATCAAAAGAAATCAACTCCAAAGTAGCGCTGGGTTCAAAATTTTATATTTTTTTAAGTTTCATAACTCCTGGCCAATAGTCAAAGCATGGGCTTCTCCTGGAAGCCCATGGTCAAAGTCAGCCTCATCTAAATTTTTCTATGATAGTCTCAGGTGGATCTGAACAGAATTTCAAGTTCCAGTGCAAAAACGATGTAGGAGATTTGCATTTTTCAAAAGAACTTGGTCTGTTCAGTCTAGATATCCTACCTGTACTCAATCAGAAGCTTGTGTAAAATCCCACAGGAACTTGTAGCACTATGATATGAGATGCTTATGCCAGATCTGAGTCAATATATCTATTTATTATATACCCAATATGTAACACTAATCCTGATTGCTCAATACCTAGTCACGTGTTCTAAAATAGATTTACTACTTCCCTTCGAAAGTTATATTCCCTCAAATGTAAGAAGCGGGAATATACATTTGAACTATTGCCCGCTGACATCACGATTTCAACTTCTATTACCCTTGGAAATGCAGTGATTATGCGCAGACGAAAAACAGAAAAATTGAGGATAAGAACAAACACAAATCAACTCCATTCACCATGACAGACGTGCGTGAACGATACAATATTAGCAGCGTGGATAAAGATCCCTAAGCTCAATACGTCTGTGTAATTTCAGGTGTTATGATAATCTATTTCACGTGTTAAACGCGATTGAATTTGTCAAGTGAAAGTCTCAGAAATTTCTTAGGAAAATTTTTTTGTTGAGTATATTATGACATCACAGCTTATAATGCTAACATTAGACCTGGGGAGGGGTCTTTTAAGCTCTTTTGGCCTTCGCCGAGGAAACGGGACAAGAGTCATAGGGTATATAATAAAACAAATAGTGACTGCCTAATTTCGAGCAATAGTGTAAATTAGTCAGTAACTATTTGTATACTATAGATATAGTCAATCTATCTATCCCTTACTTCCTGCGAAAGCTATTTGGATTTTGATATAATAGCTTTCCCACGGAGCATTTGGACAGCTCAATGATCGTGACCTTTGAAATCGAATTAAGTCGATCCGCGGCTTACTTTTGGTCTCTAACTGTGTCTTACATCAGTATCATCAATCCGTGTAAGTATTGGAGCGCTGGAGTACTTCTTTTTCGATCAAGACTTGTAATTGTTAGTCGAGGAAATCGTTTTACTGCCAAATTCCAATATGGCGGTTTCTGCTCGGACATTTTCGTAAATCTCCGGAGGTTGTCCGAACCTAACTAATTCTCAAAATTCATTTCGTTCGTTGCGTATCTCGCACCTAGCAAACCGCCATATTGGAAATAGGTCTGTAAAACTTTAACTCGATGAACAATTTACAAGTCTTGATCGAAAAAGAAGTACTCCAGCGCTCCAATACTTACACGGATTGATGATACTGATGTAAGACACAGTTAGAGACCAAAAGTAAGCCGCGGATCGACTTAATTCAGTTTCAAAGGTCACTATTGATCAGCTGTTCACTTCTCCGTTTGAGAGCCATAAGTTTCAAAATCTAACATGGCTCTCGAAGTGAGTAATCTATCCCTACATGTAGATACTGTAGATATTTTGACTCAGATCTCGTAGAGTAGTGCTAAAAGTGCAAAATCCTGGAGTAAAATCTAACCAACCAAGCAATGTTTCTGAAGATATGACTTCATTTAACAGACCAAAGGACCTAACTTGTTTCTACTATGTAGACTTATCTAGTAGATTTAGTATAAGAACTTGCCCTTTACAAATTGCAAATGCAATGGAACCCCGTTTTTGAATATTTTTTATTTTTTGCATAATCATGACAGTTGTTTCACTAGGTTTGGAGCATGATCGGACATTAAATCTTGTTCAAAAATCTTACCTGTATATGTTTTACTGATAGGTGGTATCTATAAGGTCTATAGACCCTGAATATTCCGAGGAAATCGTTAAATAACCTGCCGGGATATTTTTCCTGTCAGAATTCCAATATGGCTGTTGACGGCTCGTCCAATCAAAATCTTCTTCAGAGCGTAACCAGGTAGACGTCCAGCATGGAAACTAAAAAAGATGCCCAGCATTTATCTGCAAAATATACAGCACTTACCGATGAAAAGACTAATCCAAGAACAGTAAATACATTTTGATATACAATTCTTTGCTATGGTTGCTAATTTCAGGATCTGACTCAAATAGGTTTCCCTAGATCTGAAGATCAAATGTTAAATTATCCACTTCCGGGTTTTGATTTGATTAATTTTATAAAGGGGCCCTACATTATCGTCAAAACTCCAAATAGTCTAACTCATCAGCGCAGAGAACTATTTACATATGAGCTCATGTGATTTGTACTTTAACGATACAATTCATATCTAAAAACATAGTTCTCAACAGCCGATGCATCACCGTCGAACGAGAGGGGCCCAAGAGACAGCCCTGATTGCAGGAGTTTTTCTGGCACAAGTGCCATTGTTAATCTTTTGTAGGAGTCCGCCATAACTGTGTATATAATATATTGTAATGTTGTTTTATTTTATTTAGTGCGACGGTGAACACTGCCTCTAATGCGTTGGATTGTCGTATGGACTTGCATTAGAGCCAACACGATCCTCAGAGACCCAGAGGGTGCATGAATGCACCTAGCAAGACTTATGCCTGGCACAACCATCACCATGTTATAAAGTGTTTTTAAGTTTCGCAAGGATCCTGCCATGACCGTGGTAGTGTTATTGTGATAGCCTGATATAACCGTGACAATGCTATATTATATTGCATGGCCTGTCATGACCATGGTAATGTTAAAGCCTGATATGACCGTAACAATGCTATACTATATTGCAAGGCCTGACATGACCGTGGTAATGTTAAAGCCTGATATGACCATGACAATGGTTGCAAGGCCTGTCATGACCGTGGTAATGTTAGACCCTGATATGACCGTGACAATGCTTGCAAGGCCTGTCATGACCGTGGTAATGTTAAAGCCTGATATGACCGTGACAATGGTTGCTAGGCCTGTCATGACTGTGGTAATGTTAAAGCACAATATGACCATGACAATGGGTAAATCTAGACTACTACTACATGTGCTACTTTTTTAACTCATTTCCACAAACTATAATTCTAATCTCATTCAAGAATGTGAACATTGTCACGGTCATATCAGGGTTCGACATTACCACGGTGATGACAGGCCTTATAACCATTGACACAGTCATATAAGACTTTAACATTATCACGGTCATGACAGGCCTTGCAATATAATATAGCATTGTCACGATTATACCAGGCTTTCACGATAACAATACCACGGTCATGGCAGGATCCTTGCGAAACTTAAAAACACTTAATAACATGGTGACAGTTGTGTTAGGCATAAGTCTTGCAATAGATAGCATGTGATTTTTCTGGCTCAACCGTAGGAATAAGTAGTATCAATTCCCAGGTTTCACACTTATACCATATACTCGTCAGTGTCCATACTATTAGATTGTAAATATTATCAACCATTAATAATACGACTGTACTAGTGTACTGTGGTTTTATCCATTTTTATGATGTCACCACCAAAAAGTAGTGACATATTGTTATGGTCTCTGTTTTTTTTATGGTGGCGGTTGGCGATCGGCATCTGTAACAAATTCTCACAACTTACTGATTTCAATTTTTTTCAAAATCATCTACACGTTTTCAGAAGTTCAAATCTGACTTTATATTTAAGATTTGACCTTCAATGACCTTTTCAAGGTCAAAAAATGTTAAAAAGGTCAAAAAGCTTTTTTTTCAACTGCTTCAAATTGACCAATTTTTTTTCAAAATCATCTACAAGTTATCAGAAGTTCAAATCTGACTTTTGATTTGAGATTTGACCTTCAATGACCTTTTCAAGGTCAAAAAGGTATTTTTTCAACTTGTTTCAAAATTGACCAATTTCTTTTTTCAAAAGCATCTACAAATTCTCAAAAGTTTAAATCTGGCTGTAGATTTGACCTTAATGACATTTTCAAGGTGAAAAAACATTTTACCTTCAATGACCCCATCAATAACATAATGATAACATCAATGATACTAGGGAATTCATACTACTGAATTCCTACGGTCAGGCCCGTAGCCAGGGGGGGGGGGGGGGGTCGATGGGTTCGAGCGACCCCCCCCTGACCAAAAATTCTTTCAAAATCATGCAGTTTTTCACCATTCTGAGCTTTTAAGTGGTTTTGGCCATTTTTGGACCAAAATTGTCAAAAGTGAACCCCCTGGAAGTTTCCAAAAAGTGAACCCCCCTCCTGGCTACGGGCCTGTACGGTTGTGCAAGAAAACTAGCACCAAACAAATTTGAACAATGTTACAATGGACCAAGGTTACGACAGACTCCTGCACAAGATTTAACATAGCCACAGTTGTGCCAGAAAATATCCTGTTAATGCATCAAACATATGCAGAGGAAATGATCAAGTTACAGGTTACCATTGTCCTTGCCCGTAACCTTGTAGACAGATGTCAGCTGTTGACAAAGTTTATGTGGTTTTGAAATGGCATTAGAATAATCTTTCTTCCTATTAATTAGTTCTGAAAATGCATCTCATTCGGGAAATGTGATTTATCCCTGGGAATATTTTGATTAAACAGAGACATCTCTGGATTAAATAAGAGCCATTCTGTAACTCTTGGCCTCGGATCCGGATCCCATGTCTTCAAATGGTGACATTGTTAAGTTTTCGTTATTACAGATGAGACTGACCTAGTCAATTTGTGTATGGTTAAAAATTAAAATACCTATTTGCCAACATGTTAAATCAGTTCTAACAGTTTAAAAAAGTAACAACGACTTTTCCAACAATTCCTTCATTTACCATGGACTTTCAACAGGCTCTAATTCTGATACTATGGGGGTTCAAGCGAACAAAAATTCTTTCAAAATCATGCAGTTTTTCACCATTCTGAGCACTTTTTTGTCAAAAGTGAACCCACTGGAATTTTTAAAAAGTGCCCCCCCCCCCTTTGGAAATTAAGATGACTGGACTAACAACTGATTGATAGGTACCAGAGACAGAGATGACAGCCTTTATTTAAAGTTGGTTGCATTTGCCATTAATCTTGGTCACAGAAATGCAAAGGGGAGCACCTTCCACTTGGAGTGAAAATAATCATGTCTATGCATAGGATGCCAATCCAATACAAATATATGCTCATATAAAGGTATTGCTAAGTCACATCAGAGTTACATATTATTTTGTATTTTCAGCCTGAGGAGTGGCGTAAATGGAAAGATGAAAGTAAGTGTAAAATCAATTAAAGTTAACTTAAGTTAAGTTAAATTAAAGTTAACTTCTTCACTGATTTTACTTTTTAATGGTTCAAACTCTTATGTTAATAGTTTTTGCTCTTTCCCTTTTGGTGCTTGTATAGACAAATGGATCCATACTGTTCAATATTTCTAAGTTATCTTTTGTTAAATCGTGCTTTTTAATTCCAGGAAAAGCTAAAAAGCGCAAATGGAAAGAGGATAAGCTTATTGAAGAAAGGGTAAAGGAACAAGAAAAACAGGCAGCAGAAACAGCAAAAGAAGAAACTGCAAAGTCTTCTAAAGGTAATCAACTTCGACACTCCATTTTATGTACCACATTCAGATTTAAAATTGTATGTGTGTGATCAAATAATTGTGATCACAAAAACAAGAGTAAAAGGTCAGGTTGAATCGCAGAAGTAAAATTGACTTAGCATTTTTTATAAGAATTCTGATAAAGGCAAAACAAACGAAAATAGTAGTGCAATTTTTGGAAATAGTCATTGAACTTAAAGACAGTTACAAAATCTCAAAGCAACAGGCAATTTTGGGAAAAACATCAAACAGCGAAAATCCAGTTTTGTTTCACTCATCTTTGTGCTAATATTATACATTTTGATTTTCTGATGTTGCCCTTGGTGTTTTGTCATAATATAGTAATTTTCATACGCTTGTTATTCTAGAAAATGCATGTACAATAAGCATAGCTCTGCCTGGATCTATTCTGGATAATGCACAGTCTCCCGAGCTGAGGACATACCTAGCTGGCCAGGTTAGCAAATCCTCTTTATAATTATAAGGATATGCAAAGCTAAGTTGTCTTCAGGATGTAATTGTGTATGTTAGATTAAATTCTGGCTTAATCTCTCATTTTAAACCGCAAACAAGAATCTCATGCAATAAATTGCCAACAAATTATTGAGTACCGGGCTTAAGTCCATGTTCTAACAAGAACATGATTGACAAGGACATGATGGAGATTTTCAACATTGACAAGTGAAAATCATACAATGGATGTAAAATGTACACTGCACTTGAATTCGTAAGATTTTTTACTTGTGAACTAGTAGGCTAGTAATTAGCAAGAATTTACGTTATGATAAAATGAAATGCATGTATTTATGCTAATATTTTTTAGATTGCTCGTGCGGCTGTTGTATTCAATGTTGATGAGATTGTGATATTCGATGAGAATGGAGCAATGAGCAGGTGAGTCGTAATCAAATGAAGCTGTTTACACTTCATATTGTGGCTTGCCACATGAACTGATATGAGATGTTTTGTGGAATTTATGAATTTCCGATATGCAAATAGCATTTGGAATGTTGAAAATTGACGTTTTCTTACATAGCAGTTTAACATTAATCAATCTCAAGCAGCACTTATTGGACAGGTGGGTTAGCAGTGATCACCTTAAACAACTCATTGAAACATCTATCTGCTCAGCAACTATTAATATAACATTAAAATGATTTCATAAATACCATAAATACAATAGGTGTTTTAAGAGAAAATCAAAAAACCTACCTGTTTTCAGGGATGACAATGGAGAGATGAGGTCAACCAATCAGAAAGGACAATGTAACATCCAGCTTGCTCGTATTCTACAGTATCTGGAGTGTCCACAGTACTTGAGAAAGTCATTCTTTCCCCAGCACAAAGATCTTCAATATGCAGGTACAGTGGTACACTGTAAACCTGTGTAAGTGGAACACCTTTGGTACCTCTATTAAAAGTGTTTCACTGGGGAGGTGTTCTACTGACAGAGGTTAAGTCAATTGGTTATGGGACTGTAGTTATATTATGTAGAGAACAGAGAGGCAATGTCAACCATGTAGGTCTCTGGCTGCTCAATGGTCCTTTTTTCATATAGATTTGAAATCTCGTTTTTTAATGAGATTTTAGGAGAGCTGCATTTTAACCATTAAAGACTAACATTTTCTTCTACTTGATGGCATATATGAATTCTATGTGTAATTTTCAATCAAAAAAGCTTTGATTTGCACAGTTACTTACCTTGATTCAAATTCTGAAGATTTTCAAGTTTTCTGAAAAAGGTCGGGCTAAATTCCCATTGACACAATGTTGAAAAACCTTTAAAAGTTCATTTACTCTTATCTCATAGGATCACAATTTTAATGTGAAATCACTATCCACATGTCAATAAGTTCATAGAGTTACATTCCAGTGGTGTTTTAAGTTGATCCAAATGGAATTACTTGTTAGATCAAGAAATTAAGTGACCCTGGCAATACATTTACATGTATTCTAGCCCTACCAATTCCCACAATGCCATCTATATTTTGTACTCTTAAGTAACTGTTAAGTTTTGCATAATAATAATTGACCCTGGCCATAGGAAAACCGGTCTTATCACAAAAATTAAAATTGTGCAACAGAGCCAAAAATGTGTCCAAGATTAAGAGGAAAATGTGCTAAATTCAAATCCGTCTTTTTGGTTTATATATGCATGGAGAAATTGTTAAGACATAAGTCATGGCTCATTTGAAAGGTCTTAGTGTGCTTTTTAAGATAAACAAAAAATCAAAATATTGAAAAAGCTGTGATAAGACCCCTTTTCCTGTGGCCTGGCTCAATTGTATATGTTGGATATCAGACAAAGATTGAACATAGTCCATCATTTACTGTAATTGGTAGATGAATGGGGGCACTGTTGAGAGTCTCATTAATAGTATCTGTTTTAGTCCGAAGTGATTCAAGGCATTGAAAAGACTTCTATATTCCACATGATCACATCTGTTCATAAATAGACTGGAAAATGCAACGAAAGTTCAATAGGTATGTACATGTATGTCATATATAAAGTGACTAGCTGCAATGGTGATACATTTGTATTCTCATAATGATTGTAGGGCTATTGAATCCACTGGACAGCCCCCACCATATGAGAGCCGATGATGAGTGTGAATACAGGGAGGGAGTCACATTAGATAAACCTGTCAAACCTGGCAAAGGATCATTTGTAAATGTGGGCATTAAAAAGGTAATACTGTAGAAGAAAGGCAAAACCAGATTAGCCAGGTTTTCATCAATTCAAGAACGTCTAGCTCATGAAAAACTTTGAGGATGTTAGCATATAGACTCTTCATTCAAAAAGTAAATAAAGCCTGCATATGAAGGATCTGACATTTTAAAAATCATGGTCATACAAGAGGCTTTGTTATGAACATTTCAATGTGAATGTATGTGGAACAACCAGGCTTGGTCTACATTTCAGTTGGATAAATCAAAGTTGGAACTCAGAGCTATTGATTTAATCTCAAGAATTTCTTATGACAAATCAATATAGATGGCATGTACATTCTGATATTTTAGATGTAACTTAAAGAAAGTAAATAGGGATTATTTCTCACAAAATCTTTGAAATTCCATTGTTTTGTCAGAAATTGTGTTTTTCTTATTTGCAGGAAGTTACAGTTGACCGTCACATTCAGCCTGGGGTTAGAGTGACTGTAAAACTAACTGACAATATACATTGCGATAAGAAAAAACTGAAAGGTATTATAGTTCCACCCTCTACCCCTAAATCTGATGCTGGACTCTACTGGGGATATAATGTACGTTTAGCATCAGGATTAGCTGAGGTCTTCTCAGGGTGCCCTTTTAAGGACAGTTATGATGTGTTAATAGGAACATCAGAGCGAGGGGAAAATATAGATACTTTAGAATTGAAAAAATTTAAGTAAGTATAATTTATATCTATGTTGATTTTAGCTGAGTGACAATTTATAACGAAATATCTCTATGAAAAATGTTGAACATTCACCCGTTCATTCAACCGTACTTGTGAACATTTGTATATTACAATTAAATAAGCTATTCTATTTGGCACTCATGCTTTCAATGCAAAACCTTATACCTTTGGCATACATTGTTTATTATTCATTCTTCCACAGTTATTATTGGGTAGCAGACCTCCAATTCTCATCAATCAACTTGCCAAGACTATTCCTAATGTGTATTTCTTATTTTAGTCATATGCTGATAGTGTTTGGTGGGGTTAAAGGTCTCGAAGCTAGCTTAGAAGCTGAAGAAAGTCTTCATTTTGATGACCCTGGTCTACTGTTCCAACACTACCTGAATACCTGTCCTAACCAGGGTAGTGGGACTATACGAACTGAGGTAAATTAAAATTCCATTCTGGTATTGATTTTATAGTAATAAACTCCCTTCGGAACCCAGAATGACAGATATTATTGTATATGGTCCAAAAACTTGTGAAAAATTTAAATAATTTGGATTTAAAGCCTTTCTGTTAGAGCTTGTCATTCTAGGGATGAGAAAAATGTATACCTTCAAACATGATATATATTCCCAAGGACATCCCCTACTGGAAACGATTTTATTCACTTTCTACTGTAAGTTTCTATTCAATACAATATGAGATACATTACAAGACTATTCTATTTATTCTTCCAGGAAGCTATTCTTATCACACTATCAGCATTGAGACCAAAGATACAATCTCTGCAGACTTGACCAGATCATAGACTATACCAACCTCAAACTCAGCGCAGCGCAGCAATAACATGATCCACTGGCTTGTGAATGACCATCCTCCGATCACAGGGCTTCAAAATCCAGAATATCTTCTTTCTTTTTACCCCCTGCTATAACCAAGTTGGACGCGCCCGATTAAACTGAATCACATGATCTAATTATGCGCCGATGACGTATACATGATTGCTGTCGCAGTGTTGCGACAGCCAATCAAATTGCGAGTTCTTAATCGGGGAAATTCTAACTGCTTATAGCAAGGGGGAAGAAGGAGGTACGGATTCTGGACACCTGCTTAGGAGGATGGTGAATGACCTTATATAGAGTTTCTCATTCATGTTGGACAACTAAACATTACCTCCCAGTTTAATGGCCCCTTTAATCTCTGAATTATCACTGGGTTTAACTGGGTTAACTCAAATGCTTCTTATGTTAATTTAAACATCATTGTAATTGTAGCTTATATGTGAATTCTGATTGATAAATAGAAATAAATGGATTGTATAAAAACAACTGAACTACTAGTTTAAGTGGGGCAGCGAACATCTGATGTATGAATGCTTGTCAAATGAAGGGTAATAGTCAGTATCTATGAAGATGGGACTTTAATTTCAATGTTCAGTTGTCAGCTAGAGGAAGGTTGCAGTTGATAAATTCCTAATGGTCAAATATACAGTTTTGAGTGGAAATATTTATCAGTTCTTATTAAAACGAATAAGATGGGATTTGGAAGCTTTTAAAAAATCATACCAATTTCTTCCTTTACTTACAATCTTAATTTTAATTTCTGAAAATAAGAATTAAAATGTCTGATCAAATATAATATGGAATCAGAACTGTTTTAGAAAATTTGTGTGAAATGGAATGATGAGCAAAAAATAATTTGCTACTCCCTATCTCTTACTGTCCCTTTACTCAATATTTTATCCAGATATATGCTTTTGACTGCTGCATGTCTCTATCCTCATGTGTGCAAAACTTAGAAATAAAACCATGAGTATTTACTTGGTCAACTCCAAGATTTCAGTGCACGATGTATTTAATAAATGAAGCTTCACACACACAAGGATATGCAAATGATGTACATGTAGTAAATAAAACATATTTGCACACTACCCTACCTCGATCGCGCATGTGCGAATCTTTTGGCTTTCAACCAGGTCGCTTTTGAGTATATCGACTGCTTAGTCAAAAGGTTAATACGTTTGGTGCTCGGAGTGAGTCAATATTGCTATTCGCTACACTTCAGTGGTGCAATAGTGAAGTCCATGTTCCAAGTTATATGATAGTTGAAGAAAGAATGTAAATAATATCGTTTTAGATTTTAAAATATTTGATATGTCATAGTACACGGTACACAGTTGCAAAAGTTGATCAATACAGGGTACAAGGAATGTAAATTGTTCAATAGTACAGGTAGCGAGAAAGTAAGCTGATTATACAGACATACTCATACTATGTCCCGATCTCATGTACATTAACAGAATTACTAACACGCAATGGTACTTCTATTTTCGGACGACTCTTGAACAATGGTTTTAGCATAATATATAACATGTTAGATATCAAAACATAGGTAATTCAAATGAAAATTATATGGTACATTAATATTTAATTTTTATTTCCTATTTTTTAGATAAGGGACGCTTAAAAGACTCTGTTGAGTTTTAAAGTGCACATTTTTACCATGTAAAACGTTGCATTTGATAATTTTGAAATATGGTAATTTGGTCATAACTTTTTTATTCCTTAACCAATTTAGTTCAAATTCGGTATGGGACAACAATTGCTGATGGGCGTTTATGACGTCACATGATCTTGTGACGTCATCAACGCATATCCGTCATCTTGGATGCCCAAGAAATAGTAAAAATGTGTAAAACTCGAAAAATAAATGTTGGTAAGGACCTTAGGCCCGTATTATCTTATTTAAAAATCAAACCTATGAAAAAGATGTCATTAATACTTATTCTATATATGTTCAACTAGAACTTAACGTTAAAAATATATGTTTTGTATTTATTTTGTTTACATAGCAAGCATTTTGCGACTTGTGTCTGTTTTGTACCAAGAAAAAAATTGATAGAAATATGGCGGGTTTCAAAGACTCTCGTCATTTAAATACACGAAATTATGTTTTTCTAGTGACATTCAACTAGATATTTTATAATGTCATAAAAGCATTGCCCTTATACTACATATACTATAATTTTAAGTTCAGTTGCATTGCTTTGCATGTATTTGGACCAGGTAATATGACTTGGTCAAATTCAGCATTCTTTTGTTCCAAAATATTTTGACGTTGTAAAAATTTATTAGGGTGTTTTTAATAGCAGTCTAAAATGATATCAGGAAAACAAATGATAACATATTTGATATGTAGAGAATGCTCATAGCCCATATTTTATAATTCATCACGTTTAACATCTTTAGATTAAGCTAAGTATGAGATTTTCCTTTAAACGTGCGTGACAGAGAATTGTCCCATCTCGATTTTTTTTCCTTTGAATTTTAGTAGGCTGAATCCAGGGAAGAAAGGAATGAATATAAACTTTGAAAATATATGATATTATATTATCATAAAAATGCTCATAAACTCAAGATTCCAATGATATATCACACGACTATCATCCCTTCATAGATCTTTAGTTATTGTTTAATATGTGCGTGACATAATTTGTCCCATCGACGATTTTTTTTACAAAAATAGAGAAATACGACGTCATATCAGCGCTACAGCAAATCGTGAAGAACAAAATGCTCTCAAGTCGTGGCATGATAGTATTTTGAACAAAAATATTTTAAATGATCGGTTTTTGAGGACGGTAGTGCATTAGACCATTCGTTGGGTTATATAGAAAGATTCTTCACATGTAGTTCAGACAATTTTAATTATTCATAGTAGCGGATAGTCATTAATACTGATTGCGGAAAGTCATTTCTCATTAATGTGTTCATATTTAATTTCGTTATTTTATTTCAATTTGATACCCTATTAACACGTATAATCTAGCGTTCTTGTTCATTTAATGACTAAAATGCATATACGACCTGAAAGCCTGTGTCTAAATCTACAAAATAATGTTTCAGGTTTTTAGTCATTAAATTAACAAGAACGCTAGATTATACGTGTTACTAAGGTATCAAATTGAAATAAAATAACGAAATTAAATATTAACACGTTAATGATAAATGACTATCCGCTCTCAGTATTAATGACTATCTGCTACTCAGAGTAATTAAAATTGCCCGAACTACATGCGAAGAATCTTTCTATAGAACCCCTTGAATGGTCTAATTCACTAACGTCCTCAAAAACCGATCATTCAAAATGTTTTATTCAAATTCACAAAAATACAGTTGACTAACATACTAGAAAACGTATCCACCTATAACACGATGACACGCAGTTTAAATAACAGTTAACTGTTTTTTTTGTTACATATCAATGTAACATTTTCGAAGGGAAACTTACATGCTCCCTGTACGTTGATAGATTTACTGAAATGTATCGTGTATTGCATTCGTGTTTTGCTTCACTGCGCCCACTATTATCTATCTTTGCCTACAGTGGGTTTTTGCCAACAATATTCTACACACTGCTTGATGAATCAATTCTATGTCTGGTAGAACACTAGAAATAAATGTAAAATGTATTTTACGTTCAGAAATATGGAATTAAACCCACGTCCTCCAATTGCAACTAAGCTGTACCCTGTTTCCCTTTTAAACGTGGTCATGTGGTAGGGTAGTGTGATTTGGTAAAAATCTGAATTGTCAAAACAATCAATTTCTCACCATTTTGTTTCTCCACCATATTCAATCTTTTCTGTATGATGTTATACCATGATATTATCAATGTATAACAACAGTATCCATTCAAAGAATAATTGAATTCTTAAAGCAAATTCAGATTCTGCCTTTAATTTATTGATTCTGATAGTAATACAAATCCCATCAGGAGAGCAGCTCACAGTGTTTGTTCTTCCAGGGAGATCAATCTATCACCACTTGAATCCAAAAGTGTTCCATGAGCGTTAAAAAGTAAAAGAAAAAGTGATGCTCACAGAATCTTAGAAACCTGAAACATTAAAATGTTATTCTTTGACAAGCATTTTTGGAAAATCCAGCTCAGGTTCATCCTTCAGGGAATACATAATTTCAAAAATTCAACTAAATTGTGAATTGAATTGAAATTAAACTGAAATTAATTAATGAGGGAAACATGTTCATATCTTTCAAGAATGTGGAGTTTATTATATTGCTCAATTATTACCCTTTGTGTTTTCTATTTGAATATTTTGAATTTTACCTTTCTTGAGTGAGACTTAAAGCATAAAAGACAGACATAAAAGGATTGGTATCGATATGGTGAACTGAATTCAACAATGTTTTTCTCTGAAAGCAATTATTAAAAACATTCTGTAAAAAACATGGTCCTTTATGTAATGTTGACTGATTGACAACAATTTAATGTGGAAATAATTTATAAATATTTTATATAATTGTTTTTGTTTACATTTTTTGTTTTTTTAGTGCAATAATTTTTTGTTCCTTTTTATTGAGAATGAAATATCTTTCTGAAACTTGTTGGAACAAAATAGCATATACAACATTTTCTTAGACCTCTCAATATTATAGTAATACAAAGGAAATTTTGGTTGATTTAAGAAAAAGTATTCAAGAAATTAAAATAAAACAAGCCCCCTCCAAAAATAGATAAAAATTAAGACAAACCTTTTATTTCATTAACAATATACTTTTTTATTATATCAACCAAACTTTCCTTTGTACAATTACAATATTGAGAGACCTAAACACGTTGTGTTTATGTCATTTTGTTCCAATGAGGTTCGGATAGATGTTCCATTTCATTCCGAACATATGATACCAAGAACAAAAGAAGTTTTTGATGTGTTTTCTAAAACAATATAGAGAGAGGTTTATATATTTATTTCAAATTATATTGTTACCATTCAAAAGATGATCGTTAAATTGACAATGTGTAAACTTTTCAGAATTTTTTGATGACTGGTTTAAGAGAAATGTGTGTTCAAAATGTTCACCTTATCGATACCCATCCTTTACAGATATTTGGAATGGCTTAATTAAAGTAAGACAATAAATTCACCATTCCATAATATCTTTTTGAGACATTTGGCATTGCAAACAAGATGTCACATTTGTTTAAATCAATCATGAATCTTGATTGGAATTCTGTTGAGTCTTTCACATCTAATACTAGCTTTGATTTGTTATTGAACTGAACTTGTTGAACCCTTGATTACCAGTTATTCCATCGCTTAGGGTGTTTAGTATGTAAATATTAATATTAAATGTAGAAAATTAGATGTTATTTCAGCAGAATGTGATTATAAAGAAACAATTCATTATGATACAATACAATTAATTAGATTTCCATGTTGCAAAATATTAATAGAAATAATATTTCTGTTATCATTAATTAAAAGCTTAATATTCTTGTAAATGTTCAATTTTTGAAGTATTTTTCCTGGACCATTCAATTTTTTCTCTCCAAATCAAGAATTATTTTAGTCTATTTTAGGTTTCCGAATTTTCTATTCAAACTGAATTATCAAAAATTTTTACAACATAATGTTACACTCCTGGGGTTACACTGTTTTTCACTCTTACAAACAGGTAGTTTGCGTGACAAAATGGATATTTTTCATGTGGGAGATATCATCAATATATTTTAAGTCCATGAATAAGTGCTCATCCAGTCTAGAAAGATTTCACACAACTGGAAAATTGAAATTAACCAATACTGAAAAGATGAACAACCAGAAAGAGCTGAACAAATATACGTCTAAATGGCATTTGAAGTACCAGTTGAAAACAGTCTCTTATGGTATAATGATTATTGTCAAGTGAATGATTTTCGCATGTCATAGTTGTCATATAGCTTCCTTAAACAAAGCATGACAACCACATCTTGGGCCAAGCTCATTAATATATTCCGAGCCATAGAATTTGTTACTCAATTACACCTTTAGAATATCTGTTATTTCTACCAATATAGTTGAAGAAATCTTGGAAATTTGTGAAAGGAAAACAATCCATAGAAAATCTGGTATTGTTACAACTGAAAGCTGACATAATAGCTTGCACTTAGAAAAAATATTTACTCAGTTATTAGGCTTTAGATATAGAGGTTTGTTTGTTGTATTGATATATCTTGAAATGGGAATTGAAACAGTTGTGATTAAAGTAAAAGATTGGAACTTAATATATTATGACGAGCCAAAGAATATAAACACTGCACTGGGGATTGGTGGGAATAAGTGTGGGATGATTGAAATTGTGAGTTATTATAATCCAGTATTTTCTCAGTATCAGATATCATTGAAGTTGAATATAAATCTTCCAATACAGGATATGATGAACTTTCTGAAAAGTTATTTACATGAGATAAGTAGGAATTAATCAGAGATTTTTAAGATTGGGATTTTTAAAGATTACTTGGATGTTTTCAGTAATTTACAGTGAAGTATTTATAAAGGATAATCAAGGAGCACATAATTCTACATGCTATTGATTAGCCATTGGTACAGTTCGAAAGTTCAAAGAATTTGACTTTTAATTTCTAGACCAAATATTATAAACACTGAGATTCATCAAGAAACAATTCTCATTTATATTATTTGAGAAAAAATATATGACACAATTGTCTCACTTGCACTGTACAAAAAGAAAATAAAGTTTGGCTTAGCATGAATAAATTCTATTGAAGAAAAGTTGCACCTTAGTAACCAATGCTACAAAGTCAGGAGATTTATTTTGATTCCTGGAGAGTAAGAGAGAAAAACGATAAACTATACAAATATGAACTTATAAGAGTATGAATGACATCATTCATTGATAAAATATTTGAAGTTTACGATAGTGCAGATTCCTGTGAAAGGGGTAGTGCAAATAACAATTATTTATAACACCAATAACCCTTATCTGTTTGTACAACCCAGATAATACAGATACAATTAAGCAAGTTTCACTTATGACACTTCATTAATCTGAACTAGTGCGGACCAACAAAGTGAGAACTGATGAAATGTGAATTAACAGGAAAGCAGAAAACCAAATACTTTAAACTAAACATAAATGACAAAATAAAACACCATTCTGAATTAAAAGATTCTGGACATTATGGCCACAATATTGTCCAACCAATCCGTGATCCATTTTGAGAAAAGACATGGAATACAACAAGAGAGTAAAACAGCAAAGCCAACAGGAGGATTAATTGACCAAAGACTGTTGAATAAACACCAGAAAGACGCTCCGACAATTAAACAATCCAGAAATACTAAGTCTAACTTTTCAGATCTTAGAAAACGAACTGATAATTTGAGCAAACAGATGAAAACATTTAATAGCGCACTTGATGAGCTACAGGATAATTTAGAAGACACTTCTGAACACATTGAGCACTGGCAGGGCATATTCACCTACAGTGCTGGTAGGGAGTATGTTACAGAGACAAGCGAGTACTATGCTGATCTTGCCAGAGAGGAAAGACGCAGACGTAACAGAATGGAAGTTATTCGTAAGTCGACCGCAGCATCCAGTAGGAGTCGAGGTAGAAGTTCAAGATCAACAACGTTTACATGCAGCACTGATAGTGACTCTGAAGATGAAACTTTAAAGGCTCGTAAAATTACCAAGAAAGTAAAATCAAAACCAGGTCAATCGGTGGCCGATTCTAGAACTGGGTTAAAATTACCCAGAGTGCATTCTAAAGTTTCATTCCAACATTATCCAAAACCAAGGCCACATTCATCTGGACCAGTACATCTCGACAAAATTAGGACAATAAACAATAGATTAACTCGTCCAACAGCAACTTCAGCCAATGCCCGAATAATCACAACAGATGGCACTGATATACATGGTTACAATAAAGTGACGTGTCCAGCACTTGGATATGCAATGTCCGGTACAATGGTTGGCTCTATAGACAAATTAGCCCCAGGCAGATTCAGAGGTATGCAGAAATTATCAGTTAAAGGGGTTGATTCAGTTGTTCAAAGACTATCGAATGTAGATCCTGGTCAAGTACCTGACTCTAACAGGACTATATGTCCCAGGGTGAAGGCTATAGCAGGACCATTGAACAGCTATGCTTGGGCTGGCACCGACAGGGACAGAACGAGTGTCAGATTCACTAAGAATATAAGGACTAACATATATCGCTGATAAATCAATAAAATAAATATATTGTAAATTATTTACCCTGCCACCTTTTGGAGCATCAAAGAAGTAGGATATATTAGCTACATTGATGTCATTGGTTGTACGTACCAATCTGTCCATGCAAAAATACAATATTAAATTGCTCACTTTAAAAAGCACAACCTATGACATCATCAATTAAGCCAATACATTCGGGCTTCTTTAATATTCCAAAATGTGGAAGAAAGATCTATTCAATGGTGATTTTAAATATTGCCAATTGCTATCTAAACACATACAACAAACAAATTTAAAAGTGCAGTTCTAATAATTGGTCTCAAAAATGAGTTGTAAGCATTTACTGAAATGATTTAAGGGGAAAACTTTTACTTCTGCCCCTCAATTTACCAGCAGTTTGCCACCATAAGAAATGTAAGAGAACTTTAAAATATATGTTAACAAAAATCATATGATTATTGTTCAATGCATTTGTATATTACTACATTAATTGTGTAAATTCAATGTTTTTTCATTATTTGAATAAAGTATAAAGATACAAAATAATACAAAAATGTTTACATTTTTACAGAGAATGCTATATGACTTTTGGATACTACAATGTGTTGAACAAATACACAAGTCAAAAATTGTGCAGATCAATTTAATTGGAACAGAATGGGATATGTAATTTTTTGACAATGATACTTTTTCCATTTTGCTATTAAACTGTTAAATGCAAAATAAATTATTTTTAGAATTTTTGCCTATGAGTTCCAAAATCTTTTTTTTTATTTCTTAATCCAGCCCCAAAAAATTGATTTGAACATCTAATGGCCCTCATCCTCTTAATTGGTCCCAATGGTGACATTACATACATTTCAATTACATTGGATATCTAACAATGAATTCAAATAATTTGAGTTTCCTGATGTAGCTGTTATTATAACTTACAGAAAACCAGATCCAAATACACAAAGAAAATGTCAGTAATAAGTTATAGTAGAATTACTTAGAATTGTTTCATTTTTTCACATTTTGCATTAAATAGACATTCCCATTAAATCCTGACCCCTTTGACGAACCAAGGCAACTATTATAATGGTTGGATTAATGATGTCATACTTTGCAATGCATGCAGCAATGTTTATAAACAAAGTTGTAAACTAATACATAACTTCTTCTGCAATGAAACTAAGAATGGTGGCATGATTTACTGGATTAGTCTATTCCAAATATTCTTCCACAAGATTGAATTTCTTTGTAATCAATACCTAAAGAAAATTCACAAAATGACAACTAAAATAAAGCACTCTTTAAATGAGAATGTATGTCATGTTTTAGTCTTGCTTAAAAGACCCTGTACTCCCCCCCCTTTATCCTTCTCTCTATATTGCCAGGTAAAGAGAGTGAAGGTGACGGGGGGGGGGGGTGGATACAGTCTTTGAGCAAGACTAGTCATGTTTCACTTGATCCTATCAGCCTTTTGGATAGACATACTGTGAACATATTGTGTCCTGGTGAATATATAACTGTGCCATGGGATAAAAACCTCTATGTGCTGTACTGTATATTCCATAAATAAATACTATACACTTTATACAGTCTGTTTATTGAGTCTATGGTTATTTGTCCTAATTGTGTTATTGCATTTGCACTTTGCACCATCACATGATATGTCCTTCGTTTATTTCTCCAACATTAAACAAGTGGGTGATTCCGATGTATCCCTTTGAGATTACAGCCACCACTTTCTTGAAAATAAAAATAATATATTTGACAAACTTTGATCAGAATGGTGAAAATACCAAATTTTGCACCCACTTGAGAAAAAATCACTGTTTTACTGGGAACTATAGCTTTAGTTCATAGTCTGCAGGTTTGCAGCTTCAATATTGCACACTACTGCATATTTACAGGTTAAAAACAGCATACACGTAGGTATATTACAGTATGACTATGTATACATGTACACTGAAGAATCCCATTTTGCATCATACTGATCACCATGACATCTTTTGGTAAATTATCTCGTAAATTTTCCGACTGACATCGAGATATTCTCTCCATTATTCATATGTATAATAACGGTTTCACTACCCAAGCAGTATTCCCAGTTATTGCATTGGGGGAGGAGCATCCATTTGCGGCATCACATATGTCCTTATTTGGGCATTCAGTTCAGCTATCTCAGGATCAAGTTTTTCAAAGTTTTTGATTGTTTGTGAAAATCTAATCATTCCTGGAAAATAAGTTGAATCATGTTATAAAAGTATCATATTACTTTACTAGATGTACTTACTATTCAATGTCAAATACAGAAAATAAATTATATCTCACTATCAGCTCTAAAAAACTCTGCACATTTCATTGTTTTTAAAGGCATTTACTATTTATATCTAGTATTGTACCATGGCGCCATCTTTTATGGATAAAAGGAATGAATTTCATTGTAAAATCTCACCATCTCCATCTGCAGAGAAGCCATATTTGGTAATGACACCCATCTGTATCTCTGTGGTAACAGGGAAGACAATCTGCATCATCTGCATCATGTTGTTGCCTAGAAACACAGTACATGAGTACAACCATATATGGGATGGATTGCATGAGTATAACCATATATGGGATTGCCTAGAAACACAGTGTAAAAAATGAGTGGATCAAAGGGGATCATCAACAATGTACCCTGTTCTGTGTTTGGGTTCATATTATACAATTATAACATACCAATAATTGATTTGTGGTGTCAATAAACAAAAACAAAAAGATGAAATAAATTTTTAAAGATTGAATTGAGGGCAGAAATAATGATGACTTCCTGGAAATCGTGGAAATAACAAAATTTCAATGATATCATTGCAGAGTATCTGTTCTCCATTTAACATCTCTCTAAGTTTAATGTTAGGTCTACTCACTGGCATGTAGCGATTATAGCGGTCCTGTCTTGGCTTATTGAATTGTTAAGAAGTTACGTATGCGGTGCGGAAGTTAGAGAGCAAATGACCATCATTTCAATGTAATAGTTTATGCAGGAAAATTGAGATTAGGCCATTGGAGTATTTGTTTCATGCATTTGTAAAACATTACCCACTCATAGGTCATACTTATCGTTAAACCAATAACTCAAATATATGCCCTTGTACACCGATCACCTGTTGAAATTAATACAGGCCGATTTCAACAAATGTAAACGGCGATATATTTAAAATCGTATTCAAGCATGACCACGTCCCAACTTCTTTTGTTTTCTTTACAACTAAGCTATGACTGCAGTCTATTCAGTGTTGCGTATCGAACCTTGTTTATTATAAAAATAGTGCAACAACAAGCAGAATTCACACATTTACCTTACACTTATTCTCAACTGAAGACATTGAATTTATCTCTTAGGTTTTACATTATAAATATCTTAAGATGCAGAATACGAAAATAGAGGCTTAGGCCCAACTTTGTATGAATTTTATGAGAATAGTCTGATTTTAGAGAAATGAAAAGAAAAATGTCCACACCCTACACAAAATATTTATGGTTACCCGGGAATACGTATGTGCTGCTTGTATATTAGAATCGTATTATATTGTATATCCTCGGGATATTCCCTGTATCCAAAACCTCCAATTGCATAACCCCTATATATTGGCCAAGGGATAATCCCAATATCCTGAACCGCGACTATAGGATAATATGTTTATCCCATACCAATCTTGGTCATCTGGTTCACATTGTTAAATCGTGGAAACATTTTAGAATATTCATGTCCAGTTTTGTTTTCTTGGCCGTGGGCCGTGGGCTGATTGTCTGTGTTTTCTCCATTGCCGTTTACAGTCATTCCGCGAACGTTACAAATTATGAACAAATATGCAAGCGGCGATTATGACGTAGCGGGCAGATACTGTATCTGCCCGCTTGGAGCGGGACGTAAAGCTTTATCCCATGGTTGCAAGGAGGATATAGATCGAATATCACATGATGATATATTTGATATGTGGATCAAGATATCATATTTTAGCAAACAATTTACAAACCATCGAATATCACTTTTAAACTATCGAATATCACATCTTAAATAGAGGATATCCTATGATTTATGAGTGATATGATCTTTATCCACGAATGGATATGATATCTGCACGAGTGAGCGTAGCGAGAGAGTGCAGATATCAACATCCATGAGTGGATTAAAATCATATCACGAGTAAATCATAGGATGTTCTTTATATTCCATAGTTAAAGTCATCATCAGAATCGTCGGGAATTAAGTGATTTAAAACGTATTTTCCAAACGATACGGCGATATTTGTTACGCGGTAAACACGATACAAAATATATGTCATATTCCGCAACGAATATGGCATATTCACTTGCGGTGTATGACAGATTCACCTGCGGTATATGGCATACTCACTAACCAATGAGAACGTGATACGGAAGTACGTAATTGTCAATTCCATCGATTGAACAAACGGGTAAAAGTTTATAAATTATTGAAATGATTACTGAATCATAAGTACAGTGCATTGAATATATCAACTAATGCAGAAGTATCACTCAGCAATCTCACGAGGTAAACTTACTCAATAAATCCAGGATTCATATATTACTACCCGAAGCACAAACTATACTGGTAATCCAGCGTAGTTTTACATTTAGAGTTGATTCTGGCAACCAATCAAATTAAGGCTTTTCTGTATCACGTTTTCACCTGCGGTATATGTCATACTCACCCGCGGTATATGGCATATTCCGCAAGTGAGTATGACATATTCCGCAGGTGAGTATCGGATATTCACTGAAATTAATGTATCGCATATTCACTGCGGAATATCCCATACTCACCTGCGGAATATGCCATATACCGCAGGTGAGTATGGCATATTCATCCGTATCACAAATACCGCGCAACCATGAATATATGCCATATTCCGCGTAACAATATTGACACTTAGCCTCGTTTTGAGTCTGAAGTAGCAAAAATCCATAAACCATGGCATACGGCGCCGTATGTCATGGCTAAAACACCGTATGCTATGGTTAAGTGAAAATTTGCCAAAAATATCATATTTTACCACTGATTTCAAAAATACCGTTTTTATTTTGACATGTTATCCTATGGATATCATGCTAACTATGGAATAATGTAGGAATATCCTATGGCTCTGAAAAAATATCACTTATATCCATGAGTGGATATTGATATCTTCGCGAGTGAGAATGGGAATTATTATCCAGTGAACATTGAATAGTCAGATAAATTGCAATGGAAATTCCATTTCGTCTGACATTTTGATTGCGATAATTCAACGAACGTCATATACGTGACGTAACAGAGTGGTGTGTATTTAATGCGAACGCCGTAAAAACAAGATCCCAAAAAATAAAAATATATAATAAATATATAAACAATCGTTTTGCTGAATTAATAAAAAAAATTGAAAAAATCAAAACCATCGAAATATCACCTTTGAAACCATCGAATATCACTTTTGAAACCATCGAATATCACCTTTCAATAAGTGATATTCGATGGTTTCAAAAGTGATATTCGATGATTTGGGAATTGTTTGCTAAAATATGATATCTTCATCCACGTATCAATTATATCTTCACGTGATATTCGATATATATCCTTGTAACCATGGGATAAATAAGGGTTATGTACTGGGAGGTTTTGGATATGGGGTTTTTCCAGAGGGAGATATGCATATCTACCTGAGGGACCGTAGGGACAGAAAGTAGATGTGCATATCTCACGAGGGATGAACCCAATATCCAAACCGACTGTACATAACTGCTTTATCCTATACCAAGTAGAGTTTTCAGTAGTACAAGGTGTAAAAAATAAACAAATCATTCATATGCAAAGTCATTTTATTGCATTTCCACTTTTTTTGAAGCGGGAAGATACGCCCAGAAGCGGGAAGATATGCACCGAAGCGGGAGATATGACGGGAGATATGGAGGTTCTTGATATGGAAACCTCAAAATCAGGATACGGGATATATCTTACCAACTTATCTCCCTAAAACCCTACTTGGCATAGGATAAATCAAGATAATTTCTACTCGCATCTAGTCTATTCCTCATGTTTGGGAAAAGTGTACAGGAAAATCTCCATGTTCAATTGATGTATGATCAATATATACGAATCGAATGTATTCTCGTGTGCATTACAATATCCACATTGAAACATTGTTGGCCTGCAATGGACGTATAATGAATTAGAATATGCCAGGCCGTGTTATCATTCTAATGTAAAGTCATGGTATTTACTGTGGTATTGGGTTGCAAGTTAATATCAGATTCAATGCAAATTAATCATCTAATATCAGATGCGCGATCAGTCCAATAATCTAATTTCAGGTCATCAGTTCGATATCTAGCACTTGTTCTAACGACACGGTATTACTAGGCTATCATATTATAAATACACACACATATAAAACAATCAAACTGGTACACGATATAAGCACGACTGCTCTTTCAATTGAGTATAAATGTTGATAAACTTTCCCGGAAGCCAAGACATACACGTTTAGACGATGCTATTTTCAGTTCAGTGTAAGAGTAAATGCCCGGATATCGAGGCTTTTTCGTGTAAAGTTTTGACCAAGCATCTAAAATCGGGTTATATTGCGTGTAGAATTTATCGATATCAGGGCCGCTACATGCCAGTGTCTACTAGTTCATACATGTTAGAATAAAATATAGGGTAGATCTGAGATGACCTTCAATTGCATAAATTACTGTAGATTGGGTTAATTTGGCGCTACTTAATTTTGCGATTTTGCCATTTTTGGCATATTGGCGGCTATTTAATTTGGCGGATATGCAAAAAATTGGGCATGTTTGCCTAGGTTCATTTTTTATTTTGAGGACCACTGGCTATATTCACCATGTTTGTACATTTTTGTGAGATCAACCTTTACATTTTGCACTTCGATCGATGTTGCTACTATACCGCGCTTTTCCTTTCTAGTTTTTCCCTGAGTATTAATGAGTGACTGACCAGTTCTGAGCCAATTAATGAGACTTTTTTTCATATTTTTGGAAAAAACTTAACCGGACGTGACCTAAATACACTGGACAAAATACCCTAGATAATTTCCGGGGATTCATTCTAAATTTTGGCGAAGATTTATATTGGCGAATTTTACAATTTCGCCAAATTCGCCAAATTAAAGCGGGCACCAAATTAACCAAATCTACAGTATACAGTATCGTGAATCAACTTAAAATGTGTAACCTGCATTATCTCTGGCCTCCTCTATTCGAATGTTGTTCTCAGGCAGTTTAAACGCATTGATGATGTCATGGAGACAAGCTGAAAACACAAAAAAATAATGCTAGCAATTTGAAACTATTCTTTCATGTGCCAAAAGTTTTAGTTTTAGTTGAATTAGTTGCTAGCTAGCCTAAAAATCAAGAATGGTACATAAATGGGCTCCAAGTGGTTAACCTGAATAAGATAACATGGCAGGCATTATTAGCTCCCTAAACTTGAATAATCAATAGATTTAGTGAATTAATTTTTATGCAACCTTTTTGAGTTTAATAATTAAAAATTAAAATATATTCAGTAAAGTCATCACATGAAATTCAAAGATAATTAAATTATAAAAGTGAAAAAAATTTCTTGCATTGAAATTATAATTCATTTCATGTGATCACTTTTGAATATATTTCAAGTTAGCCACCTGGGGCCTATTTTTGTACAGTTCGTAGTAACAAATGTTCGTAAATCCATTGTTTAATTTGTGAATTTCAGAAAGTCGCATTTTCGTAAGATTCTTATACTTAAGAATGATTCATAAAATTACGAAAAAAGTGACTTCATGCCTGCTTTCTAACATCAGTGGCCTTTGCTTGTGAAATACAGCCAATTTTAATGTTCATTCAGAAAAATCCAGAGAATTTTGAATGCTTCATTATTTTCCGCAAAGAACGCCATTTCAGTTTTTCCAAGAAAATTTTCACTCGACTGATAAAAAGAAGTGTTGATTGGCGCAGAGGCAGTTGAAAATTTCCAGTTCACAAGCAAAGGCCACTGATGTTAAGAACATTTTGCCTTAAGCGTCGGACAGCTGGTCATTATCTGGTTACTTTTGATACTGACCAGTTGATTTTTCCACTAGGTATAGGAAAATAACATTGCAACTGGTCAGTAATGCCTTTTTGACCAGCAGCTCTGGAATCCTTAGGGCATACACTGTTAACTGGCTGTAAATTCTAAGTTAGCAATCCAGAAGATGTGAACTAATACATTGATCACTTCATGTGTGTTTTGGAATTTTTGGTGAGGTAATAAGACCAAAACTCGCAATTCAAATTGTGATGTGGAAAAATGGAGAACATTTGATTTCAAATGTTATGATTACGACATGACCCGTATACAGCAGTAAAAAACATGCAGGGATTTATCTTTGGACGAAGGCCACGATATAGTGGCCTTAGAAGAAGGTTAAGTCCAGCCAGCCTTTGAAATTGGTAACATCTAACCATATCATTGTCTCCAATTGGTCAAACAGCATTCAGGGCAAATTCAAAATTTTGTTAATATTTTTTATTAATTTCCATATATGCGGGCAAGATTATTTTGTAGTAAGATCTGAAGCTCAATAAATATTCCTCAAGATGAGACACCGACTCTTAATAATTGTTCCGGGATCCTGTCTGTCCAAATATCATTGTTATGCTGACGTCACATTTCTGGAATCATGGATGCACCATTCAGATTTGAACAGACAAGCTTCCGCCGGTAACATATCACTATTTTGTCCTCTCATCAACGCAGGATTGCTTGTATACTGTTCATTAGTAATCAGAAAGGTAAAGAATAACAAGATGCTTCGAATGAGGTTTGATTTGTTTAATCTCTATCTGAAACAGCTGCACAATCGTCATTTTGAAATTTTCTAAGGTGTCACATGTTGAGGAACTTTTATTGTTTTCTTTTTTAAATGTCCTTTACATGTTCCCGGGGCCTATGAACAATTCAAGCTGTTGGAAACTACCTGGTGGCCTCTATTGACATTGACTGCCAGTGTCACTGAGTGAACTGTTATCCTTTGTATTCATTCAACTTTGCTCCTCAAAAGAGATCTTCGCATTTACTTTTCAGTTTTCAATAAATATCTGAACTCACTGTGCTAATCTGAGTCCTTTAGCGAAATAAGGACTACTTCCTTTATGGTCGCTATTGTTCACAGATCTAGCATGTGCTCTTTCCAGAAGATCGCTGATTGAGAACAGGTCAGTGATGTAGTGGTGAAATGATTTGTGATGCGAGCCGTCACAGGCATCAGTCGTGGGGTCGGGGCTGCTAAACTGTAATATAGCCTATACTAGGCAGAGGGTAGTGTATAACTAGACTCTGCGCGCGCGCGCAGGGTAAGCATAGTGAACTGTCAAATTTTCGTGTGAAAAAATCCCTTTTGATTGAGTATTACTCGAACAGGTTAATTCCTATCACACTGTAGATTGTCCAAGTCAAGAAAAGTATATAGTTTAACACTAATGTAAATGTTTTAGTCGCATAAATAACGCAAGAGAGCTGATAACCTACCTATTGCTTCACTGTTTGTAAATGGTCGAGAAACTGCAGCGGCCATTTTTTACTTCCGTTTCCGCTTTCGAGTTGACTCAGACTTTCCAGCATTTACCAGATCATGATGTATTCAAAGAGTGTTGTATCCTCAAAATACTCAATGTCTTAGAATGTATTATTTTGCACTTCTGGGAGTAGAATTTCTTTTCATTAAAGTCATATTTACGCAGTTATATGGCACAATAACACAGAAAATTAAGTAGGTCAAGTTCGCAAATTACTGTGCGCATGCGCTGTATACGTAGCAAATTTTAGCACTGAAAATAAAAATTTCTTCTGAATTTGGTCGATTTATTCCTAAGAATTGTGTATTTTGTGAGTAAATAGCAAGTCCTAGTTTTAAACAAATCTCTAAGCCAAACACTGAGTCCAAAAAGGTAGGTACATATGGTAATTTATTTGAGAAAATATGGTTTATTTTCAAGGATTTATTTTGCCTCAAAGTAAAAATGAAAATCATCCAGATTTTCTGTTTTCAACCATCCAAAAAATAACAGTTAGGGAAACTCCATTCATTCGACCAAATGGGATGAAGATATTACAGAAGGTTCCACTGAAGAAGACTTACTAGGTTGTAATGTCGACACAATTTTTGGGTAACTTTGACATGTGGGGTAACTTCGACACCTTGTTGTTTATTTGCTCTAATTTCCGATCTAGAGGGAATCCATGTTTTTTTCTCGCATGGATCGAGATCTCGCAACATTTTATTTTTCCAGAAATCAAACATGGTGGAAAATGGAAATTCTACTTCTAATAAGTAAGTGTCGACTTTACCCCTTCTCTTATGTCGACTTTACCCCACATGTCCACGTTACACCCCTTTGCCCTACATTAGGCTACTTCCAGATCGTGGAGCTTTATTGTCACAAATTCTGTCAACAAAGGTCACAAAGTGTACCACTATACTAAAATAAAACAAGGTTGAGCAGATCTAATCTCTCAGATATTACTTGGGTCCAAACCCTTCCCTATGTTCCGGCTTTGAGTGATTGTTACAGCTGCACTGGTTATTCAATATTTGTAAATCATGGTGACACACATTTGTTATGGCATAATATATAAAACATACCTTTATGCATACATTTGTATTTCAAAATTGCCTCCATTTTTCTGCTGAGTGAGCTGTATAAATGGCGGATTCCACAAATTTGAGGTTCTTTCCAAAGATAAATTTTGAAATATCTTAATCCAGACAAGCAACGCTTCAACTTTAGTTAAATTAATATTCTTATAAATATTTATGAAAATTGTTAAATAGGAGTTCTAGGTGCATGTGACACTGTTTCAAGATTACATACTGGATCAATGATCACATGTAGCTGTAAGCTAGAGACTTGAGTAACTCAAATAGATCTAGAATTTATCTTGTAAGCTCTCTTTACTCAATCAGTATTCAGGTCTTGTACAGTATAATCACAGATTTCAGCAAGATTATTTGAAGAAAAATCAGTAGTGCAACTCAAAATGAGACACCAAACTGGGATATTTCTAGAAAGATTACCTTCTCTTCTGGAAGCCCCTAGATATGAAGTGATATAAAAAGTAACAAGAGATGCTTTGAATAATAAAGGTATCCTTTGTCACATAGATTTATATTGCATAGTCATAATCTTGAAATTGAATGTTTCATCCTTTAGAAAAGTTATATTTTCCCATATTTTAAATAATGGTTTTACGCACATATAGTTCACAAAAATATGATAGAGAAAATGGTTCTTATTTTAAACTCCCTTAGTCATATGTGCCCAATGTAATATAGTGTTTGAACTATGCCAAAATGAGCCTTTTACAATGAGGTATAAATTCAGGTATTATCTTTTTTTCATAGTTTTCATAGTCATGCACACCTAAAAATTACATTTCTTCTAATTTGGTTGTTTGACCTGAATAGGCCATGGGAAAATACTAGAATAACGCTCCCTTAGGCCTACCCGATGAGTAAAATTTATGATGTCTAAAAAATCAGAAATAAAGACAAAGTTTTGGCAAGTTGATTGTCAACTCCAATTCTCTCTTGAAAATCAAATCAAAACAAAGTTTGACCCCATTTATTCTTTATTATCTCTTCAAACATATCTGCCAATTAATATGATTTTTATGATTGAAAAGTTCAAGGTCTGATATAAACTCATAAAAACCTTGTTTAGACATTTATATCGTTGATTTATTTAACTGTTACAGTGATCTCCACATGAATTTTTCTCAAGTAGGTGCAAAATTTTCACAATTTAGACCAAAATTGGTCAACATTGCCAATTTTTCATGATTTCTCTCATTTTCAAGTGAGTTCAAAAATGTGCACAACTGATATGTTTTAAGGATGTACATTTTCATAACATCATCATTTGGCTATTCTTTTGCAATAAATCTGGGATTTCATTAGCAGCTGGTAATTTTCACATGTTGTTGTTTTTACCAAAATCACTTGTTGTTTCAAATGAGGAATTTTGTTTTGATTCATTAGTATTATGCCTATTGAGGCAAAATATAATAAAATCAATGTATACATGATATTCATATAAAAGAAAGCCTTTGTAAGGATGTCCAAGATATGAACGAAGTACATCCTATGGACCTTATATATGAGCTACATATGTATGTAATTTTATCAGACAATGTATTCTGTGTCATAAGCAGAATTTGTAGGAGGCTACTACAACAAACAACTAGTTAAGTATCAGATCAGGTTTCAAAGATAACCTTTATTCCCTTGTATCCTTGTTGATTTTCCAGAATTTACATTGTACACGTACATGTACATGATATCAAGGTTTGAATTTTACTAACTACTTTTAAGACAAATAAAACTAGAACTGTTCAATCTTATACCAGGTCGTTCAATAAGTTCACGGAAAAATGCTCTCATTTCAAAGATTTTAGATATTTTCTCATGAAATTTTCACACAATGTGTAAAAAATACTTTCTGATTGATTCTTAAAATATCAGCATCTCTTATTTGATTGGTCAAAAATAAAGGTTACTATGGTAACTTGACTTTTGGTTAGGCGGGGCACTTTTTACGTCACACAATTTACCATTGCAGAAAATCTATCAATATGTGCAAATGAAGAATCCCTATTTTTTTTATTTGTTCTTATTCAAATTACAAATGTTGTGAAATTGATGTTCATTGTTTGCATGAACATTTCTGAAATCCTGCTAGTCAATGCTGTACCAGTGGGCCAGAAAATCAGCAAAAAGTAATGCTATGGTAAGTTGATTAAAACTTAACTCTAAATTTTTCCATCGGGATAATGCAGCCGATCACACTGGTAATATTGTGCAGGAAACCATCACAAATACCTGGCAAAATAGATGGCAAAGCTGCCCCAAGTTACATACTCTCCAGATGAGACAATCCTTGATTTTGCTGTTTTCACTAGGATGAAGGATCAACTAAGAGGTGCACTTTATGGAACAGTGAAACAACTTTCGACTGCAATCCAGATGGCCCTTCAAACAAGTTTTCCAGATGGCTTCAGAGCATGGTATCGTCAATGGGTTGAATGCAAGCGACTGTGCATTAAACATGAGAAAGAATATTTTCTAAAACCTTATTGGACAATAGTTGTGACTATTACATTAAGTAATATTATGTACAAGTAGAAAGCGGAGGAGAAATTCATGTGATATACTCATAAATTGCCTACTATTCTGTTGTTTCTCTGAATGAATAATGTGACGTAAAAAGTGCCCCACCTACCCAAAAGTCAAGTTACCATAGTAACCCTTATTTTTGACCTATCAAATTAGAGATGCTGATATTTTAAGAATCAATCAGAAAGTATTTTTTATACATTGTGTGAAAATTTCATGAGAAAATATCAAAAAACTTTGAAATGAGAGCATTTTTCCGTGAACTTATTGAACGACCTGGTATATACAGCATAATTAAGTCATTAGGCCAGTAATAAGATGCCAGATGGGTGTAAAAATAAACAAATAAAATGATTACATTGGTTGTTACACTGAATATGAACTTGAACTTTGCTGGAAGAGAAACAAAGGAACAATGTCTTTCAGTGCTTGGGTTCTGACCATAACTTTAGCATTATGCTCATCTCTATCTCCATTAAAAATGGCAGCCATAGATCTAGCAATATACCAATATGCGATAACGTTTAATTTCGTTCAGTTTAGCTACCTCTCGTTTGAAGAGCTCTCATGTATGGTACAACTTCGTCTACATCCGGGTTCTTTCCCATTGGATTACATAGGGGTGCTATTTTCAATGCCGCACTGCGGCTCTATTAAACATTTATGTAGAGTTTCATTTGCACAAACGATAGGTATGTATGTAATTAAGATATATGACAAAGCTTTTTGAGCTATAATCCCCAAATCCGAAGAAATCTGTAGTTGAAAATGCCGTCCAATTCCAGTGACGTCACTGATATCCCAGAAATTGCTCAGACGCCATCGAAGATCGAAAAATATGAATGTTACTTTGAATCTCCGATTATCTTTCTGATTATTGAATAAATTGGATTATATAACTATGCTTGAGGGCTGATGGAAGATCAGAAGCTGAGAAACGTTCATGGTAATCGACTCGTTCGGCGGGCCAATGAAAAATTGTCCCTTCCAAAGTGATGCATCATGGGAGATATTTATGTAAATTACCACCTGAACTCTTATCGCGAATAGGAGTATTAGAGCAATGGTGACAACCAAACTTAAGTTCACAAATCATGTTCCTAATTAGCCTATCAATCATGTCAATATTTTACCAATAAGTCCCAATTTCAATAAGTTTTATTAGGATCTATAGATTATGGGGCCTTGATATGATCTAGGTTTGGCTGTGGCTGTGGATGGGGGTATGATCATTATGAAACACCCTGTAGTAGTCCTGCACGTATAAATTTTGAAATTTGAAATAAAAAAGAAATAAAAAGGCTTTTAACACTAAGATAATTAGCTATTAAGAATGATTGCTTAGATGATAATCACCATACTTATCTCCAAATTATCGATTAATTTACACCCTTTTATCTAGACAATGGTTGCTACTCAAAACAAACATGTTGATAAATAAGAATAATCATTAATACCTGAACAAAATGAAGCCTCTAAGTGCACTCTTTAGTGATTTTTAAATTACCCCTTCTGCACTAATGTTCCAATAAACCATTAGGAAGCTGAGAGGGTCAGCCCTAAGAATCTAACCTCTATTCAAATTTTCACTGAATGCAGAATTAGGTATTAATCCTTTCATCACCAAGGGGCTAAAATAAAAAAATCAATCATACTTTAATGAATTAAAATATATTTTGACAATCGGTTTTTATTCTCAATCTAAATGTCCATAACAACAAAATTTGTGGTCTAGGCAACACAACAGTATATAATTATGATGTTTACTCTTTGTGGTTGGAATTACATTTCCTCTTTGAAAGTACCACCCAAATATCCATGAAAACAATGCAAAGTTTCTTTTTTGCATCATAATTTTTCATATACTGTAGATTGGGTTAATTTGGCGCCCGCTTTAATTTGGCGAATTTGGCGAAATTGGAAAATTCACCAATATAAATCTTCGTCAAAATTTAGAATGAATCCCCGGGAATTATCTAGGGTATTTCGTCTAGTGTATTTAGGTCACTTCCAGTTCAGTTTTTTCCAAAAATATGAAAAAATGTCTCTCATAAATTGGCTCAGAACTGGTCAGTCACTCATTAATACTCAGGGAAAAACTAGAAAGGAAAAGTGCGTTATAGTAGCAGCATTGATCGAGGTGCAAAATGTAAATGATCTCACAAAAATGTACAAACGTGGTGAATATCGCCAGTGGTCCTCAAAAGAAAAAATGAACATAGCCAAACATGCCCATTTACATGGTAATTCGTAAACAGCCTGTAAGTTTAACATTGCATTGACATTTTTTTGCATATCCGCCAAAATAAATAGCCGCCAATATGCCAAAAATGGCAAAATCGCCGAATTAAGTAGCGCCAAATTAACCCAATCTACAGTAAAACAGGAGAATGTACTTAAATTGCATAAAGGATATATTTGTGTCACTCTCCCTGATCGGTTGTGCAACTTTACTTCTCTCCTTAGTTTATATGAGGGTGGGAGGGTGGTTGCATGTGAAAATATATGGTTGCAGAATGCTATGTGGACTGTTATGTCTAAGAAACTATTCGTTTGAATCACTCCATATTAGACATTGTGCATGCTTAAGATGGAATTCTACATCAGAGTGAAATAAAAAGGTGTTCCATAAGTAAATAGGTGTGGCAATAGAGACCAATGGTCAAATATTTGGCTTGATGGATTCCACTTAATCTCGATATGTAGTGTAAAAATATAATTTTAAGGTCAAATGGATATGATGATACCCAGTGTTAAGTCCAAGGTGCATATTCTCATATTAAGTCAATGTACGCTTGCTATAATCTTGATATTCTCAGGAGAAAATTAATAATTATATTGTGCATTCTTAGATACCCAAATCCAAATTGCACATTAAAATACATATTATTTTCAAATATCAAATCTCATTTCTACTAAAAACAAAAATTTGCATTCTGCAGCATTATGGGGTCACTGCACTTAATGGCCTCTCTCTCAGCCTATCTGGGTTCAAACTCTCAAATATTCTCCAAAGTATAATTTGCCATTGAATTAGCTATTGTAAATCTAAAGATAATCCATTCTGGCTATAGAGGTACTTATCATTTTGAAATTGATTTTCATTAAATTTATTAATGACCCCTTGGTGATGAAAGGGTTAATATCTAATTTTCCATTTACTAAAAATTTGAATGGAAGTAAGATTCTTAAAGCTGACCCTTTCAGCTTCCCAACGGTGTATTGGAACTGCACACTATTTTCAAATATCAAATCTCATTTTGACCAAAAACAAAAATTATTGAGCACTTTTTAGCACAATGGGACCACTGCATTTAATGACCCCTATCTCAGTCTGTCTTGGTTCAAACTCTTAAATGTTCTCCAAAGTATAATTTGGCATTGAATTAGTTATTGTAAACCAAAAAGTAATACATTCTCGCGATAGGGGTATTTGTCATTTTAAAATTGATTTTCATAAAATTAATTAATTAATATTCCTTGGGAATGAAAGGGTTAATATCTAATTTTGAATTCACTAAAAATTCGAATGGAGGTCTGATTCTCAAAGCTGACCCTTTCAGCTTTCCAACGGTGTATTGGAACCTTAGTTCAGAGGTGGTCATTTACCAGTTTCGCCACCAGGTGGCTGATTCGGGGGAATTAACATGGCAGGGTATTAAAAAATTCCCTTAAATTTGGATATGCATCAGTTTTAGTGGTTCACTTTTCATATTACCCTTATGTATCTGATAGTTATACAAATTAGCATATGTCCAGTAAAAACAAATATTATCTGCCCAACATGAAAAGATATTCCACTTTTTGTGGTTTCACAACATGGGGTCTATGGGGAATCTCCCCAACCTAGAAGTCACATTTTCAAAGAAAATTAAATTTTCAAAGTTGATAAACTCTTTTCAAAACCACATTTCTAAATGTAATTTTACATGAAGATTCCAAATATGACATCAGTTTAACTGAATTGTGAATTTTTAATGACGTAAATCAAGATTATTTCTACTCGCATTTGGGATATTAGTTTTATATTTTATAATAAAATGTATATGTATGAATTTTTCATCTTTGTCTTAATTGATAAAAAATGGACAGGATTTTAGGATTGATGTATAAACTTATAATTAACTTTCATTGTCATATAATTCTCATTGTTTCACAAAGTGCATTTCATCTTCCACACTGCTATCATTACAATATGTACATTTTCTTTAGATGTGATTGCTTTATTTTTCATTCTACCCTTTTTGATCTCAAGACAGCGATCGCTTAATCCATGGCTTTTCAAGAGAAGGGCATGTAACTCAGTGTTATAAACATGAGAACTTCAAAATGAACAGTGCCATGCTTCCCCTTTTCGATAATATTTCAGAAAGTTCCAGATGAATGTATATGTTTCAGTATTGTCTTGAAGAAATTATGATTAAATCATAAGACATGTTTTAATCCCATTTAAACGTAAAAAAGACAAATAAGAAAAAGAGGCATCAAAATGATATCTTCGAGTGTTGCATTGTGGGTAATTATTCAAAAACATATTCCAATAAAAATATAATTTGTAGAAAAATGTTCACTTTCATCATTGCCATAATTATGATAAATTCCATTTTGTATTAAACACATACGCAGATAATTATGTTTTTATTTTTGAGATAAATCTTTATTCATACATGAACAGTACAAAATAAAAATTTTCTTGGAATGTGTAGAGTTATTATTTTTTCTCTAATTTTGAAAACCTACGGCAATGCTTATTTACGAAATATTGGAAGTTACCTACCCTTCTAAATTTTATAAAAGTTTGAAGTGGAATATTTTTACTTAAAAACTACTACTTTTCGGGGGCAAATGAGTCCTTAAAGCAGTCATACAATGCTACTGTGACAAAATGATGCATGATCCTGCAGTTGCATGTACATGATTGTACCTGTATATTAATTTGAAGTATATAATTGCAGGTGTACGATAACAAGAGGCTAGAGAATGAGTCAGCCCCCTTGGCAGGGCTATGACCAGCAAGGTACCCCTCAGCAGCAGGGTCAACAGCAGGTGCCTGGACCCATGAAGTTCTATGACCCTAATCAGTTCCAGGGTGGGACAACTTCAAGCTTTCCCCAGCAGCAGCCTGTCCCAGGGGCAACTGTTCAGAATGGTCAACCACCCGGTATCCCAGTATCCAGTCAGGCTCACTATGGCGCTCAGTCAACCTGGGATCAGAATCAATGGCAGAATCATGACTGGCAAAATCAAGGTCAAGATGGCCTTGGAGGTCAAGTTGACCCAACACAGCAGCTAGGTCAAGGTGACCAATATCAGAATCAAACATGGGATCCCAACCAGCAACAATATGGTTACAACAACCAATGGCAGAATGTAGATCCTGGCCAATCTTGGGGTCAGAATGAATCAGTAGGGTCAGTCCAAAGTTATAACACACAGCAAAGTAATGACTCGTACTTCTCGAATCAGAGTAATATAACTGACAGTTTTAACAATGTAGCCCCTCAGAGTCAAGAAATGCACACCAATCCCCCAGGGTTTCCCATAAGTAAACCAGAGTTGAAAAATGATGACCAAGTGAGCACCTACATTGATGGGCAAGCTAATCTTGGTGATAGCTTGTCTAGCTCTACAGCCTCTAACATGTTCAATAGTGATGGATATGAAGAAAACACAAATGATGGAGGTGCATTTTCTAGTTTCTATGGTAATGCTGATGAGGACAAGGTGATAGAATATGATAATAAAGGTCAGTGTGACACAGATATTGGTAACATATCAAACCAGATGCAGAATGTATCACTAAAGGAGCCCAATCAACAGGGGGAGGATGCATATAAAAGAGTTGATTCATTTAGTAATTTACAACATGAGCCATCACCATTTGATGAGATAGCCCCTGGTCCTGCTCAGTTCTCACCTGCTGACTTCCCACCCCTTGGCCACCAACCTGCCACACTGACCCCTTCTTCCACACAGGAGGTCCAGTCTGCTACCCAGGAGCCCCATTTTACACAGGCAACCCATCATTCACAGGAACCCCATTCAGTAACTAAGACTCCCCATGCAGTAACACAAGAGATCCAGGAATCCTCCCAGAATCCCCCTGACTCAGAACCCAAAACTGACTTCTTAGAAAATAATTTTAATTCTGGTAATCAGGGGCCATCACAACAAGGTGCCCCTGTGGAACGGGAGACACCGCAGTCTCATGAAAACACTAACATTGAAGCTCCAGCTAATGCTAACCTAGAGGAAACTCCCATGGTGAATTATTTCCAAGGCCAACCCCATGTCCAGCAGGAATCCCAGCCGTTATATCACCCTCAACAGCCAGGGGTTAATACAGAGGCAACACTTGACCCTCAGGCTCCACACCCCCCTTCCCAGGATAAATCACATTTTACTCCCCAGCCTGCCAACCCTGAGTTATTAAGCATCCAAGAAGGGAGCAGGAGTGCTAGTGGTTCCCCTAGTGTACAGTTTATTGTAGGATCCAACCCTAGTTCAACCACTGCCAGTGCTAGCCACAGCAGGCAGGGGTCTTCCAATGGACATGATTTACATGTACAAGAGCCCCATATTCAGCAAGCAGACCCCCGCACACAGCAAACAGACCCCCACACACAGCAAACAGACCCCCACATACAACAAACAGACCCCTACATACAACAAACAGACCGCCATAGTCACCAAACAGACTCCCATATTGAAAATCCTGATGGAAACGCCCAACAGCCTGGTAATGAGAGACCTGCTTCAACACATTCCTTCTCTTCAAACTACAGTAGTCAGAGTAATGAACGTCCAGCCTCACAAACATCAGTGCCACCTAGTGGTGAAGATCTGTTACCAGGGCATCAAGGCCCCAATGTGACTTTACCCCCAATAGAACAGGAGTCTCATGTTGGGCAACAATACTCCAACATGGCCCCAGCAAATACACATACTGAATATAAGAACTCTGACTCAAATTCAACAACTGTGAATGACTCACAGCTGTCTCAACCTGCTGTGACACAGCAGCTGACCTCAAATGAACCCAATGCAGAAATTATGGACAGTCAATCTGGGCCTCATCAGAGTCACCAGAGAGATTCAGTGAACTCACCAGAACATCATATGAATATTTATGCTAGCCCAATAGACCACAGTTCAAATAGTCCATTTCAACCTGTGTCCCCAAGACATTTAGTGAATAATCCCCTAGTGGCCTCTAGTGAAGCATCTTTGCAGCAATCACACCCTGCCCAGCCCCAAGCCACACAGAGTACACACACAAACTACCCACAGCAAATAGGACAGACAGTGGCCAGTACTCAGGCTACCCAGCACAGTACACAGCTTGACCAAACAGAGAATGCACCTCAAATTGGACTACAGCAGAATGTTGCTAACATGCAGCAGAACAATTCTGGATTTCAACAGCAAGGAGGTCAACAGTCTCACCTACAGCAGCAGCAGGGAGGTCAACAATCTAGCCTACAACAACAGGGAAGTCAACAATCTAGCTTGCAACACCAGGGGCAGGAAAGTCAACAATTTGTTTACACAGGCCAACAAGATAAGCAGTCATTTCCCCCAGTCCAAGGTCAGCAGCCAACCAATCAGCAGCCAACCCAAGTCCAACAGCAAATGTTTCCAGGGCAACAACAGTCAATGTTGCCAGGACAACAAAATATAAAACAGGCCCATTCCCAAAGTCATACAGAAGCCTCTTATATCCCATCAGGTAAATCAGAAGATGTGGATGTTGCTGAGAGTCATGCTCATATGCGTCATATAGCTGGATTGGACACTGAGAAAAGGGCTCCATCCCCTGCTACAACTCTATGGAAAAGTCCACAGATTCCTCAAAATATGCCAGTTGTTCTGGCCCCTGCTAAAACAGAAGCATCTCGGGAGCAGATGAACCCTCAATCCCAAGGACAGTCCCATGATGCTCAGCTGCAGCAGCCTGTTGTGCCTTTAAATCTTGGTCATATAAAAGAAAGTCTGGAGAAGGAGAAACATGTTGAAGAGCTGCATGAGAACAAACCACATTCTCAACAACTTGTTAGCAATCAATCAGCCAATGCCTCACAGCACCAAAGTAACATTAGACAGCAAAATATGATTCCTGGCCAACAAAATATGAACCCTGGCCAACAAATAATGAACCCTGGCCAACAAACAATGAACCCTGTTCAACAAAATATGAATCCTAGCCAACAAAATATGAACCCAGGGCAACAAAATGTTAACATTGGCCAACAAAATATGAACTCTGGTCAACAAAACATGAACTCTGGCCAACAAAATATGAACAATGGTCAACAAAATTTGAACCCTGGTCAACAAAATATCAACCTTGGTCAACAAAATATGAACCCTGGCCAACAGACTATGAATCCTGGCCAACAAACTTTGAATCAGGGTCAATCAAGTATGAACCCTGGGCAACAAACTATGAATCAAGGCCAACCAAGTATGAACATGGGTCAACCAAATACATACCCAGGCCAACAAAATATGAACTTGGACCAACAAAATATGAACCAGTCACAACTTGGTAGTAACACACATCAAAAACAGCTAGGAACTGGTGGAGAAAATACTAGTTTTGCACCACCTGCTCCGAGGGCACCAGTGGGTCAAGAGACACCAAGACACAACAGAGGAGAGAGGAATGATCCCAGGGGGCAGTATACTCCCAGGGAACAACAGTATACTGATAAACATTATGATCCAAGATATAGGTATACAAATTTATTGTCAATGGTTATGGATTCTAAACGCTTTTCAATTGATAGGATAACATTTTCCAATTTTTAAAGTTTGATCCTAATTAGTAATTACATGTGAAACTAGTCTGCTATAATCTGTTCTTCGACATCAGTAAATTTTCTGAATTGCTTTTAGGTTCCATACCACCTGTTACCATACAACTAAATATATATACAATCAAAAGCGTACACTCCGTTAATCTATAGCACAGCTACATCAAAATATCCCCTAAAAATCTTTAACAATTTTGACAGTTCCTTTAAAAGTTAAAGTAGTCTTTACTTTTGGGACACCTTGTATTTCACATTTAAATGCACAAACTTCATTGAAAATCATTAACACTGTTTCTTTCTAGTGACCCAAGAGATACAAGACGATACAATCGCTATGAAGACCCCAGGTATGACTCTAGGGGATACTTTAGTGCCCAGAAACACTATGGCCATGGAGGATATGACAGACCAAGATCTCGCCAGGGTGAAGAGTATGAGAGACCACGTTCAAGACAAGGTAGGAGACTACACTGAGTTAAGAATTGGAAATGTGTCTGTGTCTTTACTATTGTTCAGTATCAAAGACCAAGGGTCACTCAATGCTACACTGTTCTGCTGGGGATTTTTCTGTCCCTGCTTCTTGAAAGAATAGAAGTCAAGAAGTCAGAACCAAATTATTTGTCTGCTAGTATTGTCTTTCAACATTCTAAGATTCCCTGGTGAAACATCTATGGTTTAGAATCTTGATTTTCCTTTTGACATTTAGTTTTAGAGTAAGGTATAAAAGCTTATAATCTAGGTGCATAGGTGTACTTGTAGGGCCGTGAGGAGCTATGTAGTAATATGTGATAAGAGAAGGTATGGAGGGTGAAAGACCCAGGTCTAGAGCAGATAAAGGGGAGGAGTATTAACACAGTGTTGTTGTATTATAGGTGATAGACCATCCTCCAGGCAAGGTTATGAAGACAGACCAAGGTCCCGACAAGGTATGGAGGTTGAAAGACCTAGATCCAGGGCAGATAAAGGAGAGGAGTATTACTACAGGTGCTATAAACTACAGTGTGACTACTACAAAAACTCAGATCCAAGATTCAAACAACAAGGTAAAATATATTAAAAGTAACTGCGACAATGTATTCCTGTCTACAGGAAGGAATTGCATAAGGATTGCATATAACCTCAGTTGGTAATAGAAATAAAGCACATATAGCAAACACTATTTCATCGCTTATTTATAGTGTATAGCATACACTATTTCATCACTTATTTATAGTGTATAGCATACACTATTTCATCACTTATTTATAGTGTATAGCATACACTATTTCATCACTTATTTATAGTGTATAGCATACACTATTTCATCACTTATTTATAGTGTATAGCATACACTATTTCATCACTTATTTTATAAATTGCACTTACTATAAAGTACCATCCATTACAATTACACATTTTGCTTTAAAACAATTTATTTAATAGCCACATTTTTATTCATTTAAATAGTAGAAACGTTTATTATATCTTTTACAAAAATGATTTTAAAAAGCATCAACTTAGGCCTATATGAATTTCTTTTCTTGGAATAAAGCCTTTCATGCATTAATTACAATAAACACATCCATCATTTTGATTAGATATGAATATATGTACTTGTAGATTACGAGTACTATTACTACAAGTACCAGCAGATGGTACAGTACCGGGAATACTATGGCAATGATGACTCCGAGTACCAAAGGCCCATGGAGAAATATAACAAAGGCTATGCTGATGAGTGGAGGTCCTACAACTCTGCTGATCCTAGGTAAGAAGTGTAGGGGGCTTGGTTCTGTTATGTACGTGCTATCTAGCATCAACTCCTTCATGGAGAGACTCGGCAACAGTTTGTAAAATAGTTTTTGCATTCAAATAAAGCTTATTAACCAAATTTTCATTTTGATTTACTCATAAAAGATAAATAAATTGTACTTGTTTTTTTTATTTTAAATTTAAATCAAATGTTTCTATTCATATCGTAAGATTAAGTGTAATATTTTGATTGAATCATTCATGTTGCATGGTATATAGAAACCTGTTAACCTGTAGATATTATTCATAGTAACTGCATGTTGTGAGAACCCATATTGTTTCTTCATACTTAAGTTAAATAAATGTTTGATAAGAAAATATGTGTTCAAATATGTATCACCACAAAGTAATGGTATCTTAATGTGATGAATATTATAACACATATTTTATATACACTTTTAGTGTGACATACTTTTAGCATAAGCTATGTTTGACTTCACAGCAGGGGGAAGAGACATCAAATAAGATATTTTAAAAAATAGTCCAGAGCTCATAAATTATTTGTTCATAAAGAACAACTTTTTTTGCCAGGGAATTTCAAGCTTGAATGGGGTAAAGATCTGGAAATTTTTTATTTGAGTTTCTTTAGGTAAACCGGTAGTGGAATTGTAGAGGTTGTCAAAGAGACGCAATTGATTGTAATTTTCCACATACAAAACAGAGTTAAAATAGATGTCACTATTAGACATCATGTTACCAACATACTGATTTATTACATAGAAATTATAAACTTTTGATCACTAATAGATGTCTCTTCTTACTCAAGTCTTGGTCCTTGTTAAAAAGTGCTAAACGTCCTTAATTTGCACTAAGAGGTAGATAACAAGTTTTTTGTCTTATTTACCCTAAGAATGTAGGGGCAACACAGGTTCTTGACGCAATGCCTTAGAGTTGAATATTGAACGAGCTTTTTGTCTTATTTGCGCTAAGAATTTTGGTGCAACACAGGTTCTTGATGCAATACCTTAGAGTTGAATATTGAAAGAGTTTTTTGTCTTATTTGCGCTAAGAATTTTGGTGCAACACAGGTTCTTGACGCAATACCTTAGAGTTGAATATTGAAAGATATGACTGTTTATACAAGGACTAAGATGTACTTACTATTTACCTGTACCTGTACCTATAGATATATCCAGCCTAATTACCATTGAATTTAAAATGACATTACCCATGGGGACCTAACACGGTTAGGGGGTACTCAGGTTTTGCTGTAGGTAACTGTAGATAGGTGTCACTTTATGTTTATTACACACTAACATTTTAGAGCTGATTATTCCGGCTATGATGCTTATGATCGTCGCTCACAACATTCCTCCCGAGGGGGGACTCCAGCTGAAGAGTAAGTCAGAAATTGATTTTGATTTTTTTAACAGCGCAACCACATGTGATGACTTATTATTAAGGCATATATTTTTTGTGATCAGCAGTTGGCATTTGCCACTCAAAAGTTTGGTGTCTAACCATCTGTAGTAAATAACCAGGTGGTAAGAATTTGTTATGTTAATACCTTGTTGAAAATTTTATTTTGTTGCTTGTGACATATTTTGCATAATGCTTTTTTATTACTTTTTGTTGTAACACAATTTATATTTTAAATAAATTATTAGATTAATTGCACATTTCTCCTCTCTTTATCATTTGATGTTGTTTCAGTATAGAATCTAACTTGATGTTGTACCCACTTGGCACTAAGGTCCTTATCTTAACACAGATGTATGAACATAAGCTCTGTAGATGTATAGATAACCTATAGTTTAGTTCCAATTTATATTGTTAACCTGCACATGTAAGGACTGCCAACTAATACATTCATGTACAATACCTTACAAAAGGGCCGCCAATTATTACACACATGTACAATACCTTACATAAGGGCTGCCAATTAATACACACATGTACAATGCCTTACATAAGGGCTGCCAATTAATACACACATGTACAATGCCTTACATAAGGGCTGCCAATTAATACACACATGGACAATACCTCACATAAGGACTGCCAATTAATACACACATGTACAATGCCTTACATAAGGGTTGCCAATTAATACACACATGTACAATGCCTTACATAAGGGCTGCCAATAAATACACACATGTACAATGCCTTACATAAGGGCTGCCAATTAATACACATATGTACAATGCCTTACATAAGGGCAGCCAATTAATACACACATGTACAATGCCTTACATAAGGGCTGCCAATTAATACACACATGTACAATGCCTTACATAAGGGCAGCCAATTAATACACACATGTACAATGCCTTACATAAGGGCTGCCAATTAATACACACATGTACAATGCCTTACATAAGGGCTGTCAATTAATACACACATGTACAATGCCTTACATAAGGGCTGCCAATTAATACACACATGTACAATGCCTTACATAAGGGCTGTCAATTAATACACACATGTACAATGCCTTACATAAGGGCTGCCAATTAATACACACATGTACAATGCCTTACATAATGGCTGCCAATTAATACACACATGTACAATGCCTTACACAAGGGCTGCCAATTAATACACACATGTACAATGCCTTACATAATGGCTGCCAATTAATACACACATGTACAATGCCTTACATAAGGGCTGCCAATTAATACACACATGTACAATGCCTTACATAAGGGCTGTCAATTAATACACACATGTACAATGCCTTACATAAGGGCTGCCAATTAATACACACATGTACAATGCCTTACATAATGGCTGCCAATTAATACACACATGTACAATGCCTTACATAATGGCTGCCAATTAATACACACATGTACAATGCCTTACATAAGGGCTGTCAATTAATACACACATGTACAATGCCTAACATAAGGGCTGCCAATTAATACACACATGTACAATGCCTTACATAAGGGCTGTCAATTAATACACACATGTACAATGCCTTACATAAGGGCTGCCAATTAATACACACTTGTACAATGCCTTACATAATGGCTGCCAATTAATACACACATGTACAATGCCTTACATAAGGGCTGCCAATTAATACACACATGTACAATGCCTTACATAAGGGCTGCCAATTAATACACACATGTACAATGCCTTACATAAGGGCTGCCAATTAATACACACATGTACAATGCCTTACATAAGGGCTGTCAATTAATACACACATGTACAATGCCTTACATAAGGGCTGCCAATTAATACACACATGTAAAATGCCTTACATAATGGCTGCCAATTAATACACACATGTACAATGCCTTACATAAGGGCTGTCAATTAATACACACATGTACAATGCCTTACATGAGGGCTGTCAATTAATACACACATGTACAATGCCTTACATAAGGGCTGTCAATTAATACACACATGTACAATACCTTACATAAGGGCTGTCAATTAATACACACATGTACAATGCCTTACATAAGGGCTGCCAATTAATACACACATGTAACATGCCTTACATATGGGCTGCCAATTAATGTTCACTAGCTTCACACAAAAGCTGGTAATTAAAACACAGGGATACAATCGTTACACATTTGTCCTTGCTTCTAGGTACTACAGACAAGATAGCTACCAGAGTGGCTCACGCCCCAGTAGCAGACAAGGATATGACTCTTACGACCACCGCTCAAGCAGTAGAGGAGCCTATGACCAATTAGAGCCTTCCCCTATCTACCCAGCTGACCAATCAGGTTACTACCAAGCTGCAGATGGCTCCTATGTGGCTTACGGACAAGATGGGGATCAGTCATATTATGGCCAAACAGGTGCTTTTCGTTAAAGATTTTTTGGGTGATTTAGGATTAGAATTTCAGGGTCACTGCTCTTTTGTATGGTATGGTATTTTCTCATATGACTAACCAAGATACAGCCATCTTTACCCCATGAAAGATATTGCCATCATTCATCCTAAAAAATCACCCAGTTCTGTCATAAAAACGTGAAAATAAAGCATAATACAGAGTCATATGAGAAAAACTTTCTTGTACTCGTACCTGTGCAATATCGTCCATTCTTGACTCGCTTTGATAATGTTTCTTTATCTCGGCTGCGACTCGAACCTCTGTGTATTTTACGGAACTTAAGTAACATTTCCAATGTACTCATCAAAGGAATTATTTTAGTCTTTTGAATAACATTGAAACCAATGTGGTGTTTGTTTACTCACACAGAGCCCAGGGTCCCCGAGAGGAGCACACCAGTCAAATTTTCAATGCCACATGTGTGTGCAAGCTTTGGGCCGGGAGGTCAGCTGATCAAGGTACTTCCCAATAGGCCAGCAGATGGCCAGGCTGCGACTGTTACAATACATGATATGGCGGCTATGATTCCTGACTGCTCAGAAGCTGAAGAATTGAGGTCATTCCCTGGACCACTTATCAAGTAAGAGGCTTGGCTTCATTGATTGAATTATTGTTGATCTTTTGAGGACAAATCATGGCTCCATTAAGCAATCATAGTTGAAACTTTTGAAACTTTCACACTTTATTGAATTATTTACTACTGATTACACAGGTGGGGACTGAGAATGGCCATTGCACAGTTTAATCCATTGGATATTAAAATACTCTTAAAATTAAAACTTCTCTGGTAATCTTTGAAATTACTGAACAAAAAAACATAGCTGTTAATTAATTTCTCACTTAAGGATGCAGTACCGGGTCGGTTTTCACGTCTGTTTGCGCAGGTTTGACTTCCGGTTTGAGAAAGCTAGCTCCCAAGAACGTCATTTTCGCATTTAGTCTTATTCAAAAATTATAGTTTATTTCGATAATGGTGTTTCCAGAAAAGAATTAAATTGCAAACATTTTATCAAGCAGATTTTATCCCTTTCACTTTTATGGGAAAACTTGTTCTTGAGTCGCAATTAGTGGATACGAAAACCAGGGTTCGTAAGGTGCCAGCTCTATTGAAAACTCAAAAAAGTAAAAAGATTCATTTTGGGTGGTGGGTAAAATAATTTTTTTTATTTTGTAATTACCAGACGGTCAATCCTCTTCATATTGCACTTGGATGATGATAACATCATAGTGATACATTGTAAAAAATATGAGCAAAATCTAATGTCTGGAACTTTTTCTACGCTGACCTGGTACTGCATCCATAAGAAAATGTGTTGATTAAGCAATGTTAATTATATTCTCTTGATGTAATGTATTATTTTGCTATCTGCCTACACCACCCTGTGGTTGGGATCAAAATATGTTGTTAGTTTTAAGTAAATGAAGGGTCTATGACTTAAAGTGGTGTATAACTACCTTAGAGTAAATAATATAATTATTATAAATAATTACGGTATTATGATAATATGGGGAACAATTTTAAAGAATGACGTTCAATGCCTTGACAGAAAATATAAAGCACACATGACTCCTTTTACTGCATGGATAGATTGTTCATGGGCAAGATTATTTTATATGTCTGGTAGCTTCTGTTGTGAAAAGAATGTGTGCTTTTTCATACAGTTAGCACAGCTATGATGAATCTCATTCTTTTATATATTAAAGCTGATTCATCTTTTGATAATCAACACTAAAACTATCTACCATCTCTAAATTTTTAATATAATTTCATGGTGAAGTCACCCAGGTACAATATTGCTGAACTAAATGAACCCAATCTCAGGTTATTTGTGTCCAAGAACTTCAATATTTTCTTAAGTATTATTTAACATCGTAATCTTCATTGAACACCTAATACATTTCATTTTGACCATGGGGATAGTTGGCACTTATTGCCCCCCCCCTTCATTTTTATTGTCAACACATACAGACATGTTATGACTTCTAACATTGTTTTGACAATTACAATGATAATGAGACTATGTTTCCATGGTAACATATTATTTGTTTTTAAATACTTCCCACATGTTTTTTGAATTACAACCAGCTTATGCCATTTTTTCATGTTAATGCCTTGTCTTGACTTGTATCTTGTCTATCATGTCTTGTTCCTGCCTGTATCTTTTCAATTAATCTTATTAACACTTGCTGATTACAGAGGACAGACACACAAGAACGATGTTGTTTCATTCTGCCAGAGTAAAATAAAAGAGGCACTTGAAGACCAGCAGCTTGTAGACAGAGAGTCCGCAATATTAGTTTGGAAACTTCTGGAACTTCTTATAAAACAAAATGGGGTAACTTACTTTTAGACTACAATGTCATGTATCTCTTTACTTACGCAGTGAAAGAGTCTTGTGAGGAATCTGTTGCAGAAAAGTCTCTTAAAAAATCATGTTCAAATTGGTCAGTTTTAGAAAATATGAATATTATCGAAGATTTGCTAAAGATCTTTGAAATCTAGTTGAAATCGCTTTTGAATGTGATTTCAGGAGATCTGCATTTTTAACCATTAAAGACCAACATCTTCCATTTGATGGCATATTTTGAATGTTTAATCACAATTCACATGTCATTAAGATCATATTCTTATATTCCAATGGTCTTACATTAATCCTAAAATGAAATATTAGAAAGATCAAAAAATTGAGTGATTCTTGCCATATGTCTGAATGCATTCTGGCCCATACGGTTTTCTACCAACACATATGCTGCCATCTATTTATTCATCTATTTATAGCAAATAGCTTCAGTTTTGTAGTAGCAAACCCACATGTGACGATTAAAGGCTGAATGATACTTGCTTGTGTTTATTAATCATATTATTAAAATCAACAATTCTTTCCAGACGATAGTTGGTACTGATATAGCAGAGCTGTTATTGGAAGGGCATGAACCATCTACCAAAGAATATTTAGACCATGGCCTTCCAATTGCTCCAAGCTCGGACAGTTTACATGACGCATCTAATGTGACATCAACCTCGGCATCAATGTCAGACATTTCTAGTCTTGCTGCAGGAATTGACAATCTAAATGTGACCAATGAGAGAACTGTCATTTCAAAAACTGGAAAGGGTGAAGATATCACCGACAGATTCCGACATCTGCTGTTATATGGCAGAAAGAAGGTAAGAAGTGGTTCAGTGGTGTTTCATCATCTTTGAAAAAAAAATTAGATGATGGTTGAAAAGTTATTTTTTGAAAAAAAAACTTTATAGTAAGATCATGTTTTCATATTGAGAAATGATTTGACCTTGTCAAATTATGGGTTTGTTCTGTGGGATCCCTTGAAAAGGCATGAATCATCTAAGAATTCTCTGCATGCATTAATGGATCCAAACCCCGGATACTGTTTTATTACATATTATACAAATAAAAGTCAAGTGTTGTTATATTCAAGGTAATAACAAGACACGTGGTTGATACCCATGTGAGCTAACAACACGTGTGATGTATCGTTGGCACAATTACAATCCAGTTCTTTGAATGAATGATGCGTGATCTTTGCTTTGTGTAAAACAAAAGAAAAAAGTGTTGAATAATAAATTATCTTTGCTTTGTGTAAAAACAAAAGAAAAAAGTGTTGAATGATAAATGATCTTTGCTTTGTGTAAAAACAAAAGAAAAAAGTGTTGAATGATAAATGATCTTTGCTTTGTGTAAAACAAAAGAAAAAAAAGTGTTGAATGATAAATGATCTTTGCTTTGTGTAAAACAAAAGAAAAAAGTGTAAAACAAGAAATCAAATTTTTGAATATAACACTAGGACTATGGTGTTTAAACTGCTTCTTTATTCGGTACATTAAATATTCCATACATACCAAATAAAACAAACAATTTACCAAACCTTTACCCAATCTATCGAATGTTTTTTATTTTATCGAATATAATAATCGATATAATTTATATTCGCTGAACAGTTTCACTTGTTCTTTGTGTTGGCATTTACTTTTGATATTTATACATGTATTTGTGTGATGCAGCGATTCAATTTGTTTTCCTTAGCGCGCGTATAATTCAATTGATTATATATACATTCGGTATTTAACTTATTTATATTCGGTAAATACCGAATGCCACATTCGATAAATTTCCATGCCAACGGGTATATACCACACACAGGGCAGGGATAGTCCATATTTCAGGGATAGTTGGTATTTTTATCACACATTTTTATAGTGCTGTATTGTTGAGTCTTGTGCAGATGGGGCTGATATACATAGAGGTCAGACGTTCAAGAAACCACATTTGTTGGGATTCTATTGTAGCCTTTGTTGTGTGTAGAGGGGCTCAATCAATTTAAGACCACTGTGTTTTCATTTGGATATCATTTGTTCTCCAGGCTAGCCTGCATAAGTCTGGAAGGTAACTCCTAAATCATTTGCCGATAATTGACCTGATTCTCTGAGTTTGTTCTGTTATTATCGTTATCCTCCAACATCTTTTTCTGTGGATAATTAGAGGAGTGTTTTAATGCTCATTCCAAGCAAAAAGACCAAGAACAACTTAAGGGCAACATCCAAAGAGAAATCCAAAACATTTCACTGGAATTATTATCAAATGTGATGAACAATGAATTAGTAAGGATACAGGCTGTCATCTAAATATGAGGTTACATCGATTGCGTGGTGTAAAAGGTAAACGGTTTGAGCATCAAAAAGGCAAGCCTGAAATAAAAACGGTGTGTTGGAGAGAAAACTTTTATGTTTTGGCAACATGACCATGCAAAAAATGTCTGAAAATATTGATTGGGTTATCTGTGCTGTTGATATACTTTTGGGTACATTTTTGAGACACCCTGTACATCAAGAGGTCTGTCTATTGACCATGCATCCTGCTTTCAATTTCTTTTGAAAGGCTAATAGCTGTAGTTGTCATCTTAAATTACCTTAATATATTCTTAATTCATAATTCATAACTTAACCAATCAATAGACATGGACACATTAACCTTCTGGAATTATTATCTCCTAAGTTCAGTAGGGATATAGTTTTATGAAAAAATGTTTTATTCTAGATGGCCACAGCTTTGAAAATGGCGGGAATTTTTCACCAAAACCTACGTTTTTCATTTCAAACCAAAGTAATTCATTAGACATGTTTTTTCACAACCTCCAGAGGCTGTGTACAGGGGTTAGGAAAACAGGACATTTTCATTAATTTTTAGATCTTTATGAAGTATACCTTACCTTACTCAAATAGAGTTAAGATTGCAAATGTTGCATCATTTTTTCAGACTTCTATAAAAACCAACAACTGCTTGAAAATTAAGTGTTGTGATTGATGATTTTTTAATTATTATTGATTATTGGGATTCACAGTTCATGAATGAAAGACATAAGATATATCCTTTTTTATATTTTTTATATTTTATTTTCTTGTTTCACAGTATGATATATAGCAAATTTACAAGTTGAAGATATCTTCATTACAAGATACATAAAGATAGTACAAAATATCTTTCATTATCTTAAATCATCTAAAATTGTCACTCTTAGGTGTAATTAAGTAAAGTCTCAATTTTGAAGTCTCTTCAGAATAACTACTGCACCAAGAGTAAGAACACATAATATAACAAATCCTCCTATTTTCAAAACTTTACATAATTTACTAGACTTTCGTTTCACCTTTTTGGCTTCTTTAAATTCAGTAATTTTAGGTTGCACATGGTCTGCTGCCCTAGATACGTGCATTTCAATGTTATCAATAGTGCTCCCCTGAAGTTCAATGCAGTTTGAAACGTCACTAAAGAGTTCATTTATTTCACAGATTTTGGCCTCAAGACTGTCAATCTGTTGTTTTCTGTTTTCTGCTTTGGAGCATTTCACTTCCATCTCATCTATGGAGATAATTTCTGTGAATATCCTAGCATTTTGTCTTTTAAGATGTCTAGTGATTTTGATATCACTTGTGTCCTTTCCAGCTATTGATAATTGACGTACAAGTTTTTCTCGTTGTTGTTCGTAATATTGAACCTCGCTTGCATTTATTTTTTCAACAATGTCCAACAAGTTTTTCTTCAGGCACGCAGAGTGTGTTGATACCACTCTGTTTTCGAAATGACTTCTCCCTAATGCGGCAATTGCTTTCTTGTCTTTAGGATTAAGAGCAATGATCAAATTTTGGATTTTTGCAATGAGCCCAGTACATGCTGATTTTATTGAATCAGCTTCAGGTTGCCTTAGCCTTGCAGGCATAGGTGATGATATAATGTCACTATAGATCTTACTTAGATCTTTCTGCTTCTGTTTCAAACTTTTGATGTAGCTATGCACTTCAGTTATCTTTAGCAAGGTTTGATTTAGCGATTCACCCTGGGCCCCTGTGGTATCATCTCCGACCAAGTCACAGAGTTCATCATCTATCTGTGGAGCCTTGCACAATCCTCGACGCCGTAGACTGTTTTTCAAACTTCTTCTGAAGCTGCCATCCCTATTCAATGCAGATAGCATCTTAAATTCTGCAAGGCGGTCTCGTACCATCTTTGTTCTTTGTCTCTTCAAGAAACCTGTGATGCACTGCTTCTCTGCTCGCTGTTGACTAGACTCTAAGGTAGCTTGATTTGCTGTGTGATACCTCTCTATAGAACGTGCCTTATATACCGTTTTGTAAAATGAGCTGCTAATTGGTGTTTTTATTACTTTTGATTAAGGATCCTCTCAATTCGAACTGTCAATTGAGTTAGTGCAGTTTTATAAGGGATATTATCTATTTATTATTATTAGTATTTTTATTATTGAGATGAAAAAGTCATCATGATCAGGTTGCGTGATCATAATTGTAGTTGGACCCTGTTTTGACGCATTTTCTTATTTGTTCATATCTGAATGTTAAATGAATTGCTATCTTTTCATTTTAAAAACATGAATGACCACTAAAAGACAATTTTTTTATTGACGAGTGAGGGGATCATATTAAAAGAATCTGCTGACATGATAAAGTATCCAATGATTGGTAGAGACCGGATTCTTATATCAAAGTAACATTTTATATGTCATTTGAAGAATGTAATCCTATTTTCTTTACTTTATTGCTATAATTACTGTTATTGAAAATTGTATATCGGATGTACGTTTGGCCCTAAAAGGGCATCAGTACTAATAAATCCTATTTATTATTATTAATCAAATAATTAATTTAATATTATTATTATTAAAATATCTTACCCCCTATCACACCAAACTAGTCCTTACCCGTTCTTGCCAGTCATACGAAAACGTCATAAAACAGGCTCAATCTTGCTGTGGTCGGGAAATATGTCTAAAATAATTACCTACTTTGTTCATTAACAGCTTTCACTTCGTCCATCTCATTCGCAGTTCGTTCAGGTCGCACCACGTCGGTGTGCAACCTCGTATAATGCGTCCCTTAGTCTAGAAGGTCATCATTACTTGATTACAGAATGGTATGGTTGCCATCGAATTTTGAATCATTTCAAAATTCTAAAATCACCTTCCCATCTGAGAAAGTCATGAAGTTCGTAAACAGACCTTAGAAAGTTGCATCTACGTTCATTCCATTTGCACACAGTTTAAAACCCAATTTTGAAGAATGCAGTGGCAACTTGTTTGGTGTGATAGCTATATTTTTGCTAACTCATTCATAAGCAGTCTTTAATACATTCTTAGTCAGTTTAAACCCGTTTGCAATTAGTTCTACCTCGTTCTCAATACTTCCTCAGACAGTTCAACTCGTTGTACAAACGTCCCTAGTAGGATTGAAGTACGACAGTTCCGTTCGTAGTACATCCAGCTTGTCGTTAGTACCTTGTCACTCATTCTAATTGTAGAACATTTTGAGCATGTTCTAAGTTCTAGAGGACCTACCCGTTCGAGTACATTCAATGGAGTTTGTAAATAGTCCCCAAACGGTTCTAAGTACGTTCAGTCCATTCGTACACAGTTGAAGCCCATTTTCGAGAACGTAGTGAGAACTAGTTTGGTGTGATAGTAGGGTTAGAGAGCTGCTTAATTCTTAGCATGAAATCTTGTCATTGCAAATGCCAGAAATTTTCTTGTTGAAATTTCTTCAAATTCATACACATGTGATTGTCAGAGGGTGCCAAGTTCTAAAGCTGTTTATATTATGGGTGGCCATTTTGTTTTCTGGCAGCTATTTTAGAATTTTTGATAAATTTCCACACATGTTCTACAATTCATTAATTTTTGTTAATTTTATGTTATGATTTTGTTATGTCGTGCTTATTTTTTAAACATCATCTTCAAGTTGCAGGAAGTTCAGATCTACGCCTTTGTTGCCCTCCAATTACCCTTCACATTTTGAAAACAGATTTTTAAATAGATTATTCAAAAAGTCAGTCATGCCGTAACATTGCTTTGTGTATTTTATTTCAGGATGCATTAGACTGGGGAATGAAAAATAATTTATGGGGTCACACGTTATTCCTTGCCAGTAAAATGGATGCCCGCACTCACGCTAGCGTGATGACAAGATTTGCGAATGTGTCAATGAAACTAAATGACCCTCTACAGACTCTGTATCAGATGATGTCTAACCGCCAGCCAGCAGCAGTAACTGTAAGTACTGGAGGGGATCTCAGTTAAACTATGAGGTATGAATAGGTCTTCTGCAAGGTGGTTCATTTTAGGTAGACTTCTTTATGAGATAACTTCACACATTTCAGTATTGTACCATTATAGATTTTATTTCTCGAGTACAAGATTAAATTTTGTATTTTTTAAAATTTGATTCAATTCCAAAAGTTGAATCAATAGAGGAAAACATGAAGAAAAACATCTCTGTAAAATTGATGAAAAGAGGACAGAATTAGAAATGTTGACACTGCGGCAGATCTAAGTGGCTTTATAATGTTACCTTTCTTTCCTGCTAATAGCGAATCAGTCCATAACTTATCAACCATTGTCAGATTGATGTAATTCAGCTTCGTATATATCTATTTAAGGAATATTTTTACAAAATTTTACTTTAGAAAGCACTGGATGAAATGTCCACAAAAACGTGAGGAAAATTCATGGGGAATTAATAATTGATGTTGGGGAGAGCTTCAACTATTTGAGACAATGAGACCGCCTTCCTTGATCCTAGATATCAGAATATAGTTAATTTTCTGACATCAGTTTTCTTGATTGATCCCTAATGTTGCATTGTTCCAATTCTTAGTCAGTGATTAGGGGACCTACATATGTGCTGTTGTGTTTCAGTGTGTGGCAGATGATGCCTGGGGAGACTGGAGGCCTCATCTTGCTATGATTCTGTCCAACAGCAGTAAACCTGATATGGACAGACGTAGCATAACAACGTTGGGAGACACGCTAGGTAAGAGAACTAAGGTCCTTTATTAACAGTTAAGATTAAGGTGTGACAGACAAGTATATTAATTATTGGAGAGAATCATACAACATTTGGAGACATGAGTTGCCCTTCCCATTCTTAACTATACCCAGGCTAGACTTAGTCTAAGTATGGTATGTCTAAACACAGGCTTTTAACTGTTTCTCTCAGTGAATATCAATTCTCATTAAAGGCTTGTGACCTTCAAATCAAATGCCTTCAAATAATCACTTGCATTAATAATCACTTGACTCTCACGGGAGGCAAGTTGACGTTTTTCCTCTCTAAATCATAGATGTAATCAGGCTATTTTGTGTAATCACAGGCTTTAAACAGATAATTTCTCATTGTTGGAGATTTAGTATGTGTGATGCGAGGGTGGAATGAAGTGTTTCTTCTGACTTAACAATACATTTAAAAACTCAGTGGTAAAATTGCAGGATATGAATTGAGAATTTAAGCTCAAACAGGTGAACTATTGTTATCGCGATCGCCCACTTATTTTGCGCCATCTGTCTGTCCATCTGTCAGTCTGTCAACACATTCATAGAAATCCTCTTCAAAAATTGAACTTTCATTTTTAAAATGTGTCTATATTAAGTTGTCAATAGTTCCATAAGTGGCGCCTCAAAAGTTCCTCTTCTTTTAAAATGGCGGCCAATTTTATTTAATTTTATCAGCTCTTTTTGGTCATAACTCCGCAGGTGTTGTCCCAATTTACTTGGAATTTTACACGTACCTTAATCTATTAGTTATTAATAATGTCTACAAGTCTGTTGTTATTTTATGTTGATATGGTCGTACTTGACCTTAAAGATTAAATTGAAATATTGAAATGAAATGAATTCTTAACGATTGTTACTACTTCTGTTTATTCCAGCTGCAAGAGGCTGCCTCTATGCTAGTCACTTCTGCTACTTGATGGCCCAGTTAAGCTTTGGCCAATACCACAAGAAGACAAGCAAGATTGTCCTAATAGGCTCTAGTCACAGTCTAGAGTTTGAGTACTTTGCCAACAATGTCTCTATACAGTGCACTGAAGTGTATGAATACGCTCAATCTCTGGGAAACCCCCTTTTCCACATGACAAGCTTCCAGGTATGTAACAATCTCTGAGAAACTCCTTTTCCACATGACAAACTTTCAGGTATGTAATAATATCTGGGAAACCCCTTTTTCATGTGAAAGCTTCAAATGTACATTCTACAATCTCTCATCTGAAATGTTCTTGAGGTTCATGCACTAAGTACTAGTGCATAGAATTAATTATTGTTATTTTCAATCTGAGGGAATTTATTGTTTCTTAAAAGTCACGTACATTGAACAATTGCCTTGTGAATTATCACCTATAATTATCCTTTTACAATAATATATATCCCTGGCTGACATTGAGTTCAATGGAATTTGGAAATTAATATTCGCTGATATCGTATGTCCATACAGTTCAAATAAATGATTTTGCTACATTAATTCATGATTACCTGTGTGTATATGTTACTTATGTACATTTTAGGATAATAAAATATTCAAATATTCATAATACCATAATCGCCGTATTAAGGGCCCACCTCTAATAAGTGCCCTCCCGCTCTACAGAGTTCAAGAAATATCGAGGAATGAACAAGTATTAACAAATATATCAGAAAAAAGAAGTTTAAGTGGGCGATGGTACTATTGCAGAAAACCTGATGCATTTTGTAATTCGATGCATCCTCCCAATAAATATATCGTCTGTCTAGTATTAAAAGGCTCTATTAAAAGGTTCTATGTCCATATTTGAGAAAACGGAGAACAAACATTTAGGTTCCTCTATCTTTGTGATACAGTAAAGTAGAAGTTTGACAAGAATGCTTATGCATTATACAGCCAAGATGAATCATTCCTGATCAGGATGGCAAGAAATGTCAATGTTTAAGGCTACCTTTTTAAAAAAATGCTTTTTGCGTCTGTAAATCAACAATGAGTTTAATTGATGGAGATTTTCTACCCTTGAATACAGGGCTTTTCAATTAGATGAAGCTATTTTTAAAGAAGCAAGCCACACTATTGCGAAGAGTTGCCCTTTTATATATCCATAGCAAACATGATAAGGCATTAACATTTTTACAAAATTCTGCTACAAAAGGAGGGTGGCATTTTGTGCAAAGGAATAGAGGACAATTCTTGTAATGCTCATAAAGGTGCATCTAATTCAGCTAGCAATCTGAAACTTCCTGCGGGGCTGCTCCATGGAGTTAGGTTTTACTATGCAAAAGGACAAGTCAGATTTCATCCAGATAAAAAAGTTATCCAACATTATGTGGGTGGGTGTCATTTTATTTTATCTGTATCACCATGGGCTTTCAAGCCCATGGTATCACACTGTATATACGTGGTATCACACTGTATATACGTACTATGTCATTAAATGTAAAAAGGTTTTATCTCCAATTTGAATCATGACATTGAATGCTAAAAAGTTTTATCTCAAGAGATAGAACTATATAGCAGTAATCATATTTTTCAAATGAAGGACATAGAACCTTATTGCATTAGAAATCTCCTATTTCTAATTGAGATACAGCTTTATAACCTTAATTTTTGAAAAGAACATGGTGAATTTAGGGGGAATCCACTTTCACATGCGTATGACCCATATTGGTAGTTAGAACCTTGTAATAGTGAAGGGACAATATATCATTTGGTGCTTCCCACATCAGACTAAAACTAAAATTATCTTGTGGTTTAGGTATACAATAAATAACATTTGTGTTTGAGGTATACAATTAAGCATTTGCATTTTTGGTATACATTTAGCATTTGTGTTCGAGGTATACAATTAAGCATTTGTGTCTGAGGTATACAATTAAGCATTTGTGTTTAAGGTATACAATTAAGCATTTGTGTTTGAGGTATCCCATACCTATATTAATCACAATTCATGTGTCAATTGTGTCAATTTGTAATAATTTGACAATCAAGTTTTGTTGTTGAATTATTTAATTTAACAATTTGTCATTTGTGTTTCAGTTGTACAAGTATTTATATGCCACAAGACTTGAGAAGTTTGGTTTGATACAAGAAACACTGCAGTATACAGAGCACCTGGCCACCACTATACAACAGAGCCCAGGATCCTATGATGCCATACTAGTCAAAAATGTATATCAGGTATGAAAACCACAATAAGTGTAATCATGGAAGATGAAACTAAATGATATAGATGTGCAGGAAAATCAAGCAGTATGTTCTTAGTTTTATTATCTGAGAAGAAGAGGGCTATTTTGTTCTTAATTAAAACATCAAAAGTTTTTATGTTGACTGGCTTGTAAAACTAATCTCTTTGATTGAAACTTTAAAAAAATGTTTATTAAAGCAGTTATGTCAAAATTTGCCCTTTTGCTCTCTGATTTATTAGGTTAATAAGAATATTGAATATATCCCATATAGGCAGATAATCAGATACTCCATAGAAGCCATCATTAACTTTTGTTCACAACTCGCATATTTTCGTTGGTATGTTTGAGAAAAAAACATCTTCAAAATTGGAAAAAGAAAATATCAAACTACAAATATTTGGAAGTATAAACTCCAAGTGACTGGAGCCGTCAGAGAATGTATTTTTCCTGACCTTTAGACCAAAGAAATGCAACACATATTACTGTCCAAACCCGATGCTATGCTATAACTATGAGTAGATGTTGCATTTTGTATGTGTTTTAGCTGGCTGACAGGCTTAAGTTCCATGACCCCCAAATCATGCATGCAGGAGAAATGTATGAGCAACCCAGCTGGCTGGAAAACTTAGGAAAAATTGTTCATGCATTTGAGGTGAGTCGGTACCTACTAAAACAAAATGAACTCAATCCTCCTGATTCTATGTATGAAGGTTTTTCAAATATTGAAATTTTGTATATTATATCCTTGAATTTGCCTTTACATTGGGGCCCCAAGATCTAATCATTTAATTTTATTACTATTGTGAAGGTACATAAGGCGTTGCTCTTTTCAATCATTGATTTTGAGGTTTTCATTTAGAGATTATCTTTTGATCTCACCTTAGCAAATGTAATTATTGATGATCAGTAATAACTTGAGCAACATATCGTAACAAAAGTAACATAAACTGCAACTGTGTCATTTTTTATGTCACCACCAGTAGTGGTGACATATTGTTACAAGTTTTTATGTGGATGGTGTTCGATGGTTGGTGTTTGGTGTCAGTAGCAGCATCGGGCCTCTGTGACAGCATTCGGTGGTCAGCTTCTCTAACAAATGGCAGGTGGTGACATTTTGCATGTTTATGCCTTGTGTGATATTTGGTTTCATAGACGCTGTGGCTTGTTCACCCATTTAGACCCAGTAATCAATAGTACCCAGTGTTTCAATGGCACACAAACAAAATGCATTAACTGACCTAACTGATATATCCAAATTCTAAGTAATATTCATTTTATCTAAATTAGTCAGTAACTAGTGCACTCACTGATACATCTTAACAAAGTTCGAAGAAATAGAGATCATTAGCACAATCGCCGTGCTTACATCTAGTGCACTTTAACTGCTAGGTTATGTCATTATAACATGAATTATTCAAAAAGAAATGTCGTGGTGTACTTTGATAAATCATGCCATGTCAAGTGTTAATTGTGTCAAGTGTTAATTGTTATTTCCATTTCTCATCATTTTTCTAAGATTAACGTCACCATCAAGAGGTGGTTACTTATTGTTATAGTCATTATGCCATATCATGGGTATCAATTCTAAGTCATACCGGCATCAATGGATATATTGCTATCCATTATACACTTGGATTTATACCCATTTTATTGAAAATAAAGGTCTCCATAAAGTCTCTTTACAAAGTCAGTGTAAAGTGTAAAGAAAACTTCAGAATACACTTTGGTAATAGAAGTTTCGAATATGAAAATATTAAGACATTTCTTACAATAACAATAACTTCATCAAATCTTCATCAATTTCCATTGCACTTTGTGTTGATTACATGTACATTTCATTTTAGGAAGGTAACATTGCTGCAGTGCCAGCATCAGGCAGTCAGACACCAATGGGCTACGGGTCAACTACGGGTAGTGACATCGCTGACGTCAGTGGCATAACACCTGGTAGGGATATGTTTTTATCAAGGACCATGATAGTAGTTATCACCTTGTCATTTTCTATGAGTGATCATCTGTCATGGTCATTAGGTAAAATGTACTGTTGCTAATCACGCATGGTGCTTACAGAATATTTCCAAACCACTGTTGGATCTCGGTACCATCCTGCTTAATATTTTTTTAAATGATCTGGAATCATACTTTGATAACATACCTTAATGACACTAAATGGTGTGTTAACAAATTATCTCACTTGCTTCATCAGATTCTGGATTGTTTAAATGCAATAAGGGTAATATTAAAACATTATATTAAAGTATTATGATATTTAAACATCTCACTCGATTACGTATAAGCACCCACAATCTAGAGATAGAGAGAGGCCGATTGGTAGAGACAAGATTCTTATATCAAAGTAATATTTTATATGTCATTTGAAGAATGTAATCCTATTTTCTTTACTTTATTGCTATTTTTACTGTTAATGAAAATTGTATGTCGGATGTACATTTGGCCCTAAAAGGGCATCAGTACAAATAAATCCTATGATATATAAGAAAATAATTCTCCCACTAGAAATTACTGAGTGGTGCAGAAAATAGTTATAGAGTCACATTATCCACTCATTGTGGGCTTCAAATAATTGTGTTGATTCCATTGTCCATAGTTGTGACTTGCTAAATTACTTTTTTAAAGCCCCTATAGCGAACATTATTACAACAAATTTTGGATGTTCGCAGAGGAAAATACAAAATATGACGTAAGCGTAACGCTAATTAAGGAGATAGAGCTGTTTATTGAAAGAATATAGCAATAAAATGATATAATCTAGATATTTGTGTTTAAAAAGCAACGATTAACTCATACAATAAGAAAACTTGTTTTTTTTTTATTTTAGTTGACTTCCTGTCCATTTTTCATCGTTGAGTTGACTCGAGATTTTCCTGCGAATTGCACCTCTACAAATTACATTTCAGTCTCAGTAAAAAAAAAGATTATTGTTTTTGATACAACCTGTATGATTAAAGGCAAAAAGCCCAATTTGCTATCAAAAGCTTATTTGAAATTATGAAATTAAATGATTAACCAATCTCATTGATTGTATGGCTGAGACATATTCCCCTAATTCATTAATGTTTGAATTAACAGCTAAAGATATTACTAATAATACTTATTACTTGATGTAATACACATTATTACTCTGTAATCAAACCATCTGTGAATTCTATGGAATGACAATATCGATCAAACAGATGCAGAAAAGAAGACAATTTAAGCTTTGAAATATATACTTTTCACTAATTATTAACAATTATTCTTCCAAAAATCAAGAACCGAAACTTTACCAATCTAAAACCAAATAATCATTTTGGAAAACCAGATAATCTTTTTAGAAAACAAAATGATATTTTTGAAGAAGACAAATGATTGTTATCCAATTGTTTAATGTTTAAAGGTGCAGATGTTAATATGCAGCAGTATCAAGAATCATTTGGGGGGCAACAGCAACAACAGGAACAGCCAACAGAAGGAGAAACAGCACAACAGGAACAGCAAAAACCATACCGAGACCCAAACTATCCTGGTAAGAGTTTTGAGTCACAAATCTCCAAATGATTACAGGTCTTGATCTTACTGCTATGAGGAAAATGTATCCAGAGGTTTCAGAGAGGTTTACATCCTAAGTGTAAACTCTGGCTCATTGAATGTTGCAAGATCATATAGGATCATGTTCTATGTTCTATAAGAGGAGGGAAAACCCAAGAGCTTAGCGATGACCTCATAATTACCTCTCTTGTTTACCACCTTCGATTTTCCTATTTTCCACCATCTAGTTTCTGAATGCCACACCTCGATGCGATGTTTTAAAGGATGTAGACATATTCCTAACATTTTTTTCTTTATCTTGACGTGAAATGACAAGTTGTTATATTGGAAAACATGTGGGAAATTAACAAAATATTTTTTAATTTTGAATTCAAACTCTCTATTGGTTGTCATTTCTTTATCAACTTTCCATTGGAGATAACCTGGGGCGTTCCCCTTTATTTTTTTTGTAATTCAATAAATGAAATTCAATACCCTTTACCCATCGCTCTCACAAAAAAATAGCACACTCCAGTTCCAAGAAATGAGAGTACTTGGCACACATGTTTTTTGTCTTAAATGCAATTAAATGAAAATTAATGCAGTTATAGTATGTGACAATGTGAGCGTGCATAAAACATGAATTAATCCAAAAGATAAATCTCATTCTATAAAAATTCAAATGACACCATTAAAACCTTATCCCGATTGTTTTTTGAAATTTGATTTGTTTTGAATCGGGTTACTTGTTTTAAGACCAGGAACATTAAGACCAAAATTTCCAAAACATCTTTGAGGATATAAAAGGTGTCAATCAAAAATTCAATTATACAACTGAAAATGTGGACATTAAAGGTTGTATATAATAATTAAAGTGATTTTCACTCCTTTTCAAAGCAATAAAATACAGCATGTTGCTGTGTATATATGATACTGAATTTTACATATTTGAAGTTGATACTTATTTTTCATTCCATTACTAAAGAAAAACAGAAATTGATAACATATTGTATTGATGAAATTGGAGCTGTTACAATGACCCCTGACTTATAGCAATTTTCAGAAATGTTTCTTCCGGTGTAATTAATGAAGGACCGCTTAATTCAATTGCAATAACATTGCCATTTTTGAGCTTATTTCTTGAAAGCATTTTATGCTATTATTATCATATATTTGTATTAATATGAGGAATCGATTGCTCTATGTTAAAAGGTCATTATACCCAAGTTAGAGTTAATTTTGTATATAAATGCGAAATAATTCGGGGAATCCACTAACAGTTTGAGGATTTCTCCAAAGCTATCGTCGTTAGGGAAATGAGTTCACATTACATTGGATTTTAACAAGAGTGGGCTACGAGTATTATGTCATTAATATTTGTGGACGGTATGAATACATTCATTGTGACATTTGTTTTGGGGAATTCCTAACAATGGCCAAATACTTTCACTTTCGTTATTTATGCATTTTCACATTTTTGATTAGAAAGCAAAAGTGTATTTATTGCATTTAATTGATGAAAAGGAATCTAATTGATGATATTCTTCAAAAACTCATGTTTATTGTTTCCTTAGTCCTTGCTGGTTATATACATCCTTAAGTGAACACCCAATATGATATCTTATAAAAGAAATTCAAAAACCATATTAAGGAATACTCGTTCTCTCCACTCACTCACTCACTTACTCACAACCTATTTCAACTAAGCTGACCAACTCAATCTGCTTACAAAACATGTTTATATTTAAAAGTCAAGTCCCTCAAAACATTAATAGCTATAACTATATTGGCAATTGATCGCTGAGCCCAGAGTTAAGTTTATTATTATTATTATTTAGTGACTCATATTAAGAAATAAATATAGTATGGTATCAACAGTGATTTACATAAACAGATATTAGTAAATACTATACAAATATCTTTGGAGTTGAATATCTCTCTATATTTCTGGAGGTGTATTCACCGTAGCCTGAAGGGTGAGGTGAATACACTCCTCAGAAATATATAAGGGTTATCTACTGGGAGGTTTTGGATATGGGGTTTATCCAGAGGGAGATATGCATATCTACCTGAGGGACCGAAGGTAGATGTGCATATCTCACGAGGGATGAACCCAATATCCAAACCAACAATACATAACTGCTTTATCCTATACTAAGTTTTCAGGGGCATATGGTCATTTCAATAGTACAAGGTGTAAAAATAAATCAAATCATTTTATTGCATTTCCACTACTTACCGGAAGCGGGAAGATATGTACCGAAGTGGGAAGATATGTACCGAAGCGGGGAGATATGCACCAAAGCGGGAGATATGGTGGGAGATATGGAGGTTCTGGATATGGAAACCTCAAAATCAGGATACCAGATATATCTTACCAACTTATCTCCCTAAAACCCTACTTGGCATAGGATAAATACAGATATTAAACGATCACAGAATTCAATATTTGTTCTATTAATTCCCCATTAAAGTAGCACACAATATTGTTATGATATGACGTTTAGTTTCAACGTATTTCCAAACCTTTGCCAATATATAAGGGTTATGTACTGGGAGGTTTTGGATATGGGGTTTATCCAGAGGGAGATAGGGGTTTTCAGGGGCATATGGCCATTTCAATAATACAAGGTGTAAAAATAAACAAATCATTTATATGCAAAGTTATTTTATTGCATTTCCACTTCTTACCGGAAGCGGGAAGATATGCACCGAAGCGGGAGATATGGAGGTTCTGGATATGGAAACCTCAAAATCAGGATATGGGATATATCTTACCAACTTATCTCCCTAAAACTCATAGGATAAACTGTTATAATTTGATTAGTTGACTTTTTGAATACATTTGTTAATTCTTTATTCTGTGTTTGTTGTACAGTTATGAACCTTTTCTTGGGAGGACTTCCTGATACAACTTCACCATCTGTCATATCTGATGATAATACTTTTCAATAAATTCCCGAGAATTAAGTGATGTGACGTCATTTTAATTGAATATGTAGTGGTATTCACTAAAAATGATGTCACTGCCGGTGAATATACTCTTCACACATTTTCTAAGCAGGGAGACATGGAATACCTCTATATATTATTAGTCACATGGTATCTAATTGACCAATGAGAGGACAAGTATCACGGCATGGAAATAATAAATTAATTTATTAAACAGTGAGATGAATGATGGCATTCTAGATGTAAATGATTGTCCACAAAAATTTCTGGAGTGCATCATCATTTAACGGTTCTGATATTTCGTTATATGGGAAATACATTCATATTTTAAATGCAATTGTTTGTATTTTTGGATTGCTTGAAGTTTGGCTAACAAAATATCTGGCCTCTCAAATACAAAATACTGTCAGTTTTCAGACATGCACTTTGCATATTGCACTTTGGTAATTTAATTGGTTCTTTTTATTTAGGTTTGACTCGACACACATTCCAATTGACTAGATGCAAGAAGATGTAACCTTGATTTACGTCATTAGACATTCAAAATTCAGTCAAAGTGATTGTGATTGATCAAAACTTGTCAATCAACTTTAAAAATTTGACTTCTAGTTAGGGAGATTCCACATAGACCCTATGTTATAAATTTACAAAAAGTGAAATATCTTTCTTGTATTGGACATATTTTAATTTGCATTAGATACAAAAGCTATTTGCTACTTGTACATATAATGTGCATTTTGAAATAATATGCATTTACTCTGGTGGTTAAAGGAATATTGAACTCTAGCATTGGCTAAACATTGCAGTTCAATTAGTTTCTTGGACGAGACCAAAATACCTTGACATACATGTATTCATAAACTTACCTATTTTAATATTTTCATTTAACGATCAACATAATATACATAACACATTTAAGCAGATATTAAGCAAATGAAGAACACATTTTCTGATAGATAAAATCAAAATTTAATTCTGTTATAGAACCTGAAATGCATTATTTTACCGATTCACTTTATTTCATTTTTCTGCTTTGTATTCAATTTTAAATGCTTCTTAATAATCATCAAATGATTATAATGATTTCTATAAAAAATGTTTTGACTTCCTTGCTTCATAGATATAACATTATCACTGTTTTCTCGACTTAAAATTTGCTTCCAGTTTATGAATTGAAAATAAAGATGAGATGAAAAAGATTGTTTTACACTCAATCCTCAGTCTAAACATGAATTTTAAAAGTTCAACAGTTGATTTTGAATGGACCTTCATGTATATTTCTAAAGTAGAATCATCAGAGAATGTATTATTAAACCATGTAATCACCTCTATTAAAGCCGAAGAAAGATTTATTTCACCATTTTATCATCTCTATGGTTCAGTGTCCTTTCACCCTTTCATCATTTCAGCTTTCAGCTTGTATCTGTGAGGTTAGAATTCTTAGCATTTTTGAACATTGATCATTACTGTAGAACATTACTTAAAAATATACAGAAGACAAAGGAGTCAGAAATATGTACCATAATATTTGTATTGTATTGTTTAATACTGTATAACATTTTATCGTATGATCTGTAAAATGAAGCCCTCTGATTGGTCAGTTCTTGTGCTGTACCAATCTGTATTGCTACTGAGATTGTTCCCGTTGATCATCCGTCGCAATACAGAAAATATTGATACGGAGGGGATGATCTCAGTAGCAATACAGAGGATCACACGATAAAAACGTTATTGAATGATTTGAAGTGCAATACAGGATATATTCTGTCTTGATATTCTGTATTGGCACTCGACTTCGTCTCGTTCCAATACAGAATTTCTCGACCAGAATATATCCTGTATTGCACTTCAAATCATTCAATAACTTATAGTATTGTATTATTGCAGGCTATATCTATAACTACCAGACGCAGCAGTGGGAAACAGATCCTGATTTCAACCAAGGTGTTCAGGGAGCCCAACAGACTGAAACTACACAAGGTAACTCTCCACTTTTTCATACATGATACCAATCTTTATGACTACATATACATGTACACTTAACAATACTTCCCTTCACTTTCCACTGCACCACAAGTCTCTCTATGTTACACTCTCCACAACATTCATGGAGCTTTTCACTTGCTCCATTAATGCAATTAAAGGTAATGACATGTAATTGGGTGACTGGCCATATAATGAGGCTATTGGTCAGAGATAACTGCTGAGCTATCGTCATGGCTCAGTTTTTATTAATTTATTAATTGGACTCTTTTAGGTAGATTGACGTACATACTCATTGTTTTCTAATTAGAAAGAGTCAATGTCTCTTTTTATCGTGCTCCCTTATCTATTTTTTATCCACAAAAATTATACACTTTAGAAAAAATTCTGTTCGTGAAAGCCAGACACAAATCATGTCTTTCTGGATTTGTATGTAGTTTTATCTCAATGTAAGGATAGAAATATAAAACTGCAATGTTCAAATACAGTTTATAATCTAAAATACTTAAAATAAATACATTGTACCAAAGTACACATAGCTGTAACATGACCAAAATTCAGGTACCGGTATGATATTAATAATGTTCTTTATTATTCAATCAGAGGAAAATGGTGTGGAGGAAACCGAGCCATATAAAACATTCAGTAAGACAAGCGCTCTAGAAGGTGTCAATCTGGCTGAGAGCATGAACAGTAATTACACTGCTACCACTGCTGAAAGCACAGACCCCGATGATCCATATGGTATGAATAATATAACATAGATCTGTATAATTTGTCAGTACCTGAGATATAAATAATGTGTCATTATCTTGGATATAAAGAGCTCTGGCCACCCTGTATAATGTGTCAGTGTTTTAGATATTATGAGATCTGACCACCCTGTATAATCTGTCACTGTTTTAGATATTATGAGCTCAGACCACGCTGTATAATTTGTCAGTGTTTTAGATATTATGAGCTCTGACCACCCTGTATAATGTGTCCGTGTTTTAGATATCATGAGCTCTGATCACCTTGTATAATGTGTCACTGTTTTAGATATTATGAGCTCTGACCACCCTGTATAATGTGTCTTTGTTTTAGATATTATGAGCTCTGACCACCCTGTATAATGTGTCAGTGGTTTAGATATTATGAGCTCTGACCACCCTGTATAATGTGTTAGTGTTTTAGATATTATGAGCTCTGACCACCCTGTATAATGTGTCCATATTCTAGAGATTAAGAGCTCTGACTACCCCATAAACTGTGTCAGTATTTTAGATATGAGTTCAGACCATCCTGTATAAAATGTCCATATTCATAATATGTTTCTATTTTAGATATTATAAACTTTGACCACCCTGTAAAATGTGTCCATATTCTAAAGATCAAGAGCTCTTACTATCCTGTTTAATGTATCTGTATTTTAGATACTATGAGCTCCGACCACCCTGTATAATGTGTCTGTATTTAAGATATGAGCTCCTACCACCCTGTATAATGTGTCCAGATTCTAGAGACCATCGATAGGTCTGATCAACGTTCTCATGGCATCATGTATTGTTTTATAGGAGACAGTATGAACTCTCAGAGTACATTTGATTATTATGGAGCATCTACCACCACTGGACTTGGTCAGGTAATATTATACAAAGACGCATATTCTTTATGTAAAGTTTTCTGGTTGTCTAAATCTCTGCTTGGGAACTATACAAAAATGTATTTCTTGAGAAAACCATTTTTCATGAGAAAATGACCCCCTCCTTGAAAATGTGTAGGAGTATGTACTGCACCTCTCTTGAACACTAGAATTGTAAAGTTAAGAAAATCCAAAGTTCATTGTTCTCTATCGTATCTATGGTTTCAATAATGAATTAAAGAGTTCTGATCAAATATTCTGTTAATGACCCCTCGCAATTTCTCACTGTTTACCACAATGTGTATTTTATGCTCTAATATACAACATATGAATTTCAATGTGGTGATCTTCATGAACAGAAGCTCATCTCTACACTTGTCATAGAAAAAACAATTTGATGTCACTGGGTCTCAAAGTGATTTTATTTTTGGCAAATCTCCGTCAATCTGGGTATTCAAGAGGTTTATAGTAATGGTAGTGGAAAAACATATTTAACTTTGAAATTGGAATTTTCTCATGAGTGTTTTTCAATACATTATATCAGATCAGTAGTAGTTTGGGTATGTTTGTAAAGCAATAAAAATAAATATTTTTCTGGAATCGAACTTGTGGATAACTATTTTTTTGTGGTGGTTTGAATCTCTATTAAAAAGATTGCATGCATGATTGAATTAACTGAATAAAAAATGTTAACTATTCCTAAAATAATCATCATGGTTGACAATTGTAATCTTTTCCTCGATCTTTATTTTTGCAAAGAACTGAAAAACAAAAATGCAATGTGTCTCCACCAAATAAATGTTCAATCCAATTTTTTGCGTTTTACCTAAGAATATCCCGTGGTTTGGTATACACTATATGAAATGTCTCCATGTACTAGTAATCAATTACAGATCTGATATTATTACTTTACATGTAGGTGTTTATCAGGTCTTTCATTTCCTCCTTGTTCTTTGTTCCCAGTGAAAATTAATTCTATTAAACCCCAAAATACATATAAAAAGTCATGCTATTATGAACACTATGATGTTTATTCAAGGAAAGTTTTCTGCCTTTGTTTCTCTGTGCATGTTGCTTGAATATAATCACTGTGTGTGCGTGACTCTATCTTGTAGATCTATTGTTTTATTCACTGTGTGTACTTGTTTGTTTAGCACCAAGGCAACCCTGCTTCACCTCTTGCTTCTGTCACCCCCTTAGACAGCCCTTCTGAATCAGAATCAGAGCCCTCTCCCCCAAGTCTCTCATCTCACCCATACCTCAAATCGTTACCTAAAGATATATCAACCACTGACAAGGTTCATAATCCTCAAAGAAATGAATTCCCTAAACTAGGCCCCCCACCTCCTTACATCCCTGAGCCTTACCATGTGTACAATAGCAGTGCAGTGCACGTAGAAGCTGTGCGTAGGTACCTCCTGGAGAATAACTTGGATAGGACCTCTCCCTGTAGTATATCCCCTAGACAATCCCAAAGTGCATGTTCATCAAACCAGAGTTCATACATACTTGGAGCAGGTAATACACCTCTGAGTTCATCTCCATTGACATCAGTAGGAGACCCTCAGGACTTGGAGGAATTTGTCCTGGAGCATGGAATGAGGGTCCTCTCAACAGGCAGCTCACCAAGGACTTACACCATTGTATCCAGTAACCTGGGAGAACATTCTTTGTTTGATAAGAATCATAGAGGCAGAAGAAGTGCTGAGTTAAAGGTGTCACCACTTCGGAGATCTCCTGGTAGTCCCTTATTGGTCAGATCTGGTAGCCCCTTATTGGTCAGATCTAGCTCTTGTAGCCCCTCAATGGTCAAATCAAGTCCCCAAATGGTTGCACAGCATAGTTCATCATCTCCCAAAATCATATTTTCACCAAAACCTTCAAATCTTCAGTATGGTATGAAGACCCCTCCACACCAAGGTACCAATAGGAATGTCACCCCACCTCACATGATTCGTTGTATTAAGACCCCTGAGTCACACAGCTATCAAACTGAAGAGAGTGTGTTTCCCAAGCCTTGCCCCATGCAGGACAACGTCAAATTTGGTAGCATAAATGATGACCTTAATGCAAATAATCAACCACATAGTAATGGACCATTTGTGTTTGCCAGCAGTCCTTACCCCCTAGCAAAGGCAGCCAGCCTGAATACATCACTGGATGGAGGATATATGGCAAGCAAACTTCAATATCTAAAACATGTTCTCCCACCACTTCCACCGAAACCAAAGTTTGAATTTGAGCACTTAAGTCGAGGTATTATGACTGAGGATGCAATAGATACTGCTAACATGAAACAGCCCTTCTTGCATAGTCCTCCAATTAGGAATCTTAACAGGAAGATTTCCCCTAAGAGGAAGACTTGTATGACTCAAGATGGGACATTCAACAGGTCAAAAGCTAAGAGATGTAAATCTGTTGACTCATGGAATATTAAAAAGAAACATGAACAGTTTAAGGACACAAACAAAAGGGATGTTGCTCAAAATGAACGACGAGTCAATGGGAAACATGTGAGAGCTTTGTCCGATACAGGGGTGTTTACCAAGAGTGTAGATGTCCTGACTGATGCTGTAGAGAGGGACATGAATGCTGCTTTAAAAGCTCCTAAGGAAAACAAGAATATATCAGCATTAGAGACATTCAATGATGAGGGAAATGTTAAGGTGTGTTCTAACTCTAAGAGTGATGATGCCAAAAATGGTGCTATGGAGAAGGATTTGCATAACTTAAATGATGCTTTAACAGAGCCTGGGGAACAAGCCAGTGGCTCTAATGATGCTTTAAAAGACCATGAAGAACAATCCAAAGAGAATAACAATTACAAGGGAAATATTGAGGATGGCATAAGAGATATTCAGAAAACTGTCCAAGAAAAACCAAAGTGGTTCCAAGAATTTGAGGAAGCACATAAAGCTACAGATTCAGACTTTCTTTATTATGATGATCAAACTAAACAAACAAAACAAAAAAAGACAAGACGCAGACTTCTCCAGGTGACTACTAGAGGTATTGATCACACAGAGGGACATAATTTATTAAAGCAATATAGCAGTGTGGCAGCAAATGGTGTGTACACAAAACTAGATACAAATATTGATTCCCCAATTAGGAATACTTCACCACAATGTTACAATGTGGGCTCCCCAGTGGCAAAATCTTCAATTGATGATGGAAATGACAAAATTGAGTCAAGAAATGAAAAAGCAAAATCTAGCAAAAGTAAAGTAGAGCTAAGTCTTATAGAAATGGGGATTGATGAAGTGGGTCATGTAATGAGCAAATTTGAATTGGCTGTGAATGAAGAGGCTGAGAAATATTCCTCTCGTGCAGATGATGAGCATATTGAAGCCAATGAAGAGTATGAAGTGGTACCAGTCACCTATCTGGAGGACATTGATGTAGGACTTGCACATGTTAAATCAGGTGACAGCGTATGTACGGTAGTTGAAGGAATGGATGATTCAACAGATACCAGTGACATCATTGATACTGCCAACAATGATGCAGAAGATGCCAATGGCATGATTGATATTGCCAACAATGATAAAGAAGATGCCAATGGCATAATTGATGTTGCCAACAATGATAAAGAAGATGCCAATGACATAATTGATATTGCCAACAATGATAAAGAAGATGCCAATGGCATTATTGATATTGCCAACAATGATAAAGAAGATGCCATTGACACAATTGATATTGCCAACAATGATGAAGATGCCAATGACATCACACAGGGAGAGGGACTATGTCATACATATGTCCAAGCCTCAAACAAATCTCATATCTCAGATGTTTGGAAAGTCAAGTCTCCCCAAACCAAGGATTTTTCATATGTACCAGACAACTATTCTGAAATCAGTCCAAATATCATAAACTCTCAAAGCACATCCAGGCATCCATGCACAAGCACAATTAACACATGTCTCGTCAAACCCATGAGCAAGTTTCCTATCAGTCAACTTCCTGTTACTCCCGAAGCAAATCTGATAAAGAAATGGCGCCCACACTCCCATTCAAACAACTGTCACAATGGTTCTCATCTCAAAGATGCCATCCCATGCATTGTTGCAATGTCTGTGCCCTCTATATTTAATGTGAGTAACCATATAGCCGAGATGTTTGTTGTTTCATGTTATGTCATTATACTGTTACATCTACTAATTTGTTTTGTTACTTCACGTGTTCTATTAGACTTGCAAATTGATGGTTGGGAACATATTGTCTTCCTCACTAAGGATTTCTTACATTCTCATGTTGATACTTGTTGGCTACTGGGAAGATGTTAATCACATGATTGTAGAATCAGGTCCCAAATTAGTGTGAGTTTGAAATTACACAATTCCTTGTCGAGATTTAGAGACTCTCACACATTTGGTACTTGATTCTGTGATCTATTGGCCAAAGTCGCTTCCAAAACATAATGTGAATAATTCCAAGGAGGGGCCATGATGTCTTCAAAAAAGTCAAAGAGCAAGTCTAATATATTTTGTCAAGTAGTCATAGTTCATTAATTGTATAACACTATGCATTATTCTCGTTTTTGTATATTTACTGTTATGTGTTTGTATCATTTTCAGAAGTGTATGTACTTGTACTAATAAGCTTTTGTAGTTTTTTTTCATTTCTTCATGTCATAAATATGTTCCTCTCCATGCTTGCATTTCTCTCCCTGCTTTCTAGGTATATAGGTTTTCTTCATACATGTACATTCTTTAATTTGCTAACTTCATTTTCCTCTGATGCAAGGATCGAAAGCGGCACTCCTCTAACATGTCTAACACTAGTGGTATATCAGGGGTGGTGGGTCATGGCGACAAGCCACATAATAGTGACACACGCAAACACGTGACTATGAGTGAACCCTTAGAGATTAACACTAATACTGCTCAACCGGTAGGTCACTAACATTTTTCATAAAATCTTAGAATAGGAATTTGTATTTATTGAAGGATTTGTAGCGATATGGTGAACTAAATTCAACATTGTTTTTCTCTTAAAACAATTATTGAAAACAACCACACATCCTTTATGTAATGGTCACTGATTGACAACAATTTAATGTGAAAATTATTTATTGATATTTTTCAAGGAAGATTGGCTCCCAGAATGCAACATCGATATTCTGCCCCATATATGGTATTGTGACCTTTAACCTTATTTACAAGTGACAGGTTTTAAAAAGGTGAAACTGCATCTCACGTGTAAATAAGGTTAAAATTTCATTGAAAAAATATTAAAAACCTTTTAAAATGAGAATATTGCCAATGTGAATTTATTGAATGACCTGATATATGTCATTCTGTTCCAAGGGGGTTTGATAGATATTTCATTTCATTCCAAATATATGGTACCAAGAACAGTTTCTGATGTATTTTCGAAAACAAATCATATTAAAAAAGTAAATACCCATAAATATTTTCAAAATAAATTGTTAGCTTTCGAAAGATTGATTAGATTGGTGATGTATAAATTTTTCTAAATTTTTTGATGACTTGTTTATGAAAAACATGTGTTCAATTTAGTTCACCATAATGCTACCAATCCTTTTAAACTCCATCTTGTAAGATGATATACTTGCACCACTAATACTTTTCGACTCGTGAGTCATTCATTAATTAGAACTATTAGAATTATTAGAATTCCTATATAAATGATGATCTGTTTCTTTGTTCAACGTGATAGTGTTGCACATTCAACATTAATTATCCCACCGAAAGTAGTTTGAGGGGGATATAGAAAAGCCATCCGTCCGTTCATCCGTCTGTAGTTCATCCGTCCGTTCTTGTGTCCGGGCAATAACTCAAATACCAGTTGACGGATTTCATTCAAATTTATAGGCTTATGCCTTATGGGTGTAGGACATCTGCTCGAGAAGGAATTTTCTATATGGCCACTAAATACAAATGGCGGCCATTTTTTGGAAAAAATATAATCTTTGATAACTCAAATACTGGTGGATGGATTTGGTTCAAATTTTATATTCTGTTACCTGGGTACAAAGGAGCCTTGCTCAGGAAGACATTTTCAAGATTGCCACCATATTTCAAAATGGCGGCCATTTTTCGTAAAAAATGTATTCTGATAACTCAAATACCATTGGACGGATTTACTTCAAATTTTTTATACTGATGCCTAGAGATAGAGAGCTCTGCTTGAGAAGAAATTTTCAAGGTGGCTGCTATTTATCGAAATCTCCACCATTTCTTTTATTAAACATGTAATCCTTGATAAATCAAGTACCAGTTGACGGATTTTGATTAGATTGTATATGCTGATGCCTTGGGACATAGGAGCTCTGCTAAAGAAGAAATCTAAAGATGACAGCTGAATTTCAAAATGGCAACCAATTCAAATACCATTGGATGGATTTGGCTCAAATTTTATATGGCTGCTATTTATCAAAACATGTTTTGTTCGCTGGGATTTGCTACTCCGTGGAGTTGCTGCTTTTCTAGTTACTCTATAAATGTGCACTTTATTTATGAAAGTATTAAACAAAATATATGCAACAACATGTGACATTTATCAAGTATTTTGTGTCCAATTTTACACTCTAATACAGGGTGTCCAAAATAAAACAGGACCGTTAGAAAGTTGAATAACTGTTAATTTTGCATATTTTGCCTTGAAATTTCAGAATTATTTAGTTCATTCAATGTGAATTTTGTTGTGAGAGTTTGATAATAATCTGCCAGTTGAGTCAAAATCTACAATTCCTTACAAAACATGCCCCAAATGTGCACCTTTGCTCTGTATGCACAATTCAATCTGACGAACAAAGTTGTTGATGATCTTCCTCCACACATATCTTTCTGAATGGACAAGTTTATTCCAAGAACAATTGAAACTGGGGCTTACATCCTCCTGATGAAATGTTACAGCATCCATTGCATTCTGAACAATGCATTGCCTGGGTGGCAATGAGGAAACATGGAATCATCAGTCCTTTTTGGTTCGAAGGTGACTGGGGATGTGCTTTTACCATGAACAAGGACCAGTAAGTTCTCGCTAAGTTTTGGAGGTCACTAAGCACCAGAAGGGATCTAAGGAGATAAGCAGTGGGGATTTCTCAAAGCCAGTGTGTATACTGACAGGCCCCTAACAATATTAAGAGGGCAATAAGTACTCCCATTCGTACCATCCACATAGATGTGTATAGGTTAGGTTCATTTAACAACTTGGTTCTCAGTATTCGTTTGTGTATAGAGAGAAGTGCCCACTTTGAGCATGTGTTGTAAGGTACTGTAGTTTTTGACACAATGGACAGATTATCATCAAAATTCCAAAACAAAATTCACATTCAATGAACTAAATAATTCTAAAATTTTAAGGCAAAATATGCAAAACTGACTGATTAAATCAACTTTCTTACGGTCCTGTTTTTTTGGACACCCTGTATGTAAGATTGTGTGTCTGCACCAATAATACTATTCATCTAATTAGACTATTATTGTTCATAAAATCTTAAATAATTGAAAATAATTAACAAAATGAATGCAATAAAAAAATGACTTATTTTCACGCATTTACCCAGTCTCTTGTGTAAATTAAGTGCTCCTGAATATCCAGAGACCAGTATTGTTATGAGCACATGTTCTTTGGTACTAAGAAAGTTTAGTCATGCTCTTCATAGAATTAACAGATCTCATCTGAAAATGAATGATTACAGAATATATGGTTCTCTTTTTACAATCTATAGTCCTCTTAGAATATATCATGTGGGAATATATGGATCTCTAAGAATGTATGGTTCTCTTCCTACAATGTATAGTTCTCTTAGAATATATTATTTGAGAATGTATGGGTCTGTAAGAATATATGGTTCTCTTCCTACAATGTATAGTTCTCTTAGAATATGTCATTTGAAAATGTATGGATCTCTAAGAATATATGGTTCTCTTCCTACAATGTATAATTCTCTTAGAATATATCATTTAAGAATATATGGATCTCTTCTTATGGTTCTCATTCTAGAATGTATTTGGTTCAGAGGACATAAGTAATTTGAAAATATACTTCCTTGAATGTATAGTTCAGTAGACATTAGTAACTTGAAAATATGGCCCAGAATGGTTATAAGCAGACCATGTCCCCGAATATGGAGTACAACTGATCAAGATATAATTTGCTCAAGACCAACACCAAAAACCCAAAATCAAAATTTCAAAACTTTTTTCAAAATGAGTACAGTAAGTAGGCCTCGATATCATTTATCTGTGCATGTATTTCAGCGTTCGTCATCTCCCATCTTGTCCCCACCTTGGTTTAAAGGGTCTTCAACACCACGGGGCTCTGTATCATCGCAGAATGAGATACAGCACTCACCGCGTGGAAGTCATAGGGTGGGCTTATATGTTGTAGACAGAAGCATGTGCTTATTGTGCTAGATGTAGATAGTGTAGATGTATACCAGAGTATCTTACTTATAGTTGCCATCTGGCATTCATTAAGCAGGGGCACCAACAGTGTTTAAAACATCCTTATTAATATTAAAATATTTTATTTATTTTGTTATATTGTCACTGGTATACATTTAGAACAAATAAATAGAGCATGTTTTAAAAAACCACAAGGCAGTGTCAGCTTATGAGGCACTTTAAAAGATCCATTTATAACAGTGTCCAAATGAGTATCAGTATACATTCAGTAATGATAAATTAGCTGTGAAAAACTACATTTCAGCATCATACATATTGCATAGATTGATAAATGATACCTCCATGTATAAATAAAAACACCCACCCTTTTTTCTTGATTATGAAATATTACAGGATGAGCCAATTATTTTCTGGCCATTTTACCCCCCTATCACACTAAACTAGTTCTTACCCGTTCTTGCCAGTCCTACGAAAACATCAGAAAACTGGCTCAATCTGGCTGTGGTTGGGAAATATGTCTAAAATAATTAACTACTTCATTCATAAACAGTGTTCAATACGTCCATCTCATTCGCAGTTCGTTCAGGTCGCACCATGTCGGTGTGCAACGTCATATAACGCGTCCCTTAGTCTAGAAGGTCATCATGACCTGATTACAGAACAGTATGGTCGCCATCGAATTTTGAATCGATTCAAAATTCTAAATCACATTCCCCGTCCGGGAAAGTCCATGAAGTTCGTAAACAGACCGTAGAACGTTGTAGCTACGTTCATTCAGTTTGCACAGTTTAAAACCGATTCGGCAACGTTTTGAAGAACTCAGTTTTTAATACGTTCATCTCGTCTTTATTCCGTCTGCAGTACGTTGGAATCAAGTTTAGATCGGGTTAAATTGTGCGTTCGTCTCGTCTACACAACGTATCCAAGCAGTTCAATTACGTCCTTAGTCAGTTTAAACCAGTTGACAATTAGCTGTACCTCGTTCTCAAAACGTCCTAATATGTTACTGTGAACCTTTATAATCGGGAAGGACGTTATTCGGTCGAGTTGGGTCTGTCTACGAACAGAATGAACGAGCTACAAAAGGACTAGATTGGGGTACTCACGGCTGCAATTTACGCCTGACTACACAACGTCGTAATACGTCCCTAGTAGGATTGAAGTACGACACTTCCATTCGTAGTGTGTCCCCAGTGAAGTACGTTGTCACTCGTTCTGATTGCATGCTCTAAGTTCTAGAGGACCTACTCGTTCGAGTAGTTTCATGAAGCTAGATCCCAAACGGTTCTTAGTGGGTTCTTAGTGGGTTCTTAGTATGTCAAATCCGTTCATGCACAGTTTAAGCCCGTTTTCAAGAACGTAGTGAGAACTAGTTTGGTGTGATAGTAGGGTTACAAACATACTCTAAACATGCACTTAATGGCAATTACTCAAATACCGTTGGCCCGATTTTGTTCATGTTTTGTACACATATACCCTATGGGGGTAGAAGTTCTGCTCGAAAGCTAATTTTCAAAATGGCCGCTTATTTAAAAATGGCGGCCATTTTAGTGCCGATTTTACAGTAATTTATGTACAATATGTAAAACTGTAGTAGCAATATGTTTTAAATGTCTAATATACGATTTCGCAATAATTTTTCGATCCCTTCAAAGTATGGCTATATTATACTCAAATTGAAGGAATTTTGGAGTAGATTACAATTATGGTATTATTCTTCAGATTTGTACCTCAGAAAATTCAAAATGGCTGCTTTGCAGGAATTCGCAATTCTAAAATCTAAATTTTTCAATTTTAACCAAAGTAATGAGTATAATTGATTGGAATTCAGTAATTGATATTTTGTTCGTTGGGATTTGCTACTCCGCGGAGTTGCCATTGTCTAGTTTAAAAAATTTTCTATAACTCGAAAAGTAGTGGAGCGATTTTGTTCATATTTGGTATGTGAATACTATAAGCATGGCCCACTGTCTAATGACACTTTTGGTAGAAGGCGGCCATTTTGAAAATTGGCTGCCATTTTTGCTTTATACTTTGTTTGTAAAAAATGCCAGCCATGGCTGTTCGATGGGATTTGCTACGCTTTGGCGTTGCTGTTGTCTAGTTAAGAATGATTGGTTTATTAAAGTGAACAACTTTTAAGCTTGTGGATCAGATCTCAATCCTGCTTTATTGCAGTCTTGGGTGTATCTAAAGCTAATGACTATCTACTGTCTGATGACACTTCAAGTAGGATCATTTGGCATGAAAAACTTTGCTATCAGTACCATACCACCAAATGATGTGGGTTGTCGTTTTGACAAATTACAAATAATTCATTCAGTCTTGCTGGGTCATTTGCAAAGAATTTCCACATTTCATCGCTTTCGTGATAAATATACCTTTCTTTCCCAGTCCTAGTGAATCAGTCCATAGCTTATTAAGAACCTTCAAATATCAGATAGTCAGATTGCTGTATATCAAATTCATATTCCTCTATTTTAGGTGTATTTTTCAAATTTTCAAAATATTTTCTTCATTTTAGAAAGCAACGAGGGGGTACACACTTGTAGAAAATTCACAGGGAATCAATAATCAATATCGCCAGAGCTTAACAATGTGCGATAATAACACCCCCCCCCCAACTAGCATCTTTTGCATTTGGTCCCTTATAAATAGTATACTTTTTTCTGGTTGTTTGTCTTATTTGATTAGCATGACTCGTGAGCAGTTAATATTGCCTGATTTTGCCTGATGACATGTGACCAAGTTTTGACTAATCATACAATTGCAAGCTTGGTAGTGATGCATTAATACGTATTTTCTGAAATTATGAAATATTATTTCTGAAGGAAAAAATAGTAATAAAAAATGTGCTAAATGTCAGTAATTCATAATGTCTGAATTTATCGCATCTTTAATAACTGTTATTAGTGCATGTATTAAATTATTATTTTTCAATAACTTTTGTTTTGTCCATTTTAGCAAGCCCACTTTTGAGTCATATAATATTATCTAACCCAGGCAAACTAATCATTATTTAATCCAAAACTTTGTTTTACATTTTCTGAATTTATTTCCAGTCAAGTATATCATCAACGATGCCCCTGGGTGCCTCTGCTGGTCAGTTCAAAAGACCCTCCATTTCTGAGAGCTCTCCTCCTACCCCTACCAACAAGCTACCTCCCTCACAGCCTCCTCCCAAACCAGTTGAACCACCCAAGGAACAACCTAAAAAGGAGGCGCCAAAGAAAAAGGTAAATTTTACATAAAGTTAATATTTAATGATATCAATATAATGCAAACTATGCAATGTGGCTTAATTGTGTAAAAATATTGTAAATTTACTCAAAAAGATAATGAATACAAGCTTTGATCCCTCAGAACACTGCATGATAATAATGTAGAGATCATTTCATTTATTCTAGCCTGCTAAGAGTGGAGGTTCATCATGGCTTGGGGGAATGTTCAGCAAGATTTTACCAAAAGGGAAAAATGAGATGAATCTTCCTGATGACAAGAATCCAACAGTAAGTAGGAAGAATATATTACCATATATGATGTTGCCATATATACATGTTGACTTGAAGAGATGATATTACCATTTTTGAACTTCTTATCTATATTGCCATATATAGACTTGAGGAGATGATATTACCATATTTGAACTTTTTATTTATATTACCTTATAATATGGATTTGTAGATAATCTGGGATGATGTTAATAAAAGATGGGTGAACCAGGATGCCGATGAGGAGGATGAAAAACCCGCTGGACCTCCTCCCAAAGATTCTGATCTCTCTCACCCCAGCCCTGCTCCTGCTCCTGCACCCACAGACTCCACAGATGGTCAGGCTCCAGCACCCCCCACGGGGAATAGGTTCTCCAGGCCTAAACAGAGAGGTAGGTTGATTTTGTTTTCTACCTTTTCTAGTATTTTGACTGACCTTTTATATTTATATTTATATATTTATCCCAGCGAACGAAGTTCTGAGGGATATAGGGAACGCCGTCCGGGCAATAACTCAAATACCTTTGGCCCGATTTTGTTCATATTTTGTAAACATATACCCTATTGGGGTAGAAGTTCTGCTCAAAAGCCCATTTTCAAAATGGCCGCTCATTCAAAAATGGCAGCCATTTAAGTGCCGATTTTACAATAATTTAGGTACAATATGTAAAACTGTAATAGCAATATGTTTTAAATGTAAAAAAATTATATAGGACATAAGCTAGAAATGTAGATCTTAAAAAGGCACATGGCAGCCATCTTGAAAAATGGTGGCCTTTACTCGCTATTTTATAATTTTTGCTGTAACTCAAAAAATTTTCAAAATGGCCACCATTTTATCCTACTTCACTATAACTCGAAAAGTAGTGGAGCGATTCTGTTCATATTTGGCTTGTGAGTACTATAAGCATGGCACACTGTCTAATGACACTTGTGGTAGGTGATCATTTTGAAAAATGGCTGCCATTTTTGCTATATACTTTGTTCGTAAAAATGCCAGCCAAAGCTGTTCGATGGGATTTGCTACGCTTTGGCGTTGCTTTTGTCTAGTTTTTATACAAATATTTGTTATTTCACTTATTGTTTATTACATATATTGATATCTGTTTATGTACTTAACTATTTTTATCCTAGTAGACCAATCAGGATGAAATTCTATAAGATGATTTAGTAAATCATGCCTCCAACTGGTTATAATGCCATTCTTTTGGAACTAGGAATAACTTATTGCAAAATTTCAAAAAGCTTCTTACAGTTCTTACAGTGTAATGTAACTATGATATCATAAGCCTAGCCAACATTTTCTTGTATCCTTGGTTCCCCATAGGGTAACCAGGAAATATTGAAAATCATGTCTACCATGCTGTTTCTTTTCAATTTGTTTTCATTTTGCCCATGTTGTTTGTTGTTGCAGGAGCTAGGGGTCAGTATGTAGACGTCATGAACCCTGGAGGCACCAGCACGTCTTCTGCAGCACCGAGCAATCTCTTCAACGTCATGCCAACCGTCGCATCAATGCCAAATATGTTCATTCCAGGTAAGACAGTGGAAAAATTATGGTTTCAGTGTATTAGAAGGGATAGAGTGAAGAATATTTGAAGCAATTCCTTACAATTTTAATTCCATTTTCAGAAAATTTAAAAAATAAAAAATGTATCAAAATGGAGTTACATGATGGAGTTAATTTATATAATTTTATGTAATAATATTATGCACCTCCCAAGGCTAGACGCAATAAAGTGGGTGGATCTGTGGGCTTAATAGTTATGATTAGCACATAATGTATATAAGCCATTAATTGATGATTTGCGATCACCGGATGGATTCTATCTTGTAGTGACGTCACAATTAGGACACTCAGCTTTAGATGTTTGATTTTTAGAGACTATATTTTGTGCTTTATTTATTTTTTTTTCACGAAAGCTTTCAATTTGACTAGATCAACATTCATGCTAAGCACATACCAAGTCTAAGATCTTACTGACATGATTTAGATAGCGGTTAAGCGCCCCCCGATTTTGAAAAAAAGGTGCCAGGTGTCCGCCATTTCGGGATTCATCATGTCTAATATCATTTCTATATGACATCACACCAATAAGACGAAATACATGACAACAATATCCATAAACAAAATTCCTGAATTCTGATTGCAAAAGGTCTATTGAAGTACAGTACTGTACATGAGTTTATCCTAACCAGCAATTAAGAACCTAATTAATTTCTGTAACTCAAATTCATTTCTACTTCTCCAGTCAATTGTTGCTCATGCTGATCCATTGCAAAAACAAAAACAACAATATAAATCAAATAAATTTGGATTCTCCCCTTGATATAATGAAAGCTTGAATTTAATAACAAATGCATATTCAAAAATACACTCTGATTGGCCAGTCTCAACTCTCAATCATGTCTCTTTAAAGTACTATTTAGACATAACCTCCATATTATCTTGAATGCCATTTGAATCTTCATATTCATCCTAATTCTTTATCTCTCATTGTATTGATTTTATAATTAAATGATTATTTATTAATTAATTAATTAAAAAAGCATTATGATTACTGCATATTTATTATTAAGGCTGTAAGATTTTGCTCACTTTGTTCACATATTTGGTTCTTATATCTGACACATATCTCATTTTCAGTCATCTATATCACACAGGAAAGCTCCTGTTTTCCATAGTTGGTTAGATATATTGCTTCATTGTTTAGTTAGTCTTGCTTGATTGTTTGGGCCTTGTTTTGTTGCATGCTATCATGCTTAGACCTGCTTGTCACAATTTTGTAGATATGACTGGACAACTGAAAGCCACATCTGATTCAGGTGCAGCACCAATGCCATCTAGTGAGCAGAATGGAAGTGCCATGATTGGGAATCCAGGATCTCAACCCAACACTCCCATAGAGGCAGATACTCCACAACAAATGCAGGTGAGCTGTTGTAATATGTGACATAGGGTCGTGTTTAAGAAATATATATATAGACTGAAGACCAGGTATTGTATTGACAAAATAATAAAATTTATTCATTAAATAAATACTCCAGGGCTAGGCATAAATGTTTTCTGTACTCTGAACAACCGAAGGGATTTATTACTCTATATCATACCTGATCAAAGGTATTGCAATTCAAACATGAAATCTCACTAAAATCGTCACTTCATTTACTCTTTCCAGTTTAGTGTTCAACACTGAACTTAACAATTTGCATATTTAACAATCTATAACCAAATATATATGATGTAACACCAAATAATGAAGTCTTTAAATGTGACTCATGATTAGACATTGAAATGTATAAATTATATATCTGTTACTTGACGTCACAAATGTAAACATATTGATTGACTTTGCATCTGATTCTCATTTGTGTTTCTGACCTATTTCACACTCTTTTTAGGTTTATTAAAATCATAAAGATCACTCTCGCTTAGTTTCAAATTGTTAGAAGTATTTTCCCTGAAATGATTGCGCTGAATTGTGTTTATTTATCATACAATGTTCTGTTTCAGTTCTTTAATCCACACTCTGCCCAGCAGCAACAGGCTCAAGGGGGTGGGGTCCAGGGTTCAGGGGGTCACAACCAATCCACCGATGGGGAGATGTCACACACAAGTTCTATGAGTTCCTTATCTCAGGAAGTAACTCAACTGACACATAGCGTGAGTATCTAATCAATCAACTCTTTACATATTTTAGTGAAACAGTAAATTATAGGGATGTCATAGTTTCCCGATATTGTCCTGTCCCTCGGGACTTTGGTCTTGGGACAGGACGAGGTGGCAGAACACCCATGTACTGAAATGTTTTGGTCCATGCTCAGGATATTATGATTATCCTGTAAATGACTTCCAAAATGCATGATAACTATGATCTAGACTTACAATTTGCAGCTGATATAACCTACTTTGTGTTTGCATGATTAACTGTACCTAAAATCTTTCAATAATAGTCTTGTCAGTCTTGTCAACATTTTGTTATTCTAGGGAACACATCAGGCATGATTTATTGGTTATGTCCCATCCCATCCCGTAATTGACAGTTCCCATCCTGTTTCGTCTCAAAATATTTTTGTCCTGTGACATCCCTAGTAAATTATTTGATGAAAGAGTAGTGAGTGAAGAAACTCTTAATTTAGATGGTTCTCTACTATGAAATATTAAGTATAGCCTGTCTACTTTTCCATTTACTCACAATACAATAGACCTTTCCAATAAACCCTACCCCATTAGTACTCAGATTCGTAGATTCAATTAAAAGTGTCGGAATTATCAGATAAATGAGGATTAATTTCAGTGCTTATTGTGTTTAATGTAACATATGTGTATGATTGTACTTTCATGTATGTTTAATAATAGATATTATATGACATAAGAGAAATGTGAACAACCACAATATGTAATAGGTTATTGAGTGCCCCCAAGACACAGGAAAGGGTGGGATTTAATTTTGATAATATAATTTGCTTTGTTATTTTAAAAACCTAATAATATGTAATATGTTATATCATCATTCAAAGGTTTGCGTGGGAATTATGATAATTTTGATAATATTATTATTACAATCTGTGTATAATTATTAGTATGTGTAGTTATTTATTCACATATATATTAATATATATGACTAATTAAAATGTGAACAACCAAGATATGTAAATCCATGTAAATATGTTAATCCACCATTCAAAGGTTTGCATGTGATCTGTACAAACAAAAAGGCTAATGTTCAGAGATACTTGTGCAGAAGCTCAGTGGTGGAGTACTTGCCAGGATCTCATACTATGTTTTAAATCTTATTAAAGCCCATCTTCCCCATTATTTGGTATGTTACCCTTGGTTCATCTATTATGTATAACATGTACAAAGTGATTTTACAGACTGATGGAAAGTTTTAGTATGTCAGAAACAACATGATTGAATTTATGGAATTTGAAAACTAAAACCTGTATATTCAAAGGTATTTCTCAAACCCCGATGAGTTCGGGAAATATTTATTTGATTTGTGAAAATAGCACAGGGTCAGTTATTCACTGAAAATAGCATGAAATATTTGTGTTCTGTTTTTCCTTATTAAATTCATCACTCTCTCATTGAGTCACTATTAAGTATTAACTACAGTTAGCTTGAGTTAGATTACACTGGATCACAGTTCAGCCGGGAAATGAGTTCTCATTTCAGAATCAAGTGTAGGATATCGACCAATCAGAGGTCAAGGTATGAGAACCAAATTCTCTGTTTACTGTTCTTTTAAACGAAATGACCCTTATTGCGCCCAATAGAAGTAAGACAATACTAATCATCTATCTTAATTCTTCTATTCATTTGTTTTCCCAGGCACCTGAATCTGCTACTCCAACCAGTGCTGCTCCTCCCCCTGCTAGCAATGGACCCCCCATGTTCTTTGATCCCAGCACCTACCAGGCTCCTCATCTAGCAGGTAATCAGCCAGAGAAACCAGGTCATATGAAATATGGACAGAGGAGACAGTATCCCAAATAGATAGCTGTTCTATCCACTGACTCTCCTCCCTTGACAGAGCTCTCAATGAATGCTATTGCTGCTGTAATTGATGAATTATCATGAGACATGAAGCAGAAAGCCTCAGAATATACCATCTGTGGGGACAATATACATGAAACTAGATATATTTTTGCTACAAGGTGCCATGAAGCAGAACATAGAGTGGGTCTGATGTAAAAGTGCTCCATTGGACTACATGTTAAGCCAATGGAGAGAGAGAGGGAGGTCTGGTAGCAATGTGAGCTCTCTTGTGTTCTGCATTGTATGAAACACTAGCCTATTTATTATTATCAAACAATGGGGACATCTCAATAACGTCACTTGTAAAGGGACTTCAAAGACCCTGGTTATATGAAGAAACATAAAAACCTCAGTCAATGTTGTACAGATAGACAGAGGTTTATACCTGTCAGGGCCAAAGTCAGGATCCAAAATGGGTGAGGCAACACTTAAATTGTGAGGCAAAAGATGAGCCAAATGAAGGTGATATACTACTATTGTTACATAATTTTCAGTGTCAGTGGAATTTTTTTCTGAAAAACCTCTAACGCTAATGCCGTGGACACATTTGCTCTGATCTTCAAAACACTGGCACTCGGCTGATGAGGATTTTGTTAAAAACTGAGTGCAATTTTGACCAAAGTATTCATCGGTCGGGTGCCAGTACTGAAAATCAGAGCACATGTGACCACGGCAAAAGCTGAGGCAATTGCCTCATCTGCCTCATAGCTAGCCTCACCCATGCCTCACCCATGTATCAATTTGAATGTAAATATGATATATGGATTGCATTTGCCAATTTTAGACTACTTAGCTCTACGAGATTGCCAATTATTGTATGGTTCAATCTGTAGAAAAAATCTTAATAGCAATTTGATTAATTTGAATATAATTGATTTGGTGTTAAATGTTTTATTGAAAAAAGAGATTGTGCAATATTAGTACATTAGCATTATTTGAGGTGGTTGGGCAAGTGACTTTACTGTACATTGCTTGCATGCTGCATATAGAGATCAGGGGGCGGCAGTGGTCAGGGTGGTATATGGATACTCACTGCAATGGAAATGATGGCAGGGGTCAGCCTACATGCTGTAATGAATTAAATGATTGTAATTGTATTACCATACATTGTTAATATGCTGTATAAGTAATTCTCTGCTTTTGAGTTGTATTTGAACACTTGTTGTTGATTAAAATATACATTTCAAACCTAATATGTTATCCTCAAAAACTCTTAAAATTTAAGAGTAAGAATACCAGTATTTAAAAGTGTGCCGATGAAGGAGAAAATTGCCTTGCTATAATGAATAAATGAGACAATTTCCTCATTCTGTTTGTTCCGAGATAAATTAATTGTAAATATATGTGTATATAAGATGAAATATTGTACATAAGAAGGTGGAAGTTCATCATGAAAACATATAAATTATTCAGAATAAAGAATCACCATTACAGAGATAACTACTGTATCAGAATATGTGTAAATATTTTATTGTGCGTTGGTAATTTGGATTTACCTGAATGTAGTGTGTTCTTTATTTTAGAATTTTCCTATATAATGAATGACATTTAAATATACGTGATCTGGTATGGCAAAAGGATCAACTTTATTACTGTAACGAAGTAAGAGATGGTTTGCCCAGTTGTGGAATTGAAATGATAATTTTAATATTTAAATAACCCTTCCTAGCTAGGGTCAAGCTTTTAATGTCATCTTTACCTCCCCCTTAAACCAAACTGATATTTTATTGAAACCAAATGGATTTTAGTTCAGGTCACTTGGTTTATGTGAAGACGATCCTCAAATCTTGACAATGTGAAAATCAATTTTGTTTGTTCAATTTGGCTGATTTGATCAGACAAATATTGATTGCTCTTTTGATTGAGGTTTTGTGTGTTATTTGTTAAAGTCAATGGAGCCGTCTAGTAGAACTACCGTAGCTGTAAATGTAACTAGAATTGTCTCATTTTTCAGCAGTTAAAGAATTCAGCTTTGGTCAATATCTCCAAATATGGTAAAGTTTCAGATTCACAAGTCATTCGTCTCTTACAATTAAGCCATAAATCTTGGAGCGTGCAACTGAATTGTGAAATTGTAACTTTAAAATTCTATCCCTGTATGGTATCATCTGAGGGAGTTGAACTGAAACAATTGAAGATGGTTTTAAATCTGTTAAAACACAGAGGTTGTTATAATTGTATGATATGTCAATGAAGACAAAGAATAAAGAAATATTTTACAAAATGTACTGCTGTATTTTGTAAAAGTATCATAGCCATGCCGTGGCACTAGTCGGAAGGAGTTCAATAGTGAGTTAATGATATTATGATTATATTTTAGCTGGTATATATTCATTATTCAATTCCCATTTTGGTAACATTTGGGTAAAACTAACCATGGAATCAAGAAAAAAAAAGAAAATAGTGTGTTATATACAGCAACTTTTTTAACAAAACGACTACAATAAAGCAAAGACTACAATATAGCAAAAATGAAAAGTGTGATAAAATCGTTTTTCAGTTTATAGTTTTTCCAGAAAATTCATTATTTCATTTGTTGATTCATTCTACACGACCCGGTATCCAAACTGAGTGCATACTATGCACGCAGTTTGAAACACTGACAAACTGCACGCATATTTAAAAATGACAGACGGGGAGGACATGACTCTCAAAAGGATGAAAGGTACTGGAAGTTTAGTTTTGTTTATCAGACAGTGCCATTATGTGGAGACTAACTTACTTTACAAGTAGCACTCAATTTTTTCCCCGATGTAAATGAATAAACGCACGGAGGATACCGCGTCTCGAACTCGCAACCTCGTGGTTATCTCAATATAAGGTTCCTTAGGAGCTTTCATGTTCAAATATACAGTGTTGCGTTGTATAATGTCTGTTTGTCTCATGATCATCTGATTTAATACGAAATGTTTTGTATTGTACGTGAGAACTGGGTTTAGATTTTCCGTGGGCTTTCAATAGAACCAAAACCCAAGTATTTTCTATTTTTGTGAAAAGTGCGACATATGTTTCGGTAATTAAAAAACCGATGGAATTTCTTTATTAATCTGCTTATATTCTAAAATCTAAGTTCATCTGGACATAGTTTTCGCTATCACATGGCAGAATCATATAATCGCCACCGAGTGGACGTATGAAACCATAAAACAATGCAGAATAAATGTCTTAAAATTACGTTTGAAAACGCAGACTCCACACACTGATATGCACGCAGTTTGGATACTACGCCGTGTTCTATAACTAGAGCAGAAAAGCTGTCATTTAATATATATTTTTCTAATTGTGACACACAGGTTCTTCAATGGGATAATACAGGAGGGGGGATAATTAAATCATTTAGGTACATATAACTTTTTTTGTTCTCAGATTTTGAGTAAGATTTATCTATTGTTATTTTTAGAAGAAAAAGAATTAACGCCACCTGTATGCCAATACACAATTTGTTTGGGTCATGCTGTACATAAAGAAATGTTCAGGATTTATAGATTCAAATTCACATAAATAATCTCTAGCAAAGCATTTAAAGTTCAAATACTAGAATTAATGTGATTCTATTTTAATTGAAAAACTAGCATATCTGATTATACATTGCCTGACTTCAAAGCAAACGATACACACTAACATTAACAAAAATGGAAGATTTCAAAAGATTTTTACAATTCATATCGGTATCCGTTTGTCTTTATATATTCATACTGGTAAAGATGTCATATGATACACCAAAAGAAGTAAGCCTTTCTGGAACATCAGATATTCATAGGAGTATGGTTGTATCTACAATTGTAAGTGGATCAGAAGGTTTGAATTCAAAGGATGCTCATATAATATATGACATGGCCAATGTAAAAAGTTACGATTATACAGACGAACAAGATGATATTGCCCATGACGATGATGATGATAATACAGATGAACATGAAGAAGGTGATAATCATACAGACGCTGTCGAACAAGATGATATTGCTCATGACGATGATAATGATTATACAGATAAACATGAAGAAGGTGATAATCATACAGACGCTGTCGAACACGATGATATTGCTCATGACGATGATAATGATCATACAGATGAAGATAATCTTGCAAATGAAGATGGTAAGAATCAAGATGCAATCATCGTTGATTCACAAATTATAATCCCTAATATTAATATAAGTCCTGAAAGAATTGAGAACAATAAAAGTGACTTAAAGACTACAAAAAGCGAAATGGTAAATGAAAAAAACAAGTTTTATAAATTAGAGCCACTTCCTGATCTCGGAGAAACGCCATCTATATCTTCAAATGACCTGAACAAAGGAGCATACACGCTGAAACAATTCTTGAACATGACGATAACCCAAACAGCACCATTTTACAAGGAAATTACTATGATATCCAAGAAATGGAAGCAAAATGATATCATCAGTTCTTTGATTGTCACTCGATCATATATGGACCAATTACTGAATTGGTTAATAGCTGCAAGCCTAAGACTGAAACCTCCGATTTCTCCAATACTCCTGTATACACCAGATTACTCAATCGCTAAATTCTTCAAAGATCGTCAATTTGATTGTGTTTATTTGAATACATCTGATATATTGAAAGAAAATTTAGACATTGACCGAAAACAAATCTGGTATTTAAGAATTATGATCTGGAAAATTATTAATTTTATAGGATTTGATGTTTTGAACTTTGATGCAGATGCTCTACCATTGAAGAACCCCTTTCCATTATTGAAATCCCCAAAGGTGCTAAGCAGTGATGTGGTAGGGGCATTTGTTGCAAATAAACCTAACTATGTAAGGGAAGAATGGAAACTGAATTCGGTATTCTGTATGGGATTTATGCTTTTCAAGCATACACTGATATCAGGTACCAATGTTTTTTAAGTGACAGATAATTTTTTGAATGTTATTCGTTTCACTCCAAAATTTGTAACGTTTGAACATGGAGTTAATCCACAAAACTTCATTGTTCTGAAAAATTACCATAATACTGTATGCAAGAAATGGAAGCAAAATGATGTTATCAGTTTTTTTAACAAATCTGTTTTTAAGAATTATGATTTGGAAACTATCAACGGGCTATCAACATCTGTTTAGATATTTTCTATGTGCAACATATTTATGTAATTACATTTACATTTAGATATCAATAAAAGCGACACATTTATTGCCCCACCCTGTATAACTCCCTTTATATTTTCCAGGAGTTTTCTGGCAAAAATTGAATGACATTGTGTTTAAACAGATTGAAAAACATTCAACATTATGCAATGATCAAAGTATTATGAACAATGCTCTTCTCAACATGGGCTTGGCCTGGAAGAAGACGGCTATTAATTTCTGTTTTGATGACGAGCAGTGCTTGAAAGAGACCTACCAAGCCACTGGATCAAAGGGGTTTAAAGTCACTGCACTTCCAGAGCAAATAACATGCAGAGGTACATGTAGAACAAAAACTAACCTCCACGAGGTGACGATTTGGCATCCAATTAAAGAGACTGAAAAATTTAAAGTGTGGTTTTTACAACCTGACTGGGAGAAAAAAGTTAAAGGATCACATGCTACTGGAACAAGGTTCTTGACAGAATTGGCAGATTTGACAAAATTTGATTTGAGCGCATTTTATTAACACTACACACTCGCAAATCCAGGGGGCATGGGTCCCAGCCTCAAAAATGGGTCTTTTTGGGCAAAACTTGGACAAACTATTAAACAATGGGCCTCGAATTTTCAAAAGGGCCCAATTTTTGGTTTTAGGTACTCACAATTTTTGGTAGAGCTTGAAATCTGCCCCCCCCCACTGTTAGCTTCTGGATCCGCCAGTGCTACAATCATTTGTGTTTTGGTCCATGCTGAGATTTTTATGTGCTGAATATTAATGTGCTGATATTGTTATAACATGGTCAAAGATTACTGGTCATAACCAAAAAATTGTAAGGCTATAAATGGCAACATTTGATTCCATTTAATCGGCTTTAAAATATTGTAAATGAAAGCGTTTGATAGATTAAGAAACCAATACAAAATATATACATGTAGTATTTTTTAGATATTGCAATTTAATTTTGCTGTTTATTGTGCTTTTCCAAAAAATATTTCTCTATGATACGCGATTTGATAGCTGGATAGAGGAACGTTGTAAAACAAATCTGAACATTTACATTTGTGGGGTATCTATTCAATTCATATTCTTAAAATCTTGCGTTTTATTAAACCGAGGGCTACGTTATTGTTCTGATAAGCTTCAAGATCAACTATAATCCAATTGAAATGTGGTTACATTATGAAGCAGACCCGGTCACCAAGAGTATTAATATACCTATTACAGTTGGATATAACATAGAGACATAATGGTTTGGTCGTGATGGACACAGTGATAAGAACTGAAATATATGAATAACGACTCAATATGGATTTGGGAGAGAATACTTGTTTTTGATTAACTACAGAAAGGTAGGTACCAGTTACAGATATGGACCTGTTTAGTGTTAAAGGGTAACGTATATCGTATAGCAAATCGAACGCTTGTTTCTGGTGATGCTCACCGTTTAAGGTTATTTACAAATGTGTGTAACAAAATCCTAGACAGTGAACTTGACCGTAAATTTTATAGTTCAACTGTCACAAACTATCAATGTTGTATACGGTTTAATGCCGTCCATATTTGACCACATACAGTATATCCATTATTTTCCTAATGAAAATTTCACTGTGAAAGCTGTCAGTTTCGTTCGAGAAGTATACTGATAATTTGAAAACGGAAGATCTGACAAGAATATCAGAATGATATAATTGATACAATCACATCGATCATTATTTATTTGTAGGGCGACAAAGATTTTAGAAGAGCCATGCCATTGTATATTGATATCGGTGACCAGTTTTCTTCTATACTCGGGCACAATGCTAGGATCCCAATTGCAAATAGTAGCCAGAAAACAATCGAAGTGAAGAAACTGTTCAGACTCACACCCTTCGATGAGGAGAATGCGGACAAGGGAGGAAAAAAGTCCGTTGCTAGCCATAATGAAGACGATGATTTGGAGGTGGAGGCAAATATCAACTTCAGCATTGGGAAGCTGAATAGATATGATAAAAAGTAAGTTGAAAAGAATAATGTCCAAATGTTCGCAGTTGTGAGAAAAGCAATGGATGTTAGACATCGTTTCTTACAGTTTGGAATTAGATTAGTGATGTGTTGTTTTTAGCTGCTATTATGATAATATTAACCACCAAATGGGATGTAAAGAACCCTAATTTCACCTGCGTGGAAAGTTTCAAATTGTCTAAAAGGGGTTATTTTGGGATTTTTTGTTTCCACTACAATATTTTTTAAGTTTTCATATTTCCAGGGGTCTATATGGTATGACAGACGAAAGGGTATACGATCCCAACGTGGTAGCATTACGGGAATCACCTCCTTCTCGCATGAAAGACCGCCATCTATTACCTAACGATCAGGAATACAAAACCGAGCGAGATTACATTAACAATGTTAACAATCAAATGTCTAATGAAACACGATGTCAGACATGTGCTCGGATTAATACAGTTGGGTCAAAGATTAAACAGGTCAAGACAGCTGGAACAAAAGGTAGTTCACATTCTATGTGGGTACAAGAGGTGAAAATTGAGAAACAGGGAACGTCATCCGAGTCCGCATCGTCATGGCGGGCATCATTACACGCTAGTGGCTCTGAGGAACGCAACATATCCCATCACTATTGTGATGCGTTAGGCCCGGACACATGTTCGGAATGTTCCACATATAACGTAAGAAGGAAAAGTTATCGTGCTATGAGATCACGTTTTCCCGACATAGATACATCAGCAATGAGTCTAGTAGCACCAAGATATGCCAAACTTTTTAGAAACAAAGAAATGACACATTGTCGATATTGCGACAGAAAATCGTTACCCAGTCAAATAGATCGCTCTCCAAATACATACAGATTGAGAAGAACAGACCGACCATCCCGATTTGGAAAGCTAGACATTGTCCATCAACGAAAAACCCGTCCAAGAGACATTCATCCGACACTAGAGACATCCGATGATTTGCGCCACGAGCGCGAGAAAACCTTACCCTACATAAAATATAAACAAAACAATAGAATCGTTTCCTTGCCAAATGTCAACGTGACTGAAAATTCATTTTTATCAAATAAAAAGAGTGTGGATGGTTATTCAATCGGAGGGAAATCAAATCTCTCTTGCAAAAAAGTACAAAAAAGCAGTTGATTGGAGTAAACGATATTAATCAATTAATGAATTTCAATAAAATATATCATTTGATAGAAAAATAATTATAAAATACAGTTTCGCTGATACACGTCGCACGAAACTGGGAACAATTAGCGTAACATTATGGCTTCAAAATACCATTGAAACAAAACAATGGGCAGTAGGAAGAGACTTATAACGTCAAAAACGACAAGCGTTACATTTTGTCAAGTTTAGTCAACCTAAAAATAAGATGCTTTGTCCTTATTCAATCCTGGTAAAATTCACAGAGCAACAAGATCCCGAGGACAATATTTCTAAAATGTTTTTGATTTTTGGGGGTACATTTAACTTAAAAAATATGGTAGATCCCATCGAACTTTTCAAGGAAAAATAATTTCAGTGAATTGCGAATAAAAAATACTTCAAAATGATATATAAAGCACATGGTTAGCTTTTTAAATAAGGCAGATGTTAACTCTTAAAGCTGAGATTAGCCCGTAGGTCCATGCACGTCATATGACTATTTCATTTACTTACGTAAGAAATAGTGCATTTTCCATCAGAACATTTACCCTCAAGACAAAGAAATCTGAAATCTAATGTGCTAATAATGTGCCCCCGGAATGTGCCCTGGGTCTTTGGTAGCACAAATATCATTCATGCCAAACCACCTTCTATTTTATTTGAGGTTTATCCAGGTTCTTGGCAATTTCGATACTTTCGATATATTCCATATTTTCGATTATCTGCATACGATGTCTTTCGACTGGCGATCCGTTCGATAGACTCGATATGTATTAGAAGAAAATCGATATTTTCGAATACTTCGAGTATACATGTAAAGATAAGAAATATGTAACTCCAAAATGCCTAAATCTAAATCCTAAGCCCTAACCCTAACGTTAACCTAAATCTAACCCTAACTATAACCCTAACCCCTAACATCGAGTCTAAGGTCTTAGCCTAAGCCCTAACTTGAACCATAAGCACTTAACTTAAACCTAAGTCCCTAACTTCGAAGCTATTAAACTTCGAGTAAACTGATGTAATCGAAGAATCAAAAATTTCGAAACCTGAAATGTTTTTCGATTTAGTTAATTTCATCGAAAATATCGAAACATTTTTTTCGATTGAACTGATGTAATCGAAGAATCGAAAATTTTGAACCTGAAATGTATTTTTTCGATTAAACAAATTTCATCGCAAATATAGAAATAATCCAAATTGCCAAGATCCTGGATAAGTATGCTTTATTTCGAAAGGGGCTTTATTAAGGGTCTTAGAAAAATAGTGAATTGTCAAAATTCATATACTTACTCTCTGTGATACGTACACCCCTCCCTACTATCTGAGAATGAGGTTTACAGCATTTAAGTCATTGAACTGAATTCAATCTACAAATCTAGGTTTCAGTGTCTCCTTCGGGAGACAATGGGATATGCCTGATGTGGTTACTTAACTGTGGCATCACATGGCCTCACATGGACCAATGAAGTTGAATGAACCAACCTCAACTGAAATCGGCATCGATCAATTATGTAAATTATGTAAAATACACACGAGTCAACAAACCCATTATTAAATGAATAATGGTGCGTTGAGTCAACAAAACCATTATTATGAGTAATGATGTGTAAATTGAAGTCTCTAGGCTTTTTTAAACATCGAATTAACATATTCCCAATATAACAGACTAAATGAAAAACATTATCACACTACCCTACCACGTGACCACGTTTAAAAGGGAAATAGGGTACAGCTAAGTTGTAAATGGAGGACGTGGGTTTAATTACATATTTCTGAACGTAAAATACATTTTACATTTATTTCTAGTGTTCTACCAGACATAGAATTGATTCATCAAGCAGTTTGTAGAATATTGTTGGCAAAAAAAACCTGTAGGCAAAGATAGATAATAGTGGACGCATTGAAGCAAAACTCGAATGCAATACACGATACATTTCAGTAAATCTATCAACGTACAGGGAGCATGTACGTTTCCCTTCGAAAATGTTACATTGATATGTAACAAAAAACAATTAACTGTTATTTAAACTGCGTGTCATCGTGTTATATGTGGATACGTTTTCCAGTATATTATTCAACTGTATTTTTGTGAATTAATTGTTTTTCTAAAATCTTAAGATGCATAAAAAGTCGTCCCAGATATGTATCTTTACTTTGCCGTAAGGCATAACAAATTGTGGAACATATTTCCCCTTGTCACAAAGAGGATAATGTTTGTTTCGAGGTGTCTTGTGATGAGCGTTTCATGATTAAATGCAAAATCACTGGAGCAGAAACCATCCAAAAACATCTGACATTCAACACGTCGTATAAGACTCTTTACAATAATAGAGAAATACGACGTCATATCAAATCGCGAAGAACAAAATGCTCTCAAGTCGTGGCATGATAGTATTTTGAACATTATATTTTAAATGATCGGTTTTTGAGGACGGTGGTGAATTAGACCATTCAAAGGGGTTATATAGAAAGATTCTTCACATGTAGTTCAGGCAATTTTAATTATTCTGAATAGCGGATAGTCATTAATACTGATAGCGGATAGTCATTTATCATTAACGTGTCCATATTTAATTTCGTTATTTTATTTCAATTTGATATCTTGCAACACGTATAATTTAGCTTTCTAAAATGCATCTACGACCTGAAAGCCCGTGTCTAAATCTACAAAATAATGTTTACTTTATTTGGATTCAATAACAATTGATGACACCTCAAAGCATCAACAGGCGGCCTTTTGGCATTGTTCTCACTGTTTGCAACGTAAATGTATATGAGATCGGGACATAGTATGTCTGTATAATCAGCTTACTTTCTCGCTCCCAGTACTATTAAACAATTTACATTCCTTGTACCCTGTATTGATCAACTTTTGCAACTGTGTACCGTGTACTATGACACATCAAATATTTTGAAATTTAAAACGATATCATTTACATTCTTTCTTCAACTACACTCCCCTCCATAAGATTGGCAACCTTTTCCCCAATTGAACTACGTGTAAAAGCCTCTTTACGTTTGAATTTTTATTTACTTAACCGGTGATAAAATAGCTTATAATATTGATGGAAACGCAACTTGACTTTATTTCCAATACCTCCAAATTTTCTCATTTTTTTCCTCAATTGCAATAGGTCGAAAATTGATGATAAATTTGATGAATTTTTGAAAATCGTCATTCCCATGTAATCCAATGGGAAATGGAGGGTTTGGGGCAAATCAAAAATCAGGATATCTTTTCAGTAAAAGATTCAGCAAAAAATATTTTTATATAGAAAATTTAATTGTCTAACTTTTTTGAACATTAAGTGCTTAGTTTATTTAATGAATATTAAAGTTACAGCGCTTCAAAGTCATTTTTGAAAATAATTTTTCGCCTCCTGTGTTATTTCAATGGGAGAGGTTTTTTGAAAAACAATTTTGACTTTAAAGCCCTATAACTTTGTTGAACCTGAAGAAACATATCAATTTTTTGTTAAATAAAGTTAGCAAATTCAATTCCCTGCTAGTTAACATGGGAATGTCGATTTTCAAAAATTCATCAAATTTATCATCAATTTTCGACCTATTCTAATTGAGGAAAAAAATTGTGAAAATTTGTAGGTATTGGAATTAAAGTCAAATTACATTTCCATCAATAGTATAAATATTTTTATCGCAGGTTAAGTAAATAAAAATTCAAAGGTAAAGAGGCTTTTACACGTAGTTCAATGGGGGAAAAAAGGTTGCCAAACTTATGGAAGGGAGTGTATCATATAACTTGGAACATGAACTTCACTACTGCACCACTGTAGTTCAGCGAATAGCAATATTGACTCACTCCGATCACAAAACGTATTAACCTTTTGACTAAGCAGTCGATATACTCAAAAGCGACCTGGTTGAAAACTAAAATATTCGCGCATGCGCGATCGAGGTAGGGTAGTGTGATTATGGCTTAAATAACTTTGAGCAAAGCAATCTTCCCCGATTATATTTGTTAAAGATACACCTGCTAAAATCATTTATAACAAAAATGTTAAGAATCTAGACACCGAAAAAGGTTATCATGAATCTAATCTATGGTCCAATCTATCGACCTAATTTCGGATATCAAATATGCAATGTACTCTAAAGTTTAATTCAATAATGTACTGATCCTTAACATAACATCTACATATAATGGATTTCTTCAGGAAGATTTTGGTATTCATATTTGTGCCACTTTGTATATATATCTTTCTCACTGTGCCACCCTTACACCAAGGACTTGGTTCAACAGTAACCTCAAACACTAATAAGAGTAGGCTTAAAGTTATACGTATATCCAAAAGTCAAGATGGAAAAGATTTAACAGATGAAAAAGAGAACAAAGTTCACAAGGGAGGGGACAAAGGACCCAAGACAATTGATCCATCTCATATGATCGAGGATCAAACGCACATAACAGTGGGTAGAACACAAAGGACGGTAGATTTTGACTTTGAAAAAATGAAGCATACAAATGTAATACATAGTACAGTTAATGTTGAAAATGAAACAAATTATTCCGACGAAATCGGAGATGATTCAGAAAAGGCCATCTTGAATGTTAATCCCAGTTCAGGTTTTATAAGTAAGGCTGGCAAAGCGGAAACCAATGAAGCTGCTTTGTTTAGGTTAGAGCCACTTCCAGATCGAGAAACGCCCTCAATTGCATCAGAAAATGATCTAAACAAAGGTGCATACACACTTAAACGATTCTTGAACATGGAGATAATACAAGCAACTTTATTCTTCAGAGAAATTACCATGATATCCAAAAAATGGAAACAAAATGATATCATCAGTTCTTTGATTGTCACTCGACCATACATGGACCAATTATTGAATTGGTTAATAGCTGCAAGGCTAAGACTAAAACCTCCGATTTCCCCAATACTCCTGTATACACCAGATTACTCAATCGCTAAATTCTTCAAAGATCGTCAATTTGATTGTGTTTATTTAAATACATCTGATATATTGAAAGAACATTTATACATTAACCTGAGACAAATCTGGTATTTGAGAATTATGGTTTGGAAAACTATCAATTTTATAGGATTTGATGTTTTGAATTTTGATGCAGATGCGCTACCATTGAAGAACCCCTTTCCATTATTGAAATCCCCAAAGGTGCTAAGCAGCGATGTGGTAGGGGCATTTGTTGGAAATAAACCTAACTATGTAAAGGAAGAATGGAATCTGAATTCGGCATTCTGTATGGGATTTATGCTTTTCAGGCGAACACGTAAAACAGGTTTGTTGATTTTATGTAATTTTGTTTCATTCCACGTACAGAAACAATGGAGAACTTTCGATAAAAGTTGTTTTGAAAACGTATACGTAAACTTGTACCTTAAAGGGTCTTGTCTAACTAAAATCAATTTGAAATTGATTTTCATGAAATGTTCCCTGTTGACATAAATAGTGGCTGTGTTGTAAAGCATGTTCATCAATTAGTGATTGCAAATGTAATATCTGCATAATCTGAAATAATCAATTGCTTTAAATTACATTTTCAGAAGCGTTCTGGCAAAATGTAAATGATTTTATATTCGGATCGACAAAATCAAAAGAATCAACAACAAGAACCGACCAAAGTATCATTAACAGTGTTTTACACCTGATGCACGTGACCTGGAAAAAATCAATTGTTAATGCTTGCTCTGATAGTGGGCCGTGCTTGAAGGAAACCTACCAAGGAATGGGATCAAATGGCTTTAGAATAACCACACTCCCAGAGCAAATTACATGCAGATTCAGCTGTAAAATAACAACTCACATACATAAGGTGACTATTTGGCACCCCATTAAGAACACAGTGAAGGGTAACGTTTGGTTTTTAGTACCCGATTGGCAAGACAAAGTTAAAAGTTCACATGCCACAGGAACAGAATTTTTGAAGGAATTGGCAGATATTTCAAAAATTGATTTGAGTAACTTTTTCTAACAATGTGAAGCTATCTATGTAAAGTGATTCACCAAGTCAGCCGATGTAGAGTTTCAGATATTAATTCGTGTATAGATGGTAGCATCTTGGTATATCTAAACAAAGGCAGCTATATATATGGGTCTAAATAAAGTTGGTCGCACTGTTATAAGTTAATGCATTTTTACATCAATTTGGCTTTGATATCACAAAAAATCAGGATTACATGTACGAGGGTTGTCCCAGAAGTAATACACTAATGCTCTAACTTTCTTGACTATCCCTCAATTCTGTCATATGCTCATGCAAGTCTTTTCAATCGTTATGGGCTTGAGGGTTTCAAGGTAAGTAGAGGAACGGCGCAAAAGATATTAACGCCCGTTAGGCAACAAAATAAAGCTGTGTCCAATTTTCAATCATTTGTTTACTTAGAAGAATTATGGTATATATAAATACAAATTCTTGATAATTTTCCAAGTGAAGAACATTGTACATTGCCCTGCGTGCAGTGTCTAGTTAAACTACAAGACGAAGCTCTCTTTTAAGAAGTGAAGTCAAACGAATGCAAAGGGTAATTGTACATAACACCGATATTGCTGCCTGGGGTGGTACTACAGGTTAAGCATCTCATTGTCTTACCATTGGAAAGTACCAATAAACTATTGAAATAAATTGATTTTTGAGAAATGCAAATACTACATGTTGGTATTGAAATTGATATGTCAATAAGTCATTATTAATTAGTTCATAATATGCAAAAAGAAAGGTTGTAATATAACACGATGTCATATCAACCCATACGTCACTTAGATTATGTGATAGAGTGCTTCAAAAAGGATATTCTGTTTTTTATATACTTAAGTACATTATACAAAGGATGATCAATTAATTTCACAAGTGACTACAAGTAACAGTATCTTAGAAATTATTCGAAGCCATATTGTCAAATTTTGTGGAGACATGGTTCATGTACTCCTGACCCTGACAATCTAATGCAATATTATCAAAGACCACTTCATTATAAATCGTTGCTAAGTCTATTTAAGTCTTGGTTCATCAATGATAGCTATTTTTTGTTCCAACAAGTAGCCACACTTACCGTTATCCTGGAAAATAGAAAAGAAATAAGAGTTAATATCTAGAAAACAAAAACAGATGACTCACTTCGGGGTTTGACATATACCCCAAGCCGGACCTTAAGTCACCCGGCGAAGATCATAGCATAACTAGTTAACTACCACCAGCAGGAGCAGGACCAAGAAAACGGGTAAGCTCATGGAGATCAGCTTCACTTAGTAAGTGGACATTTTAAATCGATCTGGAGAATCAATTTTTGCAACAGTAAAAGCATTAGATTCACAGCAAGGCAGATCCCCAATCCCTTTGGCATCCAATGTGGTGGCTATTCCGAATTCATAGTCAATTTTAGATCTAGAAGATGGAGATTTGTTCCAGCTGAACACATTTCCAGAATTAAATTGATACATTATCGATACTGGACAACGTCCAAAACTATCCAGAAATCCATATTTTCGTCCAGGAACTCCAAGAGTCTATGGTCTAAATGAAACCCAAGGTTAGATCGTAAAGGTTATCAACGTGAATCTGAACTATGGTGATATTTATTAATGTGAAATAGAAACCTTTACAGATTCGCGTATAGGCCTACAAGGTGGGCCCGGTTTCAAGGTTAATATTTGACGTTACAATTTTATGCTTTTAGTTATAGCCCATGTATTGGAACAAGATGGACATCTCAAACAGTCTATCAAAGAGACACATTGTGTATGGTGCTTACACTATTTTAATTCATATTTTTAATCAAGGATGAAGCATTGAGACTGTACTGAGACAAAATAAGAAGGTAAGAAAGGTAAGGCCAAATTCTGTGTGATTTCAAATGAGTCATTCGTTTTATTTTTGGTCAGGAAGATTAGCAAAGTATAAATCTGAGTCCTCGAAAACATTGGAAAAACTAGAAATCGGCAACTCCATGGAGTGGCAAATCCCAACGAACACTATTTAAATCATGAATCTGTACAGTCACAATTTAATATTTACCATCTACTCTTCCCTTCAATAAACACTTGAGATAATTGTAGTATCATGTAACCATAGTTAAAGATATCTCAAGCCATTTTGAATTTTCTGAGGCAGAAATCAGGAAAACGATGCCATATTTGTGATCTACTCTAAAATTCATTCAATTATAGCCATACTCCTAAGAGATCAGAAAATTATTGCGAAATCCCACATTAGGCGGCCATTTTGAATTTTACGAGGCCCGAATCAGAAAATGATGCAATTTTTGCAATCTTCTCTAAATTGCCTTTAATTATAATAAAGCTATACTTCAAAAACATATCAAAATTAACGCTAATTTCTGTTTTCCAAACCCCTCATTCACAGCCCCCGGGGGTCAAGGTGAAAAACACGAAATATATGTGAAATAGATATATTTAGTGAATATACTACCAACATTTCAAATAATAATATGTATTACTTTGGTTTAAAATGAAAAACATAAAATGTTTGCAAAAAGTTTCCGCCATTTCTGAAGCGGCGGCCATCTTGAATTATTTTGCGTAAAATTATTCACCAATATACATCTTTCCACCAAATATGGAGAAAATCCGTCAACTAGTATTCGAGTTATTTCCCGGACGGACGGATGGACTGACGGAAGTCTTCACTATATCCCTACATAACTTCGTTCGGTGGGATAACAAGTTTTTTAATTACAATCTAGCACAGTTACCTCAAGTAAGATCTCAGAATAGTTTCCATATGCTTCCTTCTCTTCGTACTTCAAATTCAACAGAACTATACATTATTAAGAAGTATTGTCAAATAAAAATATCAACTTTTTGGACCACCCCATATAGTAGTCCTATTTACGCTATATATGTTATCAATCTTCTTTTAACATTCGATTCGATTTAGAGTCAATACTTGAACACAGACAAACACAAGGAAGCGCATCCACTAACAGAAAATGCCGGAACACTTTAACAGGATGTTCCTACTCATGTTGGTACAGATGTGTAGTTTTATGTTCATATTGTTCATTCTACCATACAATACATCATTCCAACAAGTTCTTTATCCCAAACCAACATCAGACACGAGGAAAAGAATAAGCATATCCAATTTTACACTTATATCAGAAGGAAAACATGGAGAGGATGAAATAAATGAAAATGAACAAAAGACATACAATAACGAACGTGAGACAGCAATGCAAGCGCATAATACAGAATTAGAGCCAATTCAAGATTTTGAAACGCCTTCATCATCAAAGAATTATCTGAATAGAGCTGCAAATACACTAAAACAATACCTGAACATGGAGATAATCCAAACAACATCATTTTACAGAGATATTTCAAAAATATCCAGGAAATGGAAGCAAAAAGATATTATCAGTTCTTTGATTGTCACTCGATCATATATGGACCAATTACTGAATTGGTTAATAGCTGCAAGGCTAAGACTAAAACCTCCGATTTTCCCAATTATTTTGTATACACCAGATTACTCAATCGCTAAATTCCTCCAAGATCGTCAATTTGATTGTGTTTATTTGAATACATCTGATATATTGAAAGAACATTTACACATTGACCTGAAACAAATCTGGTATTTAAGAATTATGGTTTGGAAAACTATTAATTTCATAGGATTTGATGTTTTGAACTTTGATGCAGATGCGCTACCATTGAAGAACCCCTTTCCATTATTGAAATCCCCAAAGGTGCTAAGCAGCGATGTGGTAGGGGCATTTGCTGCAAATAAACCTAGCTATGTAAGGGAAGATTGGAGACTTAATTCTACATTCAATATGGGGTTTATGCTTTTCAGGTACACACTTATAACAGGTACACTTCTTTCGTATCATTTTACTTTGCATCAGTTGTAATATTAAAATGGTTTCCACATACTGATACTAAATGAATTAATTAGTAACCATATGACATCTGGTAGACACTTCAACCCTTTTCCATTTCAGAATTTTGAAATATCTCGAACTTCTTGATGTGGTTCAGTCGCGAACATTTATTCGGTACAAGGTCATTGTTATGTCAAGAGGAATGTTCAAAATAACTTAATTATACAAGAATTCATCACTTGATTTTTGATGCTAACAAATTCGTTCGATATTTTTGGAAACTGCTACTTTAAAGGGCTAAGTCGCTGTGATTCTCAGCCGAAATAACTGAAAATATCTTCAAGTCATAATATGGTAGACTATGCATCTTACACAAAGTCAAATTAAATGTAGATCTTTGAATTGAAAAAGATGTACGTATTTCTCAACTTTGAACTTATCACACTGCTAACGATACAAGAACATTTTCCAAACTTGAATATTTTCAGAAAAACGGTTTGGACAAAAGTCTGTCAATGGTGCAAAGAAACAGGTTTTATAAAGTAATAATTTTAGATTCATCTGGGTGATTGTACAAGAAAGGTCGTTGGTCTATTTTACTTGAGCTTATCTTTCAATTCAATTTACAGGAATGTTCTGGGAAGAACTGGATGCTTTTTTGTTCGACACTAAACTGAATAAGACACATGCAATAATATATAGTGACCAGGGTATCATCAACAGTCTCTTACATACGATGAGCTTGACATTGAGGAAGACTGCACTTCAGTTCTGCCTTACCTTGCCTAAGCAGTGCTTCAATGGCATCTACCAAGGGACAGGATCAAGTGACCTTAAAGTAACTGCATTTCCAGAGCAAATAACCTGCAGAAGAACATGTAAAACAAGAACTAACTTACACAATGTGACTATCTGGCACCCCCAAAGTAAAGGAACGGAGAAGAATATAGTGTGGTTTTTACGACCTGATTGGCAATTTAAAGTTAAAAACTCAAATGCTACTGGAATAGATTTCTTAAAGGAATTGACCGACTTCACAAAATTTGACCTGAGGCACTTTTAATCACTTTAATCACACTCGCCTAGCTACAGGCCGCTGTAACCCCCTTTCACTACTAGACTACACAGGTATGAATTGTTTTCTTTTTATCTCAAACTCGATCTATAAGTCTCATTCTAGATATCTCAATCGGTCGGTCGATGTGACGTCACTCATGTGTGCATTAATACTGCACACATGCGCAATACAATAAAGAAGCCAAAAGGGAAAAAGGGCAGGGTGCTTCCTCTGGTGTGTCTGAGCGTTAACATCTGCTGCCTCTAGTCACATCGACTAACAAAACAGCCTTTTTTGGGGTTGTTGAGTTGGCCAAGAGGGCTTGAGCGCCAGCACGTTCAGGCTAGGCGATTGGGCGCCGTAACCACGAGGTTGCGAGTTCGAGACGCTTGTGTCTTGAGTTTATTCATCCATACATTTTAAGAAAATAGGTCTGATAAAGAAAAATGTTAAGCCAAACGTTCAGAAAAAGTGACATCTTTCTCTTAATAGGCCCTGTTGCCTCTTTAATGATGTTCTTGTGTGAGAAACGATATTTTCCAAACCAAGTTGAAAATAGTGTTTATGTTTTACAATAAAAATGTCATAAAGTTAAGTTATCATAGTTTGTAGATTAAATATAGTCTGGCTTTGTTTCAGATAATCAGAACTAATGATTTTATGAAGAGAGTTCTTAGAATATCATGGGATAAATAGCTTATTTCCTCAGGACGGGATTAAATATGGATTTATTCCTCGTGACAATATGATATTTCCCTCTGTCCCTCCGGGCCCTCGGGAAACATCATAATATCCTTCGGAATAAAACCCATATTGAATTATTTTATGGGATTATCCCTTTATGGCGGACGTCCCCTTTTTAGTTTTAGTGGATCAATGTTCATACAACCTTTGAGAATGTGATAGTTTAAATAAAAAATATGTCCAATATAAGAAAATATTAACTGTTCTGTAAAGTAAGAGGTATTTCACTTTTGTGACTTTATAACATGGAGTCTATGGGGAATCTATCCGACCTAGAAGTTAATCAAATTTTCAAAATTGATAAACAATTCATGAAAGCACATTTTAGATGCAACGTTATGATTATATCTCTGACTTCTTTGAATATCTTGACGTAAATCAAGATTATTTCTTCCTGCATCTAGTCTATTGTAATGAATTTGGTAATTTCTTCATTTTAAATCTTTCATAACATCTGCATTCTTAATTAGGACAGTAAAGGAAGCATTGGCGTGGCTTTTGAATATTGTTTCTTCCACGATTTGGTACTTCTGTCTCATCTACCTCTTTACCTCTTTTAAACTATCTTCAAAGACACTGTCAGAACTGATCAGAAAGTGCCAATTCTGATCAGTACTTATTGAACACCCTGTTAATAAAAAGTTTTGCATCCGGGTGCTGAAATACTGGGCGGGGTTACCATGACTAAAACTCACTACAGGTTTGAACAAAATATTTTTCAATGTGCCCACAATTAATTATTTCTGTGACAACGACTTGAATATTGTAAAGGAAGGTAAACTTCCTATATTAAGATACAACTCAGAATGTAGATACTGTTATATTGCTTTCTCTTATTTTTGGCTCTTTACTATACACCATGTTGTATGTAATGCATGGAATATGATACTTATAGTTTGGATAACCTTTAGAACGGGACGTTGGACGCATTAAACATGAATAATTGTTTACATATACTTTGATTTTATCAAAATTAACAAAAGAACAGTAGTTAATAACATTCAGATCTGCTACTATAAATTATAACATTATGTGAATTAAATAGTCTATGATTAGATCTACTTGGATTACATCATTAATGTTAAAGTGCAATGGAATCAATAACTCCAGATGCGATAAAATCATGCACATTTTATGAGATATTTTTTTACTAAGGAATACCCCGCGCGCAGAGTCTAGTTATAAACTACCTTTAGCTCTGTTTTTAGAAGTGAAGCCAGGATTTGCCAAGGGGGGGGGGGGGTCACTTTTTTAAAACTTTCAGGGGGAGTTCACTTTTGACAATTTTGGTCCAAAAATGGCCAAAATCACTCAAAAAGTGCTCAGAATGATGAAAAACTGCATGATTTTGAAAGATTTTTGGCCAGAGGGGGGGGGGGGGGTCGCTCGAACCCATCCAACGCCCCTGGCTACAGGCCTGTCACCCTACCACATGTTTCACCATCTTCTAGTTGGCACCTTCCCCATTGAGCTGTGACATTAGGACCAGTAGATTGAGGAACCTCCCCTTTATGTTTGTTGTCTTCCTTTTGTGTCTCATCAAATATAAGTTCGCAATCACTAACTGGGTTATAGTCGCCAGTCTTTACATTTTTGATGTTAAACGTCGGTTTGGTGCGACACTTGTACGAAGGGTATATCAACAATGAGGAAAATGACTGAAATTCCCGCTGTGATTGGAATGAGAGTTGTCCATAACATTAGGCTCGGGAGTTGGAGCGATGCATCTAAGGTATATCAGGAAACATTTTTGCTATTATCACAAATACTATCTACATCCTGTAGATTAGTTATATTTATAATAATGTGATAAATGGGTACTAATGTGATGGGCCTAATTGTTTGTGTAATAATGTGAAAATAGATAAAGAGATGAATGGCGATTATTTATTTATTTTTTATATTCAGTAAATCGAACAACAATTCAACAACCCCCTTTTCAAAAAGGCATTTGTATATGTTTACCTTCCTTAAGTATAAATTTATTATTCCATAGTATCTCGCTTTTTACCCCGGAGCTGTTCTTTGGTTCCTCTGTTTGACTCACCGTTGACTAATAAAACAAAGCGTTCTTATAAAATTCTGGAAGTTTTTGTTTGAATAGACGTACATCATACCTACATTGAATAAGTAAGTTAAGACCAAAAAAATGTTCACAATATAATCCCGGATCACTCTCCAGTGACTAACTTGATCGTCGAAGTATCGTTTACGCTTTTCCATCGATTACACATTCACAATTCGGATGACCCCTCCCCTCCGATCATAATCTCCGATAACTGCATTTCGTTTTATCTTATCGCGCTTCCCTATTTCCATAGAAAATCATATAACAGAGTACTTACCTTTGAGATACTACTATCGGGTGTAACAGTCATGGACATAGAGTATACAATCTGTGACACAGCCAGGGATTTGATTTTCATAACACGGCCGTAAATGGTGAGATTTCGCTTTTAAGAGATTCAAAATTCTCTCCAATGAATCTATGAGGACAATTGGGAAAGTATTTCTTCGGAATTCCAAATAAAACACTTCATTGGAATTTTACTACTGGGTGATAAAATCACGGACTTTTTTTCGATCAGCCGTGTTGTTCGCGATGTGGGAACTATGTGCGCGAGTGGAGAAATATGTTCGGGAGAGAGGAACTGGTGGTTCGCGACTATAAAAGAATCGATGTTCACGTTGTGAGAACCGTGGTTCCCGACTATTGAAACGTAATTCGCGAGGTCGGAACTGGTTCTCGTAAGTGGAAGTCAAAGAGGCCTGGTAAAGTATCCTGATATCTAAAAATCTAAATGTGTTACTAAAATGGCGGGAAATTAAGATATTTAAAAATTAAAAGACCAACAATTTTTTTCAAAAATGTCTAATTGGAGAATCGTTCCTTATTAACTAAATTGAACTTTAGGACAATTATTATTCATTTTCTTTTCTTTTTTGAATGATTTGACGTGAGAGAACATCTTGGTGAAAAATGTGGTTTCTCGAAATGTCAGAGCTATAATTACAACAAAATGGGAATCTTACAAAATCACAATTTTATTTCATAATCCACACTATTATTGCTCTATTTACATTTTTATAACTATTTACTGGGAGGGATTGAATATGGGTTTTATTCCGAGGGACAATATAATATTGACCGAAGGGTAATATGATATTGACCGAGGGAGAGCAGCGACCGAGTGTCCATATGATATTGCCCAAGGTCAATATAATATTTTCCGAGGAATAAAACCCATATTCAATCCCGACCAGAAATAACCTATTTATTCCATAATACATCCCTCTAAAACGTTACATTTGAATAATGCAAACATTATATTAATAAATGCACATTATTTGCGCTACCTCGGTCAATATCATATTTTCCGAGGAATAAAACCCATATTCATTTAACAATTAGTCAAGGTTAAAAATAATCGGGAGACCAAAAATAGGTAAATATGCTCCAATACGATTTTTCCCCATGGACAATACGATTTTTTCATGTAATACGCTCCAATACGATTTTTTCATGTAATACGATTCAATACGTTTTTCCATAATACTACTGTTTTCCAAGGGAAATACGAAAGGAATAAAAATCAATGTGCATTTATTAATATAATGTTTGTATGTACAATTGTATACTGTATACTGCATTTATTTGCATCCGTTATAACAATAAAAAAATGGTTGGTGAAGAATTACATATCATGTATAAATTATTGCTATTGAGCAAAAATAGAGTTATAACAATACATGTATTTAACAAGACACACAATTATCCTAATTCTAGTTACAAAAATGAATGCCAATAACAATGAAGTAAAAAAGCAAAATCGTTTTAAACCTTTACATTACACAATGGACAATGAGTGATGGTTCAGTTTGGTACATAATATCGAGCAATCAACAATTTTTTCTTCAGCTGATTTTGATGTCACATAAAGTCAGTACATGCACAAGGCCATCTTGGTAATTAGGACTTTTTAAAGTCTGGTTTATTTTTCAATATAATGTTTTCACTGGGGTCTTGTTCAGGTCAAAAGTTTAGTTTCACAACCAGAAGGGGAATCACCTCAAAAGCCCTGCCATGCCTGAAATCATAATAGTCTCACTAGGGTCATTATGTCTGAATGTGAAATCATTTTTAATTCTATTTCATTTAAAAAAATGACAACACACATTGTATACATGGTACATATATCTATGTGAAATGACAATTGAATATGATGAAGACGGTACTTAATAATTGTTACTTGAAATAAAACAAATCATGTGAAATCATGGCCTGCTATTAGTTTCTTTCTTATTTCTAGTTCATGTAGTTAATAATAAAAAATAGAAAGATGTGATAAGTACCAGAATGCACTGGATTGATAAGTATGTGAAGCTTTTTAAAAGGAAAGGATAGGTATCGATATGGTGAACTGAATTCAACAATTTTTTTTTTCTCTTGAACCAATTATTGAAAACATTCTGTAAAAACACAGTATTTTATGTAATGTTGACTGATTGACAACAATTTAATTTGAAAATTATTTAGAAACATTTTATATAACTGTTTTTGTTGACATTTTTTGTTTTTTTAATGCAATTGTTTTTGCTCCTTTCTACTAATTCTTGAGAATGAAATAAAATGTCTTTCCGAACCTTGTTGGAACAAACTAGCATATACAACATGTTTTAGAGCTCTCAATATTATATAAAGGAATTTTTGGTTGATTTTAAAAAAGTATTCAAAAAATTAAAACAAAATCTCCCAAAAATAGATAAAAATCAAGATAAACCTTTTATTTCATTAACAAGATACTTTTTTAAAATCAACCAAAATTTCCTTTGTACAATTACAATATTGAGAGACCTAAGCATGTTGTGTTTATCTCGTTTTGTTCCAATGAGGTTCGGAAAGAAAACAAGTGTTTGATGTGTTTTTTTAAAACAATATAGATGAAAGTATATATATGTTTTTCAAACTATATTGTTACCATTCAAAAGATGGCCATTAAATTGACGTTGTGTTAAATTTTTGTTCTCCATATCGATACCACTCCTTTGGCTGACAAATGGAATCAAGAAATGTTTAAAAAACTCACTTGGTCATCAAAGGCCTTCATTTTGTATACCGAATATTTGATGGACTATATTTCAAACACTGACGTACTACTGAGCAGATTTTGGCAGGATAAATATACAAGAGAACCAGCATAATGACAAGGAATCCTAACACAGAAGCAACGGTCACAATCGGAATGACAATATTTGATCGCTCAGGCTTGGACTCGGAAGGGGAAGCCATGCATTTTATGTAATCTGGAATCAAAAATAATGCAAATGTACACATTAGCTTTGTAGAAGATTCTCTGTACATAGTGATTTTCATTATCAAAGCCATTCCTTTGAGCTTGTTAACTTGAACTAAATTCATGTTAATCATTGCGATCTTTTAAGTTTATTACATCTATCACGCTTGGTGATCGTACAAAATGGATGGAGGGGGATCAGGCCATTTCTGCAAGAAAACTCAACAAATTTGGAAGAGAGAAATTTACAACTGAATTGCCAAATGAATAGGCGCAGTGCATGGCAAAATATGTTAGGTCTTCTTATATTTTTTGAACTGATACGCTTCTAACCCTACTATCACACCAAACTAGTTCTCACTACGTTCTCGAAAACGGGCTTCAACTGTGTACGAACGGACTGAACCTACTAAGAACCGTTTGGGATCTATTTACAAACTTCATCGAACGTACTCGAACGGGTAGGTCCTCTAGAACTTAGACAATGCTCAAAATGTTCTCGTGGTCGTCACGTTCTACAATTAGAACGAATGACAACGTACTAACGACGAGCTGGACTTACTACGAACGGAACCGTCGTACTTCAATCCTACTAGGGACGTTTTACCAACGAGTTGAACTGTCTGAGGACGTGTTGAGAACGAGGTAGAACTAATTGCAAACGTGTTTAAACTGATTAAGAACGTATTTAACACTGTTTATGAACGAGTTAGCAAAAATATAGCTATCACACCAAACAAGTTGCCACTGCGTTCTTCAAAACTGGCTTTAAACTGTGTGCGAACGGAATGAACGTAGCTGCAACTTTCGAAGGTCTATTTACGAACTTTATGAACGTTCTCAGACGGGAATGTGATTTTAGAATTTTGAATCGATTCAAAATTCGATGGCGACCATACCGTTCTGTAATCAGGTCATGTTGACCTTCTAGACTAAGGGACGCGTTCTACTACGTTGCACACCGACGTGGTCCGACCTTAACGAACTGCGAACGAGATGGACGTATTGAAGACTGTTTAAGAACGAAGAAGCTAATTATTTCAGACATATTTCCCGATCACAGCCAGATTGAGCCCGTTTTACGACGTTTTAAGAACGGGTAAGAACTAGTTTGGTGTGATAGGGGGGTAAGATATGAGATCTATTAAAAAAGGCGCATCATCACCAACGTGCAAAAGTCAATGTTTTGCTATATACTATAAATCAGGCAACATTGGTCTACACGACCCGTAATAAGGGACGTTATTATCACAACACTAATATGACAGTGCTCACTTTTTAAAGTTAGTTTCCATGCGTTATACAAAAAATAATCGAAATAAATTAATATTGGATTGAAGGGGGGGGGGAGTGGATGGAGGGGGGGGGGGGTGACGTGTATATAAGACATGCTACTTGAATTTATTTTTATAACTCCAAATTTTCCCATTTTTCATTCTCCAGAGATATAATATCCAGTTTCTTACTGGGGTACTGAGTTTAGGTTTTTCAAACACACGAGTTCTTTTGAATTTGTTCAATCGTAAAGACATATAACTCCCCCCTCCATCCCTTTTGTACGATCACCGGGCGACGGGCGTGTCTATGGGAACACCGATTTTACCTTGGCATTGTGTCCTATTTTATCATCATAACACCATTACATGACACGAACGACCATTTAGCAGTTTGTTACACAGAGCACTTACAGAAGGTGAATTGTGAAATAATGATAAAATAAATAATTGCAGTTGTCAGCCAATGTTCTCTCCTTTATTGCATCGCATCTCATCTCAAAAGTTGAAAAACTCAATTGGTAAAATGTTATTACTCTGCTCTACTACATGCATGTCTTTCACTCTACTAATACTTTCATACTAAACTCAACTCAGTCAACCCATTTATGCACTACTGAACAATCCATTCACTCTGTCTGTGAAAGTCAAAATCTCAATGTCTCTCAAAATATCTCAAATTATTTGCTCAAAATAATGGCTGAAGTTTTGTTTGGTAGGTAGTTACAGCGATTGTTCCTTGACGGTTGAAATTGTTTCTCAATACAGGTTTGAATCCAAGTGCCGCAAAATGTCTCTATCGAGAAGTACTCCTAATAGTGTTTAGTATATTTTGTGAACATTTTGACTATCAATATGTCATTATGATTAGTACATGAAGTAGTGTAGCATAAGTCAAAGATAACAAAGTAGAGAGGATAACATTAGTAATAGTTGGATCACAATGAGAACAAGGCATTAACATGACAAAATGTTACCACCTAGTTGAAGCAAGAAAGAAAAATACCTTTTTGACCTTGAGGAGGTCATTAAAGGTCAAATCTATTTTGACCTTGAGAATGTCATTGATGGTCAAATCCATAGTCAGATTTGAAATGTTGAGAACTTGTGGATGATTTTGAAAAAAAATTGTTCAATTGGAAGCAAGTTTAAAAAGACCTTTTTGACCTTAAAAATGTCATTGAAGGTCAAATCTTAAATATAAAGTCAGATTTGAACTTGAACATGTAGATGATTTTGAAAACAATTGAAGTCAGTCTATACAGTATTTGATAAATTATTAGAAGTTGTAAGGATTTGTTACAGACGCCGACCGCCGATCGACAACCGCCGTCAAAAAAAGGAGACCATAACAATATGCAGATAACTAGTCAAGTAAATGAGGAATAAATTACTGAATCTTTTTGAAAATTGCTGTGAATTCTACCAAAAAATTACTCATTGATATTGCCACTGAAATTCATCTATACAATAGGTAACTTACATATATATAATACTATCTGAATTGATCTTTTAAAGTCATCTACCAAAAAAGCTATTTTTCCAGATCATCCATGATTCTCTATTGAACCAGACAGAAGATCCATTGTCAACATTTTGTAAGTAGCTCTATAGTTCTGTTGAGATATGTCCTCAGTGACAAGCATGGGACTTCAAGAATTCATGTCACAGAAATCTCATGGAAATCCCATTGTGTTATATATCATATAAATACATATCATTATAAAAATTGTGAAAAACACTTTAGGGTACTTTAAGCTGGGAATTAAAGCTATTGACCCTTTAATTGTCATTTGTAAAAATATTCACCTTTTCATATAGAATTTTAACTTTCCACCTAAATCTTAATTTTGCCAGATAATGGTGTCACAACATTTCAGCTGTCTGTCAACAAGTACAACATAAGTGCCTATAAGCTCAGTCATCAAAACCATTAGTCACAAAAAACTATTTCCTAGCTGTTTCTATCATGCAATGTCCAAAATGACAAGGGATTTGATGAAATACATTTATTTTTGTGGGATTTGCTACTGCGGGGAGTTGCTGTCTTCCTAGTACTTTTTCATACTTCAGTACCATACCACTGAAGGAAAGAACATACTTGAGTGCAACAAGTATGTTTGAAGCAGTAAGTCATTTTCAGCTTCATAAAACAGGGCAAATGATGCAGAGGTAACGTTCCCTTATTTGAGCAAGTGTGGCATATTGGTACTTTTCAAAAGTCAAAAGGGGGAATCTTTAGGTATAATTAAATGTGTGATATTTCTTCCATCTTCCTAATGAAGATGTTGGATACATTTGAATATCCAGTTTTGTTGAAAATAAGAGTGGACATATGTCTCAGCACTCAATTCAGACAGAATCAAATAATACAGACAGAAAATAATACCATTCCTTACCAAAATATGATTTTATTCAATACATAATGCGATCTTTTGACATAATGCTTTTAAATGAATCAAAGAATTTACTACTAGTATTACAATCACAGTTGTTAGTGAGTAAAACACTGTCATGAAGTCATTGCATTTGCCAGGGGATTACAATTTGGAAGTATGATGTGGCTAACTGGAAATACCCCTATTTGGATAACCATTAGTCAATCCTGAGGCCACTTTCAGCTTTCACATGGCACTTGTTCAGATTTATCAAGAGGAGGGGGGGGGGGGGGGATTTTTTACACTTTTGGCAAAAAATTCATGCAAAAACTGCTCGGAATGGTGAAAACTGTATAATTTTGAAAGAATTTCTGGTCAAGGGTGAGCTTTCGCTCCACCAGCTTCCCCTGACTATGGGCCTGTGGTAGGACCAGAATGCCTATGGAGCATGGGCTAATTTGAGCACAACACATCCTAGACCAATTGGGACAACTTTTTGATTGTATGAAGTTCAGTTTGATACTGTGGTGAACAGTCCAATCTCATCCAGAACCTTTACTTTTCATAAACACTAGGCTCAATGTAAAATAGTCAAATTCTGTTCAACACTGCAGGATTAGGATGTTGTACAATAGTACTTATGTATGAGTCCACTGTAGACTGTCCCTCGTAACTGTTGCTTAGGTCTGGTCCTGACTGTCTCTCTGTTCACCCCTCATGCCATCATATCATAGTCATCTCTCTGAAATCACAATGAAATGTATGATATTACATGTCCTGGAGAAATACACTGGAAATACTAGAAATAAATATACTTAATGTTTACATCCAATGTAACAGCCATCAACTTCGCATCAAAGATGGCATATGGGAAGTGTCGATTTTGATATTTTTTGTTTTCATCAAATTTAACTACGTTATAGTTGACATAATGTTTGTACAGACCAGTGAATGTGATGTAAGCAGATTGAATGTAGAATTTTACTTTATTGCCAATCACATACTCAGCAGTAAAGTAAGCAACTGCAAGTACTTTAACTGGTTGAGAGTTTCAAAATGTAAACAATCACAACAATAAGGGCATTTTTACAAAACAGCGCAACATTGGAGAAAGAAAGGATGCAATTTCCATACCAGTTCATTGTAGTCTAGGACATGTTTCCTAATGGCAGAAGTATCAGTCCAGGTGACAAAGTCTTCCATCATCCTACAAATATAAAGACATAATATTATTATGAATTCTGAGTAACAAGTCTCAGAAATTTCTCACAGCAGTGCTCTATGTTGAGGTTGAGTAGGAAATATAGAAATATAAAGTATGTAATGAACTTTGCACTGGTTGTTATACATTTATGATGTAGACTAAATAGAATGAAAACAACTGCCATCTTTCTTAAAATAAATGAATGAATTCCAGAATTCAAACATGAACCATATCATGTAAAGATGAATCCCTGTTTTCCTGGTCTATGACATATCAACTGATAATTAAGTAAGTAAAACATGTTACCATGGTAACTAGTTTTGTAAAACATGTTACCTGGCGACTAAGTAAGTGAGACATTCTGCATGGTAGCAAGGTACACTTATATAAAATAGGTTACCCAGGTAAGTGAAATATGTTACCTGCTGACAAAGTGAGACATGCTATCTAGTAACTAGGTAAAGGACACATGTAACCATGGTAACTAGATTAGTGAAACATTTTACCTGGTGACTAGGTATGCTGGGTCTGTGACTGCCTCTGGACCTACTCTCACATCTACATATAGTTAAGGAAACAAACATCCATGTACTTTAATAACATAACACAAAATAATCCCATGGGAAGAACATTCTTTGTAAAATGCTCCCTTCACCCCTACAAGCAGGATTTGAAGTTTTAGTTGAAAAACAGAGTAAATTTGACATCTCATTTGTAATTGATTGTTCACATTTCATTTGTTTTGACTCTGTCCCCAACACATAGTGTTGTCACGTCATACTGTTAGCACTGGTGGGTCTGCCTTCCTGAATGGCTGACTATTATGTTCAAATGAATTCTTTAAAGTTGCTGCAGGTATCATCTTCAAATTTTCAGGAACATATTTGGTATATACTTGTTTTATAATATATGCAGTCATCTTTGCTTGATTCTTGCTTCCTCTTCACCATTGAAGCAGAATGCTTAAATCCTTGTCTGCAAGAAAATGCTTCAGAATATTCAAATTTCAGAACTACTGTATTTAGGTTTTACGCAGTCTGACCCAACTGCAGAAACCACTTTGAATATCTATTGAAAAGTCAATGTTACATCAGTATTTATCATACTAACGATGAATTGAGTTTTCATAATAATGCTCTTTCGCTGAATTCTAAAATTTTAGGATGGTAATCTAGAAATTAAAATTGAGGCATCCTGGGTTATTTTTTTAAGGTTTGAATACCTGCCGTAAAATCTAGTCTGTTCAGTCTTGTCTTTTTCCAGTTATGTAATTTGTTTGTTTGCCTTGCACCCTTATACTTTTGGTTTTTGACTAGACACAAAACACAGAATAGTCTTTCCAAGGCCTAACTTGCAATCAATCACCCAACATTATGAGCATTTCTTTAATTAATCCACAATCCATTCATTATTCACATCAAAGAAAATCCACATATTTACAACACTTATCTTTACAGTAAATTCCTAGATAAATTACAGATTTCTAAAATAGAAGATGTATTTGATTTTCAAAATGCATCTTCCAACAATCAATCAGAAAAATGTTTGAGAAGTCAGTTAATTCAAAGGATACGGCCCTGTTCTATAAATGTCACAGCTGCTTTCAAATTTTCTGCCATATGACTCCGTACCATTACAACTGGCAACCGCCGTCTGCAAAATGAAATGCATTATGGGTAAACAAGTCAAGATCTTAAGTAAAGATAAAAGGAACTTACAAATGTAATAGAGCATATTGACATAAAAAGTGTGTAACTAATTTAAAATAGAAAAATATCTCGAATCAAACAAAAATTAGTTAGCAGAGGCTTTTAATATTTTAAGGTTGTAGTAGCATATGTGTTATTTGGCAGATTACTTTTCTACTCTGGCAACCGTATACACTGTTACTTTAAAAGTTGAAATTATCAAAAAACTGTTTAATTAGAATATACATAAATGTGTATTTGACAATGGACAATTAATAAAATTCTTTGAAAGAGACAATTTACACATACATACAATATGACCTACATTTTGAGAAATAAAGGTCAGGGTGACCCAATTTTTATATTTCATGCTTAAAATATGTTAAATATCTGGAAGGCTAAATCTTAGAGTCATTTGTTCTTTCTTTTTTCAGATTTTGTATAGACTGGACCAAGGAAATAAAATTCTTTTTTTCTAGTCTTAAGAATGCAGATTTTGTTATTTCAGGCACATAATCAGAGGATGTTATGACAGGCTTCAATAGATGAGTTTTTTGCTATGTTTCTTGAAGTTATTAAAGTTAAAAATGGCTGCCCTTGATTACATAATGATTAATTATCACATAGTGAGAGAATAGTCTTTGAAATACTAGATAAAGGTCAAGCTCCCTCCTCAAATATCTCTGTTCAGTCTCTTGTAAAAATGAGCGTTTAGCCCATCCAGGGCCTAAAAATTCAGAAAATCGGCAGAAACCCGTATCACGACAAATATACTCTGGTTCAATACATGTACACTACTGCATAAAAGAGCCTATGTTAGATCGACAATGGCGCTATTTTTTACCTATGATCTAACATGGTTATACTTAAACATTATTCTAATATGGTATGGTGAGATCTAAAAAATGTTTTGGCTATTAAATTTCACTGTCAATACAAGCAAAAAGCTATAAATGATGTAATCTTGTAAAAGGTCAATTAAAATTACACTATCTTATGGTGGGGAAGGGATATTATAACTTTAAAACTTTTTATTGACATAAGTATCATAACATGATTACATTAGTCAGAACCAGAACAACGGCAACGCCAAAGCGTAGCGAATCCCATCGAACAGAAATGGCTGGCATTTTTACAAACGAAATATATAGCAAATATCATAAAACAACACACCAGAAAGGCCACCATTTTCAAAATGGTTAGCCAAGTTGTCATCAGAAGAAATAATATGCTTTTAGTAGCCACCTATAAAATTTTTGAAAAATCGCACACATGTACTTGTGAAATAAGTAAAAAATGTAAAAATGACAGCCATTTTTTAAAATGGCCTCCTACTATCTGAAGTGTCATGAGACAGTGTGCAAGGCTCGTGAGTATTCACATATCAAATATGAACAAAATCGCTTCACTACTTTTCAAGTTATAGTAAAAACGTAAAAATGGTGGTCATTTTTCAAAATGGCCGCCTACTACCCAAAGTGTCATTAGACAGTGTGCCATGCTTATAGTATTCACATATAAAATATGAAACATACCAAATATGAACAAAATCGCTGAACTACTTTTCAAGTTATAGTAAAAACGTAAAAATGGTGGTCATTTTTCAAAATGGCCGCCTACTACCCAAAGTGTCATTAGACAGTGTGCCATGCTTATAGTATTCACATATAAAATATGAAACATACCAAATATGAACAAAATTGCTGAACTACTTTTCGAGTTATAGTAAAATACGTTAAAATGGCAGCCATTTTTCAAAATGGCCACCTTTTACCAAAGGTGTCATTAGACAATGTGACATGCTTATAGTACTCACATACCAAATATGAACAAAATTGCTTCACTACTTTTCGAGTTATTGTAAAATACGTTAAAATGGCGGCCATTTTTCAAAATTTTTTCAAAATGGCTGCCTTCTACCAAAAGTGTCATAGGACAGTGTGCCATGCTTATAGTATTCACATACCAAATATGAACAAAATTGCTTCCCTACTTTTCGAGTTATAGTAAAATACGTTAAAATGGCGGCCATTTTTCAAAATGGCCGCTTTCTACCAAAAGTGTCATAGGACAGTGTGCCATGCTTATAGTATTCACATACCAAATATGAACAAAATCGCTCCACTACTTTTCGAGTTATAGTAAAATATGTTAAAATGGCGGCCATTTTTCAAAATTTTTTTCAAAATGGCCACCTTCTACCAAAAGTGTCATAGGACAGTGTGCCATGCTTATAGTATTCACATACCAAATATGAACAAAATCGCTCCACTACTTTTCGAGTTACAGCAAAAATCGTAAAATAACGAGTAAAGGCCGCCATTTTTCAAGATGGCTGCCATGTGCTTTTTTAATATCTACATTTGCAGCTTTATTAATGTCCTTTATAATTTTTTTACACTTAAAACATATTGCTATTACAGTTTTACATATTGTACCTAAATTACTGTAAAATCGGCACTAAAATGGCCGCCATTTTGAAATGAGCGGCCATTTTGAAAATCGGCTTTCGAGCAGAACTTCTACCCCCATAGGGTATATGTGTACAAAATATGAACAAAATCGGGCCAACGGTATTTGAGTTATTGCCCGGACGGACGGACGGACGTACGTACGGACGGACGGACGGACGGACGGACGGAGGCGTTCCCTATATCCCTCCGAACTTTGTTCGATGGGATAATTATGGTAAACTACATATCAACTACACTAAAAAATACAAAAATATATAAAAATATATATATAATATATATATAATATATTTCTGCTTATTGGTCATGTGCATCTTCTTCTATAATAGTGTGGTGCACACACAATGCATTAAGAGCATTATGCTTGTTATACACAAAAATGTGTATTATAATTGCAACAAATTTTTCTGTTACATGTTTTTCTAACGGGAGAATATATTCATGAATATTGCAAGTTAAATACTTATACCAGAATATGAGGAATCTTGTCTATTAAAATTATCAGTAAATCTTCAAAAACACTTGTGAGTCATCTCTAAGTGTGCCGAAAGTGTGGTTGGTGAGGAGCCACTTATTCAGTAGAACTCCCAGTGATTAAGATTTACATATTATTTAGACCATGCTGACGGGTGGAGGGAGAGAGGTGAAGTGGGGGGTTCCAGATATGTAATTTACACATTTCTGCTTATTGGTCATGTGCATCTTCTTTGTGTGAATAATGTGCCTACTAGGGTACCATCCGCCTTATTTGTATCTTTCACCAGATGTTTGAAATAAATAGCACAGGACTTCATTCTGTGTTTTCATTAACCAACGAATCAAATCATGGATAAATGAAGTAGAATAGCAGAAATTGACTCAACCTGCATCAGTTCAAAAGTATAATCTGGAATTTATATTTCATGTGGAACTGAATACACCCTTAGAAACAAATCCGAAGTCTACATGAGAAAGGTGCTATAGGACAGCGTTATCTACTTTTGGACAGCGTTATCTACTTTTGCTAATATTTTGCCAGAACTTAACCTCTACTAGAAAGAAGACATTTCCATTGATAAAATGAAGTGGGGAGATAATTCTCTGATAACCCATCCCTAGTTTCTATCTTTATACTCTTCAATACATAAACATACATCATTTTCCATTCAGAAAGTATAGAGGGTACAGGGGTTTCAGTGGCGTAGCCAGGATTTGTCAGGGGGGGGGGTTCTAATATTTTCTGCCAAATTTGCCAAATGTGCTTAAATTTTGCCAAATTTGCTTAAGTTTTGCCAAATTTGCTTAAATTTTGCCAAATTTGCTTAAATTTTGCCAAATTTGCTTAAATTTTGTCAAATTTGTTTCAATTTTACCAAATTTGCTTAAATCTTGCCAAATTTGCTTAAATTTTGCCAAATTTGCTTAAATTTTGCCAAATTTGCTGAAATTTTGCCAAATTTGCTTAAATTTTGCCAAATTTGCAGAAATTCTGCCAAATTTGCTGTATGTTTGCCAATTTACCTCAATTTTGCCAAATTCGCTTAAATTTTGCAAAGTTTTCTTAATTTTGGTCTAATTTAATTAATTTTTGACAAGTTTCTAAAATTTTACTTAGGTTTTGCCAATTTTACTTAAATGCCAATAATGGATAAATTTTGGCAAAGTTTCATTGTTGCCAAATTTTCATAATTTTGGCCCATTCGCTAAAATTTAAAATTTTACCAAATTTTCTCAAGTTTACCAAATCTCAAAAAATAGGTAAAATATCCCAAGACCAAGTTCATTTATTTGGGCAGATTTTTAAAAATTTGGACCCAACATACCACAAATTCACAGAAATTAGCAGACATAGAACCCCCTCCTCCCAATTTTCAATCGCTTGTACAACGAGCTTTATAAATAAATAGGAGCCAAAAATCAGTAAACAACTCTGTGTGAGTGATCTTTATACTTGCTCTCTGATCTAACTACAGCATGAAAAAATAAGAACGTTGTAAGTAAGAATTTTCTAGCGTTCACAATTTTGGTGCATCACGGCCCAGTGTCACTTTACATTCACATGTTCAAAATTCTCTGCTGATTTATATCAAAAATTAGACCATTTTGACGTTATGTACAACAATCAGATAATTTCAACTTTGTAGGTATGCTTTATTTGTGCATTTGCATTCATTTTGAAGATATTACTTCAGTATTTCAGGCCTAAAGTGCAAAGAGCATACCTATTATCGCCCATTATTGATTAGAAGTTTTTTGTTTTTCTGTTTTTTTTAAATCTTTTTTACTCAAAATGAAGCTATAAATCTCACATATTTCCATCTTGACATATAACTCAATTGTCTTTGGGTAATCAAAAACGATAAATTATTGAAAGACTGCAAAAATTTTACTCAAAGTTTGGAGGTTTGCATAATTGCCAGAAAGGGTGGGTTCGAATTTTTTTTAGGCAAGATTTGGGGGGGGGGGGGGTTCGCACGAGCCCTACGAACCCCCTCTCCCTACGGCCCTGGGTTTGCGCCAAAGTGTATGTATAAAGGCTAGTAAAAATATGATAAAAGAAATTCATGGACACCCAGTAGGTTTCCCAAAGAATTCATCTCTATGGAAATTCTACCTTGGGTATTGCCTGGAGTTTTTATACCAATTTCTACATGTTATTTATTTTGTTAACTGCAAGACCTCCCTTTATAACAAAGTGCCCCTTGCAAAAGTGAATATTTTTCTAAAAAATAAGGTACTCTACAAATGATTCAACCACCCTCTAATAAAACTCATAACAATTATTGCAATAGCGAAACATGTGAGACATTGTCTTACCTGCAGAATGATGAAGCTGTCACCTTGTCAGCCAGTTCCAGACTGCTCTTGGTGGGTGCCAGTCCCATAGAATGTCTAAAATAAACAAATGGAATCATCAACCAGGAATAGCAGGTATAAATTCAAGGATATACAAGTTTGAATATATATACCTGTACGTATATTTAATCACTATTTTCTCCAAGTTGCTGGTGCTTGAATACTTTGACAACTTGAGGAATGAAGGTCAATGTCAGTTAAAGGTCAAATATTTAGATATCAAGATTTAGATTAATGAGGATCAATGGAATCATCCAGTAAAATGATTATATTAGAGAGGACTAAAACTGAGTAATTATATTTGTATTTAGGAGCCATTAAGCCCCAACATATTAATTAGTCACGAGAGGTCAATTTAAGGTGAGGGTCAATGTTTGATTTTAAGTCATAGAATGGTAAAGGTGTGGTCTGGTAAGGGGCAGGATGTGGTGCATATCAAGGTGTGGGGAAGGCCAAGCTTTGGTAAAGGTCATAGAATGGTTAAGGTGTGGTGTGGTACTAGGGGCAGGGCATGGTGCATGCCAAAGTGTAGTAAAGTGTGGTAAGGGGCCGGGTGTGGCGCATGTCAAAGTGTGGAGAAGACCAAGATTTGGTAAAGGTGTGGTATGGTAAGGGGCAGGGCGTGGTGCATGTCAAGGTGTGGGGAAGGCCAAGCTTTGGCAAAGGTCATAGAATGGTTAAGGTGTGGTGTGGTACTAGGGGCAGGGCATGGTGCATGTCAAAGTGTAGTAAAGTGTGGTAAGGGGCCTGGTGTGGCGCATGTCAAAGTGTGGAGAAGACCAAGATTTGGTAAAGGTGTGGTATGGTAAGGGGCAGGATGTGGTGCATATCAAGGTGTGGGGAAGGCCAAGCTTTGGTAAAGGTCATAGAATGGTTAAGGTGTGGTGTGGTACTAGGGGCAGGGCATGGTCCATGCCAAAGTGTAGTCAAGTGTGGTAAGGGGCCGGGTGTGGCGCATGTCAAAGTGTGGAGAAGACCAAGATTTGGTAAAGGCGTGGTATGGTAAGGGGCAGGGCGTGGTGCATGTCAAGGTGTGGGGAAGGCCAAGATTTGGTAAAGGTCATAGAATGGTTAAGGTGTGATGTGGTAAGGGGCAGGGCATGGTGCATGTCAAGGTGTGGGGAAGGCCAAGCTTTGGTAAAGGTCATAGAATGGTTAAGGTGTGGTGTTGTAAGGGGCAGGGTGTGGTGCATGTCAAAGTGTAGTTAGTAAAGGCCAAGGTGTGGTGAAGCTCAAGGTTAGGTTAAGGTGTGGCAAAGGTCAAACTGTGGTTAAGGCCAAGGTGTGGTGAATGACAAGATAAGATGAAGGCCAAGATGTGTTGAAAACCAAGCTCTGGTAAAGATAAGATAAAGGGGACAGTCAAGGTCACAAGGTGTGGTAAAGGCCAAGTGATAACTTTATGTTAAAGTTTATTGAAATCTCTGAGACTTAAAGAAATCAGCTGTGAATTGTCTTAACTAGAATACATGTATAACGATTACTGTCATGTATGGCTGATGTGTAGACAAAACATCAGGTGAGAGTTTTACCTGAAGATCTCAGGTATTATTACATTATACCTGTTGAGAACTAGTGCTCACTTGGAATGAACGATACTGTTAATTATCATGCATCAAATTACATTTTATCATTTCTTTATTTTTGTGATTTATGTGAGTTTGTCAGGTTTCAAGTATATATATGTATTTGTGTTGATATGTGGGTGTCCTGATAATTAAAGCTGGAGATCAAAGGAATTTCCAGGTAACATATTTTTACCTGTGGACATAGATCCTGACAAGGGTCTCACCTGTACAGAGGCACATGTGGCCTCATCATGTCAGATAGATGCAACAGATTTTTAAAACATCTTGGATTTTTCTTAAAATTGCCTCAATGACTCGTGTAATGAGAAATTAACTTATAAATATGTTTTTTGCCATTCAGTATAACTTCCATATAGTTTTCATATTCTAAAATTTCATTCAAGTTTCTAACTTACGTGTTTCTGAATCTTGAATATGTAAGCCTTAAAAATCATATTTATCTATTCTCCCCTCATTATATATAGTACAATTTTGAAAAGTAAAATTATGGGAGCATTTTGAGCAAAAAATCTATTTGGAAACTTGATGTGATAATTGAGTAGAGGTATTTCCTGGGTTCACTTTACACCAGAGCTAAAATTATATTCTTTTTTGTTTCTTAGAATCCAATTACTAAAAGATACAGACACAACAGGTGTACCTTGAACACAATTTCAAAATTTTCACAAATCTTACAAATGCGAAGATTCTGCTGACCTTTGACAAGGAAACCTTTGCTAGTAGCTTCTCATAGTCATTTCAGATTTTATGAATGGAACCTTTACACAAGTAATATATATTCCTCATTTTTGCTTTTATCACATCTTCTGTTGCTAAGCAATGGGGGAAATGGAAGAACTGAAATTAGAAAAAAGTGTTTTTGAGTGTTGAGGAATTATTTTCAAGTTCTTAATGTTTGATACAGCCCCTATCATTCTCCTCATATGGGTATTGTACATATGTCACATTTGACATGACCCCTGAGTTGTTAAACTGGTTTAAAATGCCTTGTGTTACATGTACTTTGCATGTGTGGACCATATTTCACAATTGTTCAACAACCGTTCACTATTATCATACCTGGTTAGAATCTATTCTGATCTACATTCGCAGTGATTCTACCTAATTTCTTATTCTATTTCTACAGTTTATTTGCACCGAGAGCATATATATGAAAATATACTGATTACTCAAATTAGATACTAGTACAGTAAATCCTGTTTCTTCAATAATTTCTCTCATCTGATCACATCTCAATATGAACACTTTTTGGTCCCATTTTTAAATCTGCTACAGATAACCACGTTAAGGTAGAACTTAACTGTCAAATTGCAGCATGGTGCAATCAATTAAAGTGCTGGCTTTTAAATTTTCAAACCCTGAGAGTGGGTTCGAAACCTGGTAGAATCAGTTTCTAATTCATTCTTCAACCGTCTACAATACATTTTCTTGATCTCTCTTTATATGACACACTCATTTTGATCTACTTTTGTATTCCCATAGAATAATAATCACAATTTTTGGGAAAAAATTAAAAAACGAATTTTTTATTATAACATTTCTTTTAGAAATAACTAAATGGCCAATCTTTCTAATTTTCACATATTTTGTTACATATCACCTCGATATCAGTATATCTTTCACCTAGATTTTTTCAGGAAATCTGAATTATAGAAAAATAGGACCCACGGTCCTGTGCTCACACAGTTTGGAACCTTCAGAGGAATGTATATCCTGACTTTAAAACAAAAATATTGATTTGGATTTGTAGTCTCGAACTTTGAGAAATAAACTTTGATAGAACAGTTGTGTGACCTAGTTTGATGACCTTTGACCTTGAAAATTTTACTTATTCAGAGCTCAGTAAGGTCTTTTGTGATTAAGCTGACCAAAATTAACATCCAAAAATCAATTTGAAAATTCAACTTTTTTGACCTTTCGAAGGTCACTGAAGGTCAAGTAAATGTCAAATCCTAAAACTAATGTCAGAATTGAGCTCCTGGCAACTTGTAGATGATTTTCAAAAAAAAAGTTGGTCAAATTGAAGCAAGTTGAAAAATAACTTATTTTTACTGTTTTTTGACGTCAAATATCTCAAAAACTGTAAAAATTTGATGCTGACATATATTGAGCAATATGTAGGGACGGAATGCTTAAATCTAGTAATGATGTAATTCATTGCAAGAAATGATCAAGTATAAGGCAAACTTTGAGAAACTTGTCAATCACAAAACCTGCCATTGACTTTATACATGAGAAAGTTTCCTGAAATGATATCTAAGTCCTACTTTTTGTCAAATTTTATAGAGTAAACACCAAAAACTGTAATTCCAAGAGCTTTGAAATCTTCAGAGGACATAAGTTGCATATACAGCAACTACTTAAAGTTATTTGAAAGTTCTACTTCAACAAAGTGTCTAGTATTTACAGAAAATTTGACTTTTTGACGTCAAAATCCGCAATTTCTCGGAAACCGGGCAAACTTGGGAAATGGCGATGATAGGTCAAAAAATAGGCATTCTGGATATGTAAAAAATGAATGTGGATATGACTCAATCCGAATAGCAGTTTTAATTTGTGCGGCCAATGTTGATGGACGGACGGACGGACCAACGGACGGACGCCTGGTCGATCCCATAGGCTCACTGTGTGAGCCAAAAAATCAATCGAAAGTGATAAAGGGCCAGGGATAAATATCTCCTGCAATGCATCGCGTCAACAATGACAAATTTTCATTGGTCCTTCGATTAATACCAAATTGTCCCAATCTTAAAACTGGTTTGCATATTGTCAGGACAATAAAGTTATATCATATCAAGTTACAACCTTCACAATTGATACAAGTCAAATAAACATCAAATCAAAACACACATGAAAAAGCTTTGCAGTTTGTCTTGAGGACAGATATTTTTTATTGATAGCACAAATATATGTGAAGAAGAATGTCAAATAAACCTGAAATGGTGCATTCAAAATCAGACCCTGTATATTTCAAAGGGAAAGAAGAACCCAGATGTAAAAAATCTGTACCCCAAATGAGAGCTCTTCAACACAGGAGGTAAGAAAATTGCTGCAATGCTAAACTATCGTGTATTAGTCTATTAAATTGAGGTCACAAATTGATGCCAAATGTTTGTGTTTTGTATTTGTTTTTCCCTTGCTTACAAGAAAAATTTTCCTAATGGGAAACAAAGAATTCAAGGTCAATGGCCTGAACCAAGTTAATGAGGTCAAAATGTACTTTATGAGATGCAAATATCAAGGTTTTTGGTTTATATATCAAGGTTTTTGGTTAAAATGACCTATATATTACCAGTTACTACCCTTTGCATTCGTTTGAATTAGCATTGTTTTCAATTCACTCTCCCAAGTTTAAGAGAAACCTAATTGAGCCAATCATAACTTGTCGTCGCCAGGAGGACAATAAGGTAGTTTCTAAATAGCTGAATAAAGCTGAATAAATAGGTT